ATGTCAACATGGTCCAACATGGAAGGACTCATGCCTTAGGGGTTCTCATTTTTTGCGCTCCAAACCGCCAAGCTCCCGCTCCAGAAATAGCTGAAGGCAGGACCGGTGCTCAACAGGGTTCCTGAGCATGTCCCCTTCAAATATCACCCCTCCGTACCGCATTCAAAACGAACCAAATGTCATGTTCAAATCACTATCACCATCGCAAAAACAACCCCAAAGATCCGACGATACGGCCCAAACTCAGCTTGAGGCGCTGCAACTGCATGCCAGCTTCTTGCGCCACTGTGTCTGCTGCCAGCAGCCGGAGCTTGTCCTTGCCCGCTGAGTCCCGAGTCCCGAGTTCTAAGTCCCGAGTGCCCGGCTCAGCCCTTTGAAGTCTGCCGCCAGCACGGCCCCCGTTCCAAATGAAAAGCAACGGTTTGCCCCAAGGTTCCGATTGGGTGCTCTGAGGATCCAGCACTGAAAAAGCACTCAAATGAGATCCGATGCACAAACGAACAACTGAGGAGACGTTTAAAGAACAGACTACCGAAAAGAAAGAAAGGAAGAAGGAAGGAAAGGAAGAAAGAAAGTAAGGAAGAAAGAAAGAAAGGAAGAAAGAAAGAAAGGAAGAAAAAGAAGGAAATAATGAAAGCAAGAAGTAAACAAATTGTTTTAACCACATCTTGTTCGTTGTTAAACCATTGGAACTTGCAACTTACAATGCATGAACCAACTTTCGCTTCGAGGGTTGACCAAATCGGAGGCCAACCAAGACATCGACTGGACCCTGGACCACCAAGGGGACAAACTAAACTGCTACACTGTTTCCGGGCGCGGAACAGCACCGTGGCCCAAGTCAGAAACCCAATGTGCGGACTCCCGTCCTCCCGGGTCTTGGCATCGTGCCAAGGGCCCGGAAGCAACTCCAACGGCCTCAAGCTGCCGCTGGCCTGGGCGAACCCCGTGGACTAACGCCCGGGGGCGTTTTTCTTTGGAGTTGGTGTGCTTTTCTGGACGAAGGGAAACCCAAAAAACATTTTTGGGGTCTCCTAATGTTTTAGACACACCCACAGGCTATAAAGGCCTCAATTCTTATGGGGTTGCGGGGTACTCGAAAAACCAAAGTTAAGCATGATCATAGCAGCAAAATGCGTCTCATTGCCTTTCTCACCCCTTTTGTTACCCAGACTCCAGGGGATTTTTATGGGAAACAAGGGGCACTTGTGTTGTACTTGATTTTGAATGGAAACAAAAGGACAGAAGGGCACCACTGGAAGTCTGGGCTGAGCCACAAACAAGATGACTCCTTACTTCTTTCCCCCAAAGGACATAGAGAACCTGGGCGGTTGCCGGCTGCCGGCTGGTTTTGGACATGGGAAATAGCAGTCATTTGGGTGCTGAGACAGGAAATTTCGGCCTGCAGCGATGGGTGGCGATGGGTTATTCCCTCCAGATGGTTTTTAACCTTTAGTTTGCCTTCCATAAACAAACGCAATCCTCAAAAGGGGACACGCCAGGTCTGGATGGAGAAACAACCACCCTGATTACTTTCATTTACAGCATTGCTACAAACTACGCATTTGCCAGCTGTGGGTGACGGCCAAAGCCCCTTGACTGTGGCGCTTCCAGGGGACAAATGTCCATATGGGGTGACATCATGATGTGTGTGTAAGACTCCGCAATCAACCTCTGCACCCCTCATTCATATAGGGTGCTCAGCTTAACCCTGAAGCCGGAGGGAGAACCCATTGCTCAAGGGGTAAAACAGAGTTGCCCTTTTGCTGCAGCGGGATGAAGATTGCGAGATGTCCAAGACCCCAACCCCGCCCCCGTCACAGCGCTCCCAACGTTCCAAGGATATGTCTCAATATCACAGGCTTCATCCTGAAACCCCAAACAGCCGCTAAACACGAACTCAACGTGCCAGCATGCGTCTTTCGATGAGGCTTAACGCTTTCTGCATGTGGCAACTGTGAGCCCTGAAGCTGTCTGAATCACGCAAAACAAATCCGCCGACGCCAGTCGAGCGTGTAGATGGCAGTCCGCAACTTGGTCTTCCTTCGGAATCTCTTACCAAAGCCGAAGGCTTTTGGGACTGCCATTTTTGGGGCATGGTGCCAAAACCTGTGTTTTCCCAGTGTTTTTGAGTTTGGTGCTAAAAATCTGCGTTTCGCCTTGGTCTCTAGGCGGGGGGGGGTTCCCCGGACGTGCAGGATCTGCATCCCCAGCATCATCAGGATTATCTCGTTGCCATGAATTTGCCCCTTTTTTGCAGATACTAGTGGTGTTTTGCTGTTTCAAGCGATGTTGGAATTGGCCTGTTAGGGGTGTGCATGGGGCCAAGTGCAGTGATACTTTGAGGAACGGTTGAAATTTGCAAACATGAGTGTTTTTTGCAATTCCCCACCTGTACGGAGCCGTTTCTGCGATTCATCCCCTGCGTTATCGTGCTTTTGGAAGTCTATCTTTAGGGTATTTGAGGGGGGTTGCTAGTATCGGTTTGTGATGGTTGCTTTTGGGAAATATCGAAAAACCCTGGTCTTTTGCACGTTTTTTGTGGCTAGCCGGCTGCATTCCCAGCAGCCCGATGTGACCAAAGACGTCTTGTTCCCGGCCCCACATTCGAGGCACCCTGCAGCCGACGTCAGAGGGGCGTTGTTTGCGTTCTCCTTCCACGCGCTAAGAGCCCCACTTGACCTAGGCAAACAAAAGAGTCTCTTTCCCTACCCCAAATTCAAGGCACCCTGCAGCCGACGTCAAAGGGGCGTTGTTTGTTCTTCTTCCAGGGCGTTAAGAGCCCCACGTGACATCAGCCCCAGTTTATTAATAGGGGACTGTCCACTGGCGTCGGCGGATCGCGTAGCGATTTCAATACCTTCGAGGAAAGACGCACACGACCATATGTCAAAGTGGGGAGTTGGAGATTTGGACGCCCAAATAGATTTTGTACTTCGGCTTTCCATCTGGTTTCCCTTTAAACCTACCTGAAAAAAGTGCCGAGGCTCAAAAAATCAGCGCCAAACCCACAAGTTCCGACCCGGGACTTGGCAACACGCGCCTCAGCCTTGTCGAAGCGCTTCTCCAAACGCCCGGAGAATCCACCTGAGACACCTCCAGAGAAGTGGAGAGCTCGGTCCCAAAAAGGGTATGGCCATAGGTGTCCTTTTTTTTAAAAAAAATAGACGACCCTGGTAGTTGCTTGAACCACCAGGTAAACCAGGGCCGTCTATTTTTCAACCAAATCAACCAAAAAGGACACCTATGGTTATGGTGCGTCAACTTAGGGATTAGGATCATAGGAATATTCACGGGGGTTCAGTTAAGCTCCCCTTGATGCAATGCAGGGTACCCTCCAAAAACACACGGCCAAATCAGGAGCCCCTGTTTGAGTGGAAGGTATTTAAAGGAAAACCAACAGACCAACAAAAAGAGTATGGATAGGAGTCCCTGACTTCTTGAGAGACACCCGAGTAAACTCAAGCAAAATGTCTGGCGCGTCTGAGATGCTGCAAGTAAAGAGCTTGACCAAACTGGTCACATGCGCCATGGCGAAGGATAAAAACAAAACTCATGCGCAGGCGGGTCACAGGCGCCATGGTGAAGGATGATGAACAACTCAACGGCAGGTGGGCAGAAAGGTTGGCCCGGCAATGCAAAGACTGCATGTCTCTAGGCTTGAAACTGGAAATCCAACTGGCTCCATGATCTGGGTTCTAGGGTGTGAATCTGGGGCCTTAGCCTTCAGCCTACCACGAAGTGGCTTTGATGGTAGAATCATGGGGCCAGTCCAAGTTACAACCTGCTCCTGCCTCCTGAGCGTTCCGGGAAATGCATGATCAGCTCATAGAGGGTCATGGGCGGCGTCTCACCGCTGGTCCGCAGCCTGCGCTCGCAGATTTTCTCTTTCCCAACGGACGTGTGGGTCGATTGCATCCCATGTCTTAAACTTCGCGCAAGTTGTATGGGTGTTCGATGGCCAGACTTGAGGCCGGCAGGGCACGAACTTCACGAGAAGAAGGATCAACAGCCAAAGCGCTCGAAACGCCCTGCATCCTCTGCGCGACAAGCAATGTCAAGGACCAAGGCGCAAAACACTCGGCAGAGTGCAACCAGAGCGCCGCTGAAGTTTTAAGAGCGGGGAACAGAGTGGAGGAAAGAATTGGAGTGAGGGAGCGAGGGGCGGAGACAAGAGTGGAAAGAAGAGCGGGGAGAAGAGCGGGGAGCAGAGCTGAGCGAAGCGCAGGAAACGCGGAGCAAAGATTGCAAAGAGAAGAGAGTTGGCAGATAAGCGGAGAGAAGAGCAGAGAAAACAGCAGAGCAAAGACTGGGCAGAAGAGCGGAGAGAAGATCGAAGCAAGGAGTGCCGCCCCATTACTCGCTACAGCACGAGAGACTCCAGCTAGCAAGCTAGCTTTCGTGACCCATCAATAATCAACAGTATCCGTAGGCACCCCTAGACACTCCCCACTCAGCTCCACCTAGTTTTGCCAGGGCCGCCGCGGCCCGGGTCTCCCTGTGCAATGTGATCTACATGAGAGTTGCTTTGGCCACGGGGAACAAGGAGTTCCTGAGCTAAACGCCCGTAGAACATTCACCGTGTCTGGCCTTTTGGCATTTCTTGGCCCAGCTCTGGGGTAAACTTAAAAAACCGCTTCAGATTCCGCTTCACATCTGAAATGCCAAATATTGTCGGAGACACCCGAATCAAAACGAGTCTGTAGCGCAAGTGTGTCTACCTTCTTCGCCAAAAACCCGCAAGAGCACCAAACCCCTGGGCTCAAGGCGATGTTCAGCGCGGCGAGTTATCATCATTAGCAAATTGTGCACAAGTGTTGCAATTTTGCTTGCGCAAAGCTCGGCATGTAAAGCCTCTCCTTGTTGACGCCAGAATCAAATCCCAGGCGCCTGTGCACGCCTTCAATGTACTGCATCACCACAGCCGCGGCCTTTGCTCGCCTCACCGCACGGCGCAACCGAAAGCTGAACGAGAGCAAGCGCGCCGCGCCCAACTCAATACACCTCAGCACACGCTTGACCGTTTTTACTTACTTGGTCGAAAAGCACGAAAAGCAGAAGGGCCACCACGCTTGCTATGACGACTTCAGATGAGAACAAGCCAATACAGCAAGTCCTATCATTCTTCGTATTTGAAGACGAAACACACATTAGGGGGCTGAACGGATCGCTTCATGTAAGAGGGGACCCACCACAACCATCCAACAAGCCACCCAAAGGAACCTTCTTAGCTACTAATAGGCCTTATCAGTCGCTTTTGCCCCTAATAGAAGCCCGAAGCCCGCTACTATTACTGATCACAAACAACCCCCATCCGAAATCCGGCAAACAAAGGCAACCTAAATAAAGCAGTTCAAAAAAGCAAGCAAGCAAGCAAGCAAGCAAGCAAGCAAGCAAAAACTGGCAAACCCTCAAACTAACAAAACTCCCAAACAAACAAACTAGCAAACTAGCAAAACTCACAAACAAACAAACAAACAAACAAGCAAGCAAGCAAGCAAGCAAACAAACAAGCAAGCAAGCAAGCAAACAAACAAACAAACATCCCCGACACATCCCACGATTCTGTTTGGAATCGTCTTCAATACGGCAGAACCTACAACTGTCTCCCAACATGACGCCTGGCCTAAGAAACGGCCAAAAGCGAAACCGTGTGCGGATCTGGGCGATTTTCACTGGGACTTCTGGACATCCGCTTAGATGGAAAAGGGGGCTCCAAAAGGAAACAATTCATTGTAGGGGGTCCCCTATGTTGAGGCACACCCATAAACTGGAAATTCCAAAGGAAGCCCTAAAAAAGCCTTCATGCGTAAGCTCCGGTTTTCCCCAGAGCTCGTCTGTACAAATGGATCTTCCGTGGGCTGAAGAGATGACTCCCGCCTGTCTTCTCTCGCATCCAGCCCAGCGCAGGGCTGGGCGTGCAGCCCCACCTGGTTTTGTCTCTTGAAAGGCGGGACCCTGGTCGGTTCCTCTTTTCTAACGAACCCATAGAAATAGAATGAGGATGTGGGGTACTGACAAAACCAAAGCAAGTCATGAATCATTGGGGGATAACGTTAGCAATTCTTTGAACGCTCACAGTATATACCCTGCAAAAAAAAATGAGGGGCCAACAAAATGAACATGGAGCCAATAAATGGCGCGCTCCTTTTTATCGCCCTGAAAGCACTTCCCACGAGCTGGTCCTTCGGCTTTGAAAGTGGGCATGCTTCGAAATCGGGAACTCCCTGTGTTGGATGGCTTTAAAGGGAAACTACGAGGAAACACTGGATTTTTGAGACTTGCCCAAATCCAGTGCCATCCCGTCACAAGGTTGGTGAATCATGGTGGCATTCTTGTAACGTGGACCAATAGTTCTGTTGGTTCACAGCCACTAATCATTCTGGCTATTTGCCTAGCAAATGAACAGCGGTTGCCAGGGTTGGTTGTGTGTCAAGTGAAGCAGATAGCTCATTCAGAGATGGCGCCCATATAGCAGTTTGTCTCAATTACTCACAATAAAGATCCTCTTGCTCCAACTATTCGACTTGGGCTGATAAAAGGGTCTAAGACTACAATCCTCTCGGAAAGGCCTGTCCACTTCTATGTTGGAAAGTGGGTTCCACGTTTGGTGGTGCCCTTTGTCCCGTTTTGTAAATAGACAGAAGCCTTGTGGCCGGAAGGAGCCTATGTCTGGTTGAGAAGGGGTACCCCTCGATGACTTGAACCCAGTTGGATGGTTGGTTTAGTCGAAAGGGAACTTCTGGGCTTAAGTGATGTTGCCACACCCAGAAGCACCCACCGCCCCCCAAAACATGGAGCCGTTGTGGGAACACTCTCACCATACAAACTGGCAGGACCGTTCTTGAGTCGGAAAGCTGTGCAGGGAGCCCAAATCCAACGAGACTTCTGGACCAAGAGATGTCCACGTTCCCCAATCTCCCCGGTACTCAACCCACCAGTTCATGTCAAGACTTCTAATCAGTTGAACCTGGCGCGTCTTGAGCACTCCAAGCAAAAAGCAGCGGGCGCGATGCGCTGCGCCCTCCCTACCTCGCTACTCTGAGGCGCGCACATTAACTTGCCGAAGGATCCGCTGCAGTCGGTCCATTGCCGCGAAATCGCGCACTGCAAAACGCTGATCGGTGCTCAAGTCCTTGCACGGGGGAGGGGGGGGGGAAGAATTTCTTCTGTGTGATTGGGAGTCCTTGGGAGTCTTTGGCCCAACGGGTGCGATGGTCTCAAACTTCGAGCCAAGGCGGCTGTCCGTGACGCAGTCAGAAGAAGGAGCCGGCCGGGGTCAAAACTGGGAAGCCAAACCCTACAAGGATTTCAATTTCAGCGGCCAAATGCCTCTGAACGATTAAAATAACCCCTTGCTGGCATGCCATTACACAGGCCGCCCGGGACAACAAATGCTTGGTTTGCAGTTGGTTGCCTTTGAAACACTCAGCACGGGATCCAATCTATTTGCAGGAACACCCGCCTTTGCTCCTTTTCCAGGCCCAACTATCAATTTCAGCTGAACCCGTTCACATTGTTCATTTTTGACGGCGCCATGTTCGGGGTGTTTTTCAAGGGAAGCCAAAGAGGTTGCCCAGGTGGGTGCGAATTGCAATTCGGGACCTGTGCTGGACATGATTTACCTTCGGATTTCACTTCCACCAAACTATTTGTGAGCGGGTCCCCCACTTGAGTTCAGAACCATTTGGAGATGAGCCCATTTTGAAAGGAAACACCTAGGGCTGTCACCCCCCAGGGAAAGAGAATTCTGGTGGTACCCACACTGCCTCCACCGGCAGCTGTTGCCAGGGACGCGGCACCTCTGACGCAGCGCACTGAGCGTGCGGTTGCCCCTGACTTTAACGCGTCGGACTACTCAAGAGCCAGGAGGTTGCTGTCCTTTGCTTTGTTCTACCGTCCCTTTCAACTTTGGTTGGTTGACCCCCAACCCTCTCTTGGAGCCAGGGGGCACAATGAGCCCAAAAGCGCTCCTAACCCGATCCAACGGATGCAACCTGAATAGGCAAAGGCCCGATGTTCAACAGGAAGTATGAAGGGATGCCACCCCCTCCGTGCAATCTGCAGCATGCAAGAAGGGAAACCAGGTAATGGCTCCAGCGCCATTCCGCGGTCAAACTCCGGTGGGCGAGTATCCTTCTCGGATGTTTGAGAAACATCCCTCGCTAACTTTGTGGACTTCCCAATTGAGAGTTCTTTAAACAGCAACCACACAACACCCACAAAATCCGAAAGCTTTTTTAGTATACAGTCCCCTATTTCCAACACGCTACGGGCATCCAATGGCCTGGCTCCCCGAAACCAATCCCGAGGACCGCGCTGTCCAGTGCGGCTCCGAAGCCATGGCCGAAACGAGCGCGCAGGGAACTGGCTGAGGGCTGGTGTTCTATGGCTGGGAAGAAACTATGGGGATCGATTTTCTGCTTTGCAAGACTTGCAAGATTTAGGGAAGCCGTTCGCCGGTCATCTACCCTGCTGTGGTGTTGGCAATTTTTGGGCTCGCCTCAAAATCGGAAACGCTGATTTGGATGGTCTAGAAAGGAAACCATGAGGAAATCAGCCTTTGGAGGGGCCAAACAAAACGAAGGAAATCAAGCATGAGGAATCCTCCTTTTTTCCGGTCAATTCCCTTTCCTGTCAGTGACCACACCTGGCCCGAGCCGGAGAGCGCGCGTTGACAAGTGAAAGAGCAGACAGCAAGTCACTAGGACCGTCGCAAAATGGTTCGAGAACCCCGCGCCATTTTCCAAGCCTGGCCACCGAGAAAGATCAGCAGCACTCCTAACTATCCCAAGCGCTCCCGAAGCCTGCAAGGCTTACAAAGCGGCCATGCGTCGCTCGCTATACCCATCACATGAGGGAGAGAGAGCTCTTGGTGGCTCCTGAAGTCTACTGTATCTGCACAAGTTCGAAGTTGGAGTTAAGCATTCGACGTATCAAGAGGTCATCCAAACAGTTTGGATCGTTTTCATGGGGCCTTATAAGAAAAACCTGTCGGGGCGGAACCTCTTTTGGCTTTGTGGACATGGTCATCCATGATGGGAATCCTCATGTATGGTGGCTCTTGTGGCTGTTGAACCCTTGCAGGGCGGGCCAGTTGTGTCACTCGGGCAAGAGCACTTTTATTCTTGTAGCTCTAGCCCCTGGTCGAATGGTTCTAAGGAGAAACCTGAAGAAAACTACCCATTCTCGAACCCCCATTTGTTTGGGCCCAGGGATAACACCCATTTGGCAGGCACTCAACAGCTTCCCAACTCTCCAAGAGCTAAAAGATGGTCACCGCCAGGAAGCCTCAGGCGACGAAGAGACGCTTCGAGGCGTTCGTTTGCCCTTGCGGTATGAAAGTCCTGGGTCCAACTGATCTTGAGTTCGGGAACCAAGCAAAATGAAAAAAACAAGCAGCGCGTCACTGAACAACTGGGCTGGTGATAAGACGCGCCCATCCAGAGCCTCTTGAACCACGCCTTGCGTGTCCTAAACTTGGAACAGGTCCCGATTTGGGATAGGGTTCAAAGTGAAACCCGGAAAGTACCTTCTTGAAAGAGGTCCGGTATGCAGGGAAACACCTGCTCGAGGCCCCTTTGTCTGGTTCTTGCCTTTCACCCCATGCCCTTGCCCTTTTGAAGATAGTTAAACCGTTTTTTTCCTTGGCACGTGGCTTTGTGTGGGCTGGCCAGGATACGGGATTGTGTTTCCTGACTGCAGTGGGAATTTGGCGGAGTGCTTCTCTTCTGTGATACCAGAAAACCTCAGCTTCAATTGTGGAACTGGTCATTGGAAAGTGTGTTCCCAGTGGTATCACACAATCTCACAGAATAGGATTCCATTTGCCACTCTGAATCCTCACATATTTCACGCAAACCTGGCTCCTCAATCCAGAGCCGCCCACCAGCGTTTCCAACACTTTGTGTCTTAAAATTGGAAGCCATTTGGGGACAGAACACCAACGATTTGATGGGAGGTTTGATGCTGACACCCTTTACACAGGAATCCCCTGATCACCAGAAGAGCACATCCAGATCTGCAAGTCTTTTTGCAACAGTCGCACGAAGTGAGCTCCAAGTTCCAGGCGAGCCGCTGCAGGCTCCATGTCCGAAAACGCCAAGGAGAGGTGCCATATGGGTATGTGTCAACAGGGCGACCCGAAAAATAGTGGTTGTGCTTTTGGCTTCCCCTTTAACCAAGGTGAAAAGGGAACCATCAAACAGCATAGATCTTGATTCTGTCGATCGCGGGAATCTTCCAAATGCCAATGACCTCCTTGTGGCTAGATTCACAAAACTGTCCCAAAGGCTTGTCATGTCCCCACACGCTCCCTCTTTGCAGCCAAAGAACAGGCGACCAAAAGTACCCCATCCACGTTGGGCTGCGCCGTAACCTGTCCGGCGGAGAGCATGTTGCTTGATGGTTTGCCTACGCACACATCTGCGCACAGCCAAGTGGTGGGTCGTTGGTATTGGAGGAGACAACGACAAGTAGCGCATCCTGCAAAATAGCCGCCTTCTTCCACCAAGGGCGACAGTTGAGTTGCATGTCAAATCAGGGTTCCACTTTTTGATTGAGTAGCGATGTGGGAATGAGGGTTTGGTTCCCACTTCTGTGATATGAGGGAACCTCCAGTTGCTTCAACTGGAGGATTAGTCATGTGGAAGACCTTCCACTAGTAATTGTTATAGTACTGTTATAGGCTTTTGGGGTGCAGAGCAGGTGGGCCCAACCCTTGATTCAACACGTTTGAACTCCCTGGTTCAAACAGTCCTTTTTGGGTTTCCCTTTAGAGGGACCAGGGTCCAAGCGTTTGCGCCATAGATATTCCAATTCCCCCCCCTACCCTTGGACGCCCAGTGTCCATTCGGTTTCCCTTACCGAGTAAATCGAACTATTTGTGGGTGGCCGGATGGCCGGGCTGGATGGCCGGAAGGGTGGAAGGCTGGATGGCCAAACCAAACCCACCAACCCTAAAGCAGCCCCAAACCGACCCTAAGCCAACCCTAACCGACCCTAAACCGACCCTAAACCGACCCTAAACCGACCCTAAACCGACCCTAAACCACTCAAAATCAACCCTGCACCGACTCTAACTCAATCCTGAACCAACCCTAAACCACACTGGTCTAAGCCTGAACCAATCGAACAACCCTAAACCAACCCTACATAAAGACAACAAAAACAAATAAATCAACCCTACACTAATCGAAACCGATAAACCAAGCCTAAAACACCACAAGCCAGCCCTAAACCATGTCCAAGCCAACCCAAAACGGACCCCAACCAAACAAAACCTAAACCAACCGTAACCCACTCCTCAAGCTAACCCAAAACTAAACCTAAGCCAACCCCAAACCAAACCCGCCAACTTTAGCGCAACCAACCCTAAACGAACATAAACCGATCCTAAATCAACCCTAAACCGACCCTAAACTTACCCTAAACCAACCCTAAAACACCCTAAACACATCAAACTTACCCGAAACAAACCCTGAACCAAACCTAAAACACCCTAAGCCAACCCTAAATCACCCCGAAACCCACATTGGGCCAACCCTAAACCAACCTAAAACAACCCTGAACCACTCCTAAACCAACCCAACCTAACCCAAAACCAGCTTGAAAACACCCTAAACCAACCCTAAACCAATCCGAAGCCAGTTCCAAACCAAACCCACCAAGCCGCCAACCCTCAAACACAGCAAGCCAACCCTAAACCAATCGAAAACAACTCTCAACCAACCCTTAAACCAACCCTAAACTAATCGAAACCGATCCTAAACCAACCCTAAGTCAACCCAAAACGAACCCGAACCAAATCAAACCTAAACCAACCGTAAACCACTCCTACACCAACCCAAACTTATCCAAGACAACTTCAAAGCACCCTAAACTAACCCTAAGCCAACCCTAAACCAAACCCGCCAACTTTACAGCAACCAACCCTAAACCAACCGTAAACCAACCCTAACTCGACCCTAAACCGAACCTAAACTTACCCTAAACCAACCCCGCCGTAAGCCGACCCTAAGCCAGACTGAAGCCACACTGCACCAAGCCTGGACAGCCCTAAACAAACCCTAAACCGAGCCTAAACCAACCCTAAAACACCCAAAAAACCACCCCTGAACCGAACCTAATCCTAAACCGACGGGCTGTGGGCGAAGCCAGAAGCCGGATCGGGCCGGGCCGGGGCCCGGCCGGAAGCTGGAAGCCGGATCAAGCCGGATACACAAAAGAAAAGATATTGTGCCCTTACCCACTCACAAAGAACAATAAGAAAAAGATCAAGAACAAAAATTGATATCCGGCAAAGGGCCCACAAATTGATATTGGTACCAAGAACACAAACCCAAGAACTTCGACTCGAAGTTCCTCGATAAGACTCCGCCTCGAAGTGCTCCAGCGGCACCCGGTCCGTGGGCGCTCGCCACACCGCGGTACCCTGGGCGTTTCGTCCGGGCCCGGCTGTGCCATGGGTGCGCGGGTGTGTTTCTTGGAGTTGGTACCCTTTTTTAGGGCTGGCTGAAAGAGAATCCAAGAGGGACACCAAGCAGTTTGGGGTCTCAAATCCAGATATTGACAATGGCTGCTTTCCTTTGGGATTCATGGGTTGGGAAAGGGGGGGTTGGGGTACGGTTGGGCCTGGGCTTTCAAAAAAAAAAAGATACAGCCACCAAAGGTGCTGGTTTCTGGGCAAACGAGCGGACAATGGCATCATCAGCGCTGGATAAGTGGGACGAAGTACCAATCAAAACTCATGGTACACATTGAGTGGGGTTTAGCCTGTCAGCCATCGAATCCTATGCACCAGCCCAGAAAAATGAGCTTCCCAAGCGGTCTAGCTGTTCAGCGCAATCGGATCACCTTTGCGTTTGCTTTCTGCCCTCGGCCACCAAAAGCTGGATGCCGTGTCTCCCACAAGCCGCAAGGCTGTGGGTCAAAACCAATCGTACCATTTGGGGGTAGGTGCACCTCCATTCTAGCTTATTTTAGTGGGGATTGGGATGTTCACTGGGGGTCGATTTGGCTTTTGACCAATGGCCAAATCTGCGCACGCCAAGCTGGGCACTTGACAGCATGGTGGACTTTCCTGGTGGCCTGAGCCTACTCTGCCAGATTAACGCGGAACCCCAAACATCATTCTTGGAGGAATCCCCTCTTTGGGAACCCCCGCTGTGGGGTCTATGCCGATTTGGCGGGCAGTGTTTGTGATATGTATGTTTTTAATTGTTTTTATTATTTTTTTGCGAACCCATAGTTGCAGTTGAAGCTGAGCCGATTGAGCTCGAGTGGCCCTCTCCAAGGTTTCACCCTCGGAGTCGCAGGTCATCTTGTGCTCCCCCTCCTGTCCGCACAAACTTGCTGTGTTGCAGGGCCCTTTGTCGGGGGTCGGTCATGGAAGTCGTGAACGCCTTGAAGAAAGATCTAATGAATCAAAAGCCCTGCATATCAGGTAAATCAACTTTTCAGACACGGGTTCTTGGACCACGCAACATGGTCCAAAGAGAGTGAGCGTAAATGTGCCTCAACCCTCGAGAAACGTGCGTTGCTGCTCATCGACGGGGCCCACAAAAGGCCGGCTCCCAAACGTGCATTGGCCAGCGACAGAGAACCACTAGCTGGCGCAAGGCAAACGCATACGCCCCACTTGCACCGGAAAGCACTGCTTGGAGCCAGCTGAACGGGAACAGTGCAATGGCAGTGACAACTTGGCAGCTGGTCCTGGCTGGTAATTTCCTGGCCGGTGCGTGGCTGTAATCCTGCCCCCTGCAATGTGCGATACTTTGCCAACCTATAATACAGGAAGGTAAATGTTCGGCGTGCATGCAATGCCCCAGGGGAATTCGCACTACAGCCGGAACACTGCAGAGAATTTGATGGGGGTCTATCTGCTTTAGACATGAGAGTTGGAGCCCAAGCGTGCGCTCTTCTCTTACCCATCTCCCCCAACAGAACCGGCCCAAAAGTCAACTCTTGCGAATAGGGATGGGACCATGACAAGCCCAGACCCAACCACAAACCTGTGAAGACATATATATCATATGAGAGTGTCCTCAACTTTGACTGATCCGAGCAACTCATACAGAAACCCGACCAGTTTCGGGGGACTCGTCTTATCTCGGGAACAACCCACGGCGTCGCTTCTGCACGAAACGTGTCAAGGGCACCAGCAGCATCCGGCCCGACTCATCGCGCAGCGCGTGGCGCTCGCCGTCGGCCTCCTAGCTTACTAGCTTGGACCCATGCGGACTCCCAACCCAAGGCAAATATGGATTCCTTGGAACCCAAACATCGCTCGGGGCCCTTTGTTCTGGGCTCCAACCAATCTGCTGTATTGGCCAGCCCCCATTTTGTAGGAGCAAGGTCAACCATGAAGGTCCGACCTTTTTCAAGCCTTTGACAATTGAGCGAGAGTCAAGTAGCAACTGGTTCTCAAGCCGAATCTGAAGTGGGGCGAAGCCAAATTGCGGGGTGCCATCCGAATACAGCCAAGGTCTCTTTCAGGTGCTGAGAGCTTTCACGGGAGAGGGCGTCGAGGTTGGGCAAACGGAGTTTATACATCCAGGCGCTGGCCCCTTCTGCTGGAGCTTGCGGTTTCCTTCAGGAAAATATCAAACAAGATTGGGCCGAGGGGGACTTCAGGATTCCTGAGCTCCTGCTTCATGTATAGAGGGGTCTCCCCCTTTGGCCGCGATCGTTCACTCGGGCCGAACACCCTCTTAATCCACCAAGTTTCTCATCTTCCCGTGTGCAAAGCCTCAAAAGGGTTTGCAGAGGGTGCGCAGCAAGCACGCAACGCTTTGACAGAATTTGCTCCTACCACAACTCGAAATTGTGCTTCTTTCTGCAAACAAATAATAATCAGGGCCCACTTTTACGGGGAGCCGTTCTTTATCACCGATGCAGTCCTTTGTAGACGAAAAACGGATCCTCACCCGGAAACGCGGATCCCAACGCCCCCCCCTGGGTTTGGAAGGGTTGGGTTGGCTTGCTACTCTTTCTCCCGAAGGGGGTTCCTTTGCAACCGGACGACCACCCCCAAGCTCAGCAAGCTCAGCGTCTGCGCCTTCACCAGGGTGCCCAGCACCCAGGGCTCCTCCTCCAGGAGGCCCATGACCTGCTTGGCCTCGATACGCAAAACCCACCGAAGCCAGGATCAGCTTCCTCTCAGTCGGTGACTTGGATTGCTGCTTTGGTAGAATTGGGGGGGGGTTGTTTTTAGGTCATCAGGATCTCCCTTGGAATGGTCGAAAGACCAACCTGTGGTTCCTACCGAGATGGTCATGCCAAAAGGTACGACATCCGGCAACTCCAGCACCTGGCGGTTTGGTGGTAGCCTGGGGCCCGAACAAAATACAAAAGGGGTCGGCTTGCCCCAAATCTAAACGTCCATTCAAATAGTCGTATGCTGTCACTCTGAGATATTCACGACAGGGCTACAAAAAGATTGACACTGCGCAACTTCAAGAGAAGCAAAAGAATCGGAACGAGGCCAGGGAGGCACGCCCGCTTGGCGCAAGCAAACAATCTCAAGACTCAGTGGGGCCGCTGCGGAGGTGACAATCGCCAGGAGCGTGCCTCAGTTTCAAGACCCCAGCGCCTTCCAGATCCAAGGTCCAAATCCCCCAAATCCCCCAAATAATCCCCCCAACCCCCAATCCCCCCACCCTCCACTCAAATCACTCACCCCCGCCGGTCAATCGTGGGAATGTGTCAAAATAGGGGGACCACAAACTGGCATTGGTTTCCTTATGGTTTCCCTTTAAACCGGCCTGGGAAGGGTACCGAGCCGAGCCGCATAAAAACATAAAAAAGCAAGCAAGCAAACAACAAACATAATTGCAATAAAACCAACGCGTTTCCAAAAAAAAAAGCGAACCCTCCTCAGCCCAGACACCCACGGAGTGTAGAGAGATCTCCAGGCGCTCCTCCCGGAGGTCCACCTTCAGCAGCGGCACGCCTGAGACGCTTCCCATGGAAGCTCAAAATCCGTGTGAACCCCCGCTTTTCCAACACAAACCAAGGGTATACCCACGCTGTAAAGGCATACCCACAGATTTCAGGCCCTTGTGCAGGCGACTTCATAGTGGCTGCCCACTGTTGGCAAGATAGAATGCGCAAATCAGGAGGATGAGGATGAGGTGGTGCTCTTGGTACGGAAGTGCACTGTAGCTTCTCTGGCTCCCCTCACGTTCACAGCGTCTTATTTCTCGATGTTCTTCTCTGTCCTATAACATTTGCCTTTCTTCGCTTTCGTGGAGAGGGGCTTTCTAGACTTGGACCTTGTTTGTTGCCTACTGCTCAAACGACCGTGTCGGAACAGGGGACTGTTCTGAGAGCGGCTTTAAAAGGAAGGCCAACATAAACGAAGCATTTAGAGAAGCCTCCAGTTTCCACACTTCCACGTGGACTCTGAAAAGCCGCGTTGAGATTTTGCCGGCACCAACCCTCCCCCCCCTTTTGCCTTGTGCCAAAGCAAGTTTCTTGAGGGTCCCGGCTTTTCTCGAAGCGCCAAAAACCCGAACCCATCAACGCGACGCGCCTGCCATTCCGCAGATCTCCATGCTGAAGGTCTTCTCTTGCAGCGGCTTCACGGGCACGTTGAGGCGCACGCGGCCCACCGCCATCACCAAAGGCGCGTAGAGCACCGGGTTGTCGCCTCGAAGCTTCAAAGAAACGGAAAGCGATGTGTCGGGGGACACCCTGACCCTCCAACAAACGTCCAGCTGGATAAATGGTAACTCACCAACATCACTGAGGCCACATTGTCACATTGTGTCCTAGTGGCACGAGCAATGCCTTCATCAGTGAAGTCGGCAAGTGAGGTGGCCATGATAGCGCAGTGAAAGGCACCAAACGAAACCTGGGGATCAGGTGGCTCTCCGCCTCTCCCCGCTCGCCAAGCGCATTGAGGGCAATTGAATCAAGCGTTGCTCTTTCCGAGGGGGCAGAGGGCAGAGGGCCAACCCCATCGCAAGGAAAGGGTTGCTCCAAAGACTGCAGATGTGTGGGCTCCAAAAAAGTGCCAATAAAATCCAAACCCATCTTTTTGGAACGGCTCGGGGCAACCCTGCAACCCCCAACTTTTCCATCCCCGAGCCAACTGTTTGACCATCCTTAACCCGCTGAGCCAGGCTGCTGAAGGCCCTGGGCCGCGCCACCGGACTGGGCGCCTGCCTGGCTAGGTATGAGTTTCATGAGGTCTCATGAGGACCGTCCCAAATGGTTGGTAGACCCAAGACCCAAAGTGATGTCCAGAGCAGAGTTCAAGTCAAGTTCACATCCGAGTGGGCGTTCACTGGGCGACCTTTTGGAAAGGCCCACGCGCTTGTTCCAGGACGTCTATCCATGCGTCTATCCATGCCCATGGCAGAAGGATCCGGTTCAGGCAGTTTGTGCTTTCAAGCGGATCAAAGCACCGAGTGGACCAACATGCGGGATTTCCTTTCAAGGCTACCATGCGCTGATTTAGAAGAAAAAGGCTACAAACCTCTTATTGCGAAGTAGACCACCTTTGCAAGGCATGAGTGCTAGTAGCTACTCTTCGTAGACTCGCAGACTTCAAGAGAAGCTCGTGCTACATGGCTATGCCCAAATTCCGATGATGGAAGTTGACAGGAGGGTTCTGGACATCTAGGGAAGCCCCCTGTCCATCTGGCGCTGTGCCCTCACGCGGGTCCAGCCCCGCCTGGCAGGCACGGGGGCCTCCTCGATCCGCCTTCCTTCAGCTACGGAAGAAAGGGACCCCATGTGGAAGGGCCGAACAAGTGGCCCCTGTGGAGGGTGGAGGCCGACGTGTCTGGGGGGATTTGTTGGACACACTCATGTCGCCCCAACGACAACAGTTTCTGATTAAAATTGGCCCTGGTTCATTCCCTCTTAGAGAAATGCACCTGGTTCACCTGATGGGCACCCTTGAAAGAGTTTTCTCAAACGCTTCAAACTAGGTTGATGACACAATCCCCTTTTTTGTGGGTCTGCAAAGGGGATGACTAAACCAAAATGGGGGAATCTACTTTCACCAAACCGTAAATCATCAAGAAAAAGCGCATCGCCTTGCCGTCACGTCAACCATCAAAACAAAACCTGCTTACAGCCTGCCAGTCTCGCTAGAGCCGTGGTCAAAATATGTTGTTGCCACAACGAGGATGAAAACTTGAGTGAGCCTCCCCCCACCCCCGCTCCCGTTTTTGGTGGGAATTTGGGCCCCACGTCCCGAAGATTGACAGGATAGTCTTTGCAGAACGTCACAGTCACAGTCAGTATGAGACCTATTTCTGAACCTACTTCTGCTCCCAATCTTCACCCTTGAAGTGGCCCAGTAAGAAGTCCCAACCTTTGGCTTACCACGGTCTCCCCAGGTTTGAAGGGGAGTGGCCATGTATATCACTCGGATTCTTTTGGTATCACAGAAGGACCCATGTTCCACAACCTCAGCTCCGGAGTCAATCGGGAGTGAGACCTGCGAGGCTCAGCGCCCGGCTGAAGATCCAGTCGAAGCATTCGCAGCCATTCCCCGAGGCCATGGCTAACCCGCGGAAACCCGCGGAAATGGTTTTGGCGTGCCAAATGCCAGGGTGTGAGCCCATGGGCCCATGGGTAGCTGTGAAACTAGGGCTTTATCCGGACTCCGAAAATGGGTGGCTTCCTGGTGGCTTCCCTTTATGCCAACCTGGAAAAGGGGACACTCCAAGAAACACGGGTTCCCATACATCGGGTCTGCCTGAAAATAGGGAACCCGCGACTTGGTTGACACCCATGTACCAGTTCTGGCTTACTTTTGGGCAAGCCGCCCAAGAGGCGGAAAATCTTCCGGGGTCAGGAAAGCAGACCTGAGTCGCGTCTTGCGGCACCCACCAACGCCTTGTGGAGTTTCAGGGCTGAAGAGGTCGCAAAATGTGTTGCGCAAAGGAGCTGAAGTGACGGACTTTCTGCATCCAGCCCCTTTCTCACAACTCCTCTCTGGGGAGTCAGAAGATCTGTTCGGCAAGTCACTCACAAGCGGGAGTGCTTTCCAAAAATCAAAGAACTGGAATGGCGTTTCAAAGGGAAACCTCAAGAGATCCAGACGCTTGTTGGTGAATCCCACATTTCAGGAAAAACACCCAACTCTAAGAACAGACGCGTTATTGGTGGGTCGCCCCTGGAAGTGGGCTAGCAGGCCCTTGGTCCAAGCCTAAACAGCTTCCGCGAGGCGCACATCAGGTCTGCTGTGTCCAGAAACTAGTGCACGCATCCTGGGTTCGCCTTTGGATCTCCTTGCTTATGCGAACAGAGGGAATTTTTGACAGAGAGCTTTGCAACGTTTGGAGGTCTCCCCAACAACAATGGCGTCTCAAAAGCCCTGCGGCCAGAAATAGGAGGGGCATACCCTTCCTAATGATGCGGGCAGCTGCTTGTACCTTTACTCGGAGACCATCCTCGAAAATGGGCCCCTGAAAATTGAAGAACCACGCACAGCAAGTGCGGACCTTGTGACCGGCAACTTTCCGCAGGCGTCGCATGTTTTGCAGTCCTCGCTTCACATCTCCGAGAAAACCGTCGCTCGAAACGCAGTGGCGACATGGTCCTACAAACTCTGCAGGAAACTGCTACTCTGCGAGGCGGATGGCAGCTGCTTCCACATGCATGCCCGGAGCGGCAAAGAGACAGTGGGCTAAGGTGAAGCGCCTGTCTGGCCGGGGCCACAAATTGGAGCTATTGGGCCCCACCCCATTTGCCTGGATGAGGTTGCAAACGTGATATGTGCGGAAGCCCTAGCCCACTTCTGCTGAATGGTCACGGAAAAAGAACGTGGCCGGCTCAGTCCTCTCTGTAACCTTGCAAACCCAAGAGCACTTGCCCATGGCCACTACCATGGGTCTGGGTGCGATCAGCTTCTTTAAGAAAAAAAACACAGAAAATAGAGAGGGAGAGTTCAAACCTTGATCCCTGGAGTGGTGGCCCCAACTTGGTTACTCAATCCGAAAGGTGCAGCAACATGCAAAAGCTTGCCATGCCTTGGCCTTTCAATTCAATTGACTCCCAAACACAGGTCAGGAAACAACACTGCCATGGACGGAGGTTCCGAATGAGCGTGCCTCAAAGTTTGGGTTCGGGGCCCATCCAGGATGGTCTGTTTCCCTTCCCCAAACCATGCTCGTCACATTTTTGAGTGGAGCCTGCATGGCCTTTGGGATGAACCCAGGCAGAAACCATCCAAAACAGGGTGGGTCGTTTGCCACCGTTTGGGGACAAGCGTGTTGTACGCTCCAAGATGAGTTCTACACTTGAGCGAGCGGCAAAACCTAAGACTACTTTGGGCAATTTCGATCGGGAAGTTATCGTTTTTGGGGTTTCACTATATCGTTCCTGAAGATTTCTGCCACTTGTCTTTGGGGTTTCGCCAAATCACAGAAGACGTATCCCTAGATGAGAGAGTCTAGCCTCTTGACTTGTAGGGCACCGATTTGTTTGTCCAACAGAGCTCCAAGGACCTGGCAGGCTCAGAACTTTGGCCCCAGGAAACCTGGAAACCAAACCGCCCTTCCAAGCTGCGGCTTGATCTTCCTTTAGGAACGGCTGGGAGCCACTTTGGGATGGCCTAGCAGGCCAAGTGGCCGAAGCAGACCCGACTGGTAGGAATTGCCAAAACAGTCGCTGGCTTCTAAGTAGAGTGTTCCTGAAAGAACCGCCCTCCAACCCACCCCGCCCCGAAAGCCCAGATCCAGGGAGCCCCAGTAGCGGCCAGTGAGGTTGGCGTCCGTGGGCCGCGGCATAGCGGCGGGACCTCCAGGGCTCACCTTTTCCGCCGTTTAAGAATGCGTCTATGCTTGTTCATGAGACTGTCTTGTTTTTGTTCTTCTTTTTTGCGAATGGGCTTAGCACTAAGCATCTTGAATCGTGTTTGATGTGGTGCATTGGTTTCTGCGAACGCGGTTGGAAGCTTGCTACAGGGAAGGCAACACCTCCAAAGCTACCTCAGCCTTTGCCTCAACCAAAAGTCATACGTGTGATTCTGGTCCATAGTGAGCCTTGTGTAAAATGAGTAAAGAGGTCTCAAAGGGAGGCCTCATGGCCATGTGGCCATGTGAGGGGCTACCGATCCGTTGCGACAGCCTGCAAGAGTGCACCCAATGGGAGTCAATGGGGTCCAACCATGGCCAAAGAGGTTAAAAGTGACAAACATTCGGCCACGCAGATGTGAACCTTAGGGCAAGAACTTGCAGAACATCTGATGCCAGCCTCCAATGCTGTGCGTGCCTCCCTTCGTCCTTACAGGAAAATCAGCATGAAACCAACCAGCCAGCGTTTTGGAGGGATCTCCAGTTTTGGCTGATAAATTCCCGCCAAACCGTCCTGGCAAGGGCGGCGGCTTTTCTCCCAGGCTTGACCGGTCATCCGCGCTACCCTCTGTTGAATACTCATGGAAGTAACTCCCATGATTGTTGGCAACGCAGTATGCGCGCTCCCTCACTGTGGCTGCTGGCGGACACGTTGGATTCGGCAACTGAAAAACACCATGACTTAGCACCTCCAGCCCGGGCCCGCTCCGGCCTGCACTGCCGGCCGGCGACTGAGGGGAAGGCCTCGGAGGGTGAATGCAGCGCTTCACCAACCTGAAAAAAAAGAGGCTGCAATGAGGGCTCCCTCCTGATGGGTTTTTAGTTGCAAGACGCAAACGAGGCCGCGATTTCGTTTGAGATACAGTCCTCAGCATTACATGGCGGCGGGATTTCGGGGGGAAAGGTGGAGAGGCGCAACCGTTGACGATAGGGCGGATGGACCCAGACCTGGGTGCTTCCACATTTCACTAAGTGGTAGACTTCTTTTGGATCGTTCTGCAAGAAAAAACAAAAGGAAGCCAGGCATTTGAGCGGACAAGAATCCTCATTTCCCCAAGAGGACATGGGACATTTTGGATGGTCCCCCCCCTGCGTAGCTTTGTTTTGTGGGAAATGTGGGTGCCACATGTCCTCCCCACAAGGTCTTTGTACCAACAGACTAGTCACGAGACCCCGGTTTGAATACCTGGCTCATGACTTCATTAACCAGTTATGGGGTATTTATGGGAGAGCCAACAAACGGCCTGCGGAAAGCAGCCATGGGCTTGGGTTCGCAAAACCACACCCATGCCAAGCTTCCCTTTGGGACCTACAAAAGGGTGGCGATTGTTTGGCTTCCCTTTTCAAATACCGAGCCTCCCCACGTCCAGCACGCCTTGGCTGAGGCTCAGGCTTGAAGACGATGGCGGCGAGGAAACAGGCCAGCACCAAGACGGCATCCACATTGGGATTCGCCACCACCTGGCGATTTGCAACATCGGTGACTTTTGCGAAATCACCGCGCTTTCGGTTGGGGGAGGGGGGGAGGGGGTTGCGGTGCTTTCGGGGCTTTAGGGGTTTTGGGGGCGTTGCGGCTTTCATGTACGGATCCTGAAGCTTACTCCTATAATCATGACGAAATATGGCTTGACCCCACAAGCCCATTCCTCTGGCTCTTTGATGTTTTCTCGCGTTGATGCTTTGGTGCTTTAGATTGAAATTGGGCGTATGAAGGATTGCTTAGCTGAAGGAAGCTACAAAGGACTTTCAATGCTATCTTGCCAGGTAGGCCTACACAGCTGCGCTGTCACATGAACTCAGCCCCTTCCACCATTGCTGTAGACATGTCTCACAAGTTGGGCACTTTCCAGCGGGTGTCTCAAGGGGGAACCTATTTTTAATCGGGACATCTTGGTCAGGGTCAATGTATGTTAGCTTCCACCTATTTAAGCCACCTGCCAAAGCCTGAGCCTGAGCTTTTCTGATGTCGACAAATTGGTTGATTCTCACACGAGCCAACATGGCCTAAGTCCGATTTGCTTACTTCTTCTCCTTCCAACCATCCAAAAGCAGCTTCCCCCATTTCGAGATGCCTCGTAGTGGTCAGCTGGCAGCTTGCCCTTGGGCCGCCACACTGCAGTGGCCTGAGGCTGGGCCCTTTCCCAAGCAAAGATTCCATCTCTGACCTGGTGGGTCTTTTTGGAGGATGCTCTTTTGGGGTTTGCTTGGAAGGGCAACCACAATAAACCACCGACTCCACCTGACCCTGTCTTCAATTGCCGGTCGGATCAATTCACAGCAGCTCGGCAGCCAAACATTGGACCAACCCTCAAGGGAGCGATCCATCTGTAAGTGCCCGGCTCTTTCAACGACACGGCCTCCCGAAATGGACGTCATCTTATAGTCCCTATGGTCCTGAATGCACAGAAAGAACGGCAAGCGGCGAAGCAATACAAGCTCTTTCGTGGATGCTTCTTCGATTGGTGTCATAAGTACTGGCAGGTAAACAATGCAACTGCCAGATGTGTCGTAAAAATGCATCACCCCTCAAACGCTAGTTTTCCCTAATTCCTTGTGCGGGATGCTGCGTGCCGCAATTCCCGCCTGACGCGTGCTCACGGCCTCAGACGACGAAATGGTGGCAGGACCCACCAAGGGAGTGGCGCCTTCAGTGGCCCTTGACATCGGGCAAGTGCTAAAATCCGGAATCCCTTCCAAATGGCATCGGTTTACTTGTCTTTCCCAAATCGAAAGATAAAGGTTCCTCATTCCGACACAGCCCTGGCGATAAACCTGTCATGCGTTCCTTAACCGTTGCTCACTTGAGCCCACACCTAGTTCGCTGCTGTCCGACGTATGGCTATAGGTATAAGCTACTAAGCCACTTACTATGTGGGCTGCTTTGCCAGGCATGGCAGTTACTAGTTGCTGGCTTAGGCCGAGCTCGCCACAAACCTATCTACTTGGACCCTGCAAACCCTAAGCAGGGCGAACCATTCGCTGACCAGGCCATCCAAACCCTTCCTTTCAGATGGTCCTTCAAACCTCTACCTGGCGGTTCCCACGGAAACCACCCCCTCAAAGAAAAAACGCAAGGAGAACACTTCTGGCTAGGACCCAATGCCCGTTTAATCCCTTGGCCAACCCAAGTTCCCAATCGTTCCCACGCGTTCCCCTGGTTTTCCTTGGTTTCCCCCCGTTCCAAGCGGCTTCTCCTCAAAATGGAACCACTTTCAGGACGAAACGCCGTTCACGTTCTGAGGCCGCGGGCCAGCAAGGGCCGCCCAGCGCGGTCGCGGAGCGTCTGCTGCAGGCTGTTGGGCTCGTCCTGGCAAAGTGCCAAGCTGTAAACTGAGGTTTTTTTCTTCCACAAGAACAGTTGACCCAATTGTGATGATGAAACTGCTGAGGTAAGCAATGGGTGGTTGTATAACCCCACAGTGGCAAGGTGCCTGGAACAACTCGACTTCCAAGTGCCATTTTGGTGGGAGGGAGGGTACCAGAACAGGGTTCCCTGAAGAATGCATCCAACTTCCTCTTGAAATGAACCGAAAAGGGGTGCAGCTTTCGTTGGCGCATAGGCGATGGAGCTTCCCGTCTCGCAAAATCCACTTTCTGGAGGAAAGTGGGTCTGCCTCCAAACTTGAGAACCCCTTGAGTCCTTGAATTCCGATTGGATCCCCTTTGCAAGAACCCGTAAACGGCCGCCCTCAGAGTATCCCGACGTCCCCGGCCTTGACCAGGGTGCCAAAATGTGTTCCATCGCTGCCGTAGACTTCCTTCGCCTCGGGGCCAACGAGGTTGCCGACAGCATTGGTCAAATCACAATTTGGGTTTGACTCCAAACTAGGAGGCCCCAAAAATGGCCAGGTTCTTCTTTTGGCTACCCCCGTAAAAATAACCAAAGAGACGGAAAAGGGGAGTAATAAAAAAGACACCCATTTTGAAACACGATCCTTTGGGTCCTGTTGAAAATAGCATTGCTGTTTATGCCTGGAATATTGCCAGTTGGTAGGCATGCTTGCATTCGTTTGGTGCATGTCACCTCAGCTTCATTTGTCGCTTTTGAGGACAGGTGACCCCCTACAAGAAATCCTACACTTTCAGGCGGATTCATGTTTGCAAAAGGATGGTCTTTAAGGGACAGACTTAGGCACTTGGGGATGGACTACAACAGCATTCCATCAAGGAAAGACAGACACGAAGCAGAACCCAAGAAGTCCAGAGTCGCATTGTGGTCGCGAGTGGAGAGCCGGGGTCGCTTCGCTGGGTTTGCCCTCTCAGGGGACGGTAAATCTGAAAGAAATGATTGGGATGAGATCAAGGCTAACTAAAAAAAAACACGGCATTTGCCCTGTTTGCACCAGGAAAACTGATCGAGTATGAGGACGTTGCCGTAAGAATGACGGTTCATTGGTTTATGTACTACAGCTTGGCACAACTTGTGCAACCACCAACCGGGATTGTTTGAGTGTGCTCTAACCATTAAAGAAGCATTGGCAAAAGGATGATGCGCAGCCTACGAAAGCAATCTGCCTGAACCAGGCAGTTCAAGTAACCAATCATGTCTGAACTACGAGAAACCAGGTGCCAAAAGGCCCAAAACGCCGATGGGTTCACAAACAGGGGCTTGTCTTATTTCTATTTGTTTTCAGATTGGTGCGTGGAGGGAGAACTACTAGTTTGGGGTACCCCTTTGACATATACCCATAGTCCATACCGAAAGGCCAGGCTCTGACAAGTTCGAGCCATTTCTGGGATGCCCAAGGAAAACTCAAAGGATACGAACTGAATATTTCCCCGTTACACATCACCCCAAAAGAAAACTCACTCAGAGTTGGCGCAGCCCAGCTAGCATCATCCCACTTTGATGGTTTCCCAAATTGGTTCCTTTGAGTTGGTGACGTCTAAAGCCAGCTGCTACGCGGGAAGCCATCAGGACGCACGCCACTCGACAGGGTCCGGGCGTTGGTGACGATGGCCAGCAGGGTACCTCAGATGCTCCCATGGTTGGGCCATCTTTAGACACCGCAAGGTGACGTTTCAAAGGGAAACACGGCAAACCCCGCTTCAGGGGCGGATGGCACTAGGCTAGTTCAATGTGTTCATGGTTTTTTGCACCAAGAACGGTATGGAGGATGCCCTGAAAGTTGCAAGTAAACCCAGCCGATGAGCATACGAACAGACTCTCTTTCAGTGGATAGGCATCCTCATCGCTGGTGGAGATTCAAGTCTGGATGACAATATCCCTGGCAAAGCCCCACAAGGAAAGACACCCCCCAAAAGGACCTGAGGCGACTTGTAGACCTTCGGATACCTGATTTGTTTGTTGGGATGCTGTAGGGGGCATCAGAATAGCATGGTTTGGTTAGGTTTCTACACACACACACACACACGCCAGTTTGGAGTCTTACAGTCATCTCTCATAGCCGCCTAAAATGGGTGTCTCAAAGGACCGATATGAGGAGTGCGCGACCAACCTTTAGCAGGGTTGCTCCAACGATGGTAGGGTAGAAGATTGGCCCCTGGCAAAGGGAAACTAATAGCAAACCAAACCAATTGTCTACCCATGCATTTTGGTCGTGTACCTCAATTTGCTGAGGATTCCTTACCGCCTGCTGAGGATGTACGACTCTGCAACTATAGGGGTCATGCAGATTGAAGCCTTCAGGGTGCATTCCAGGGTAGGCAACATTCGGCCGTGCAACACATCTGTACCTGCTGAGCACGCATGATAGCTCAGGTTACAGCAACCTAACCCGGCTTCATATAGGAAAAGGTGCACCTTTGTTTCGACTTCCCTGCTGACTTCCTGAGTGGATTGACTAAAACGTCCAAACTTTTTGCTGGCCAGCAGAACGATCTTCCCCCAGAAAGTATACAGTAAAGTCCAAGAACTCAGAGAGTGGGCCATCCACGACTAGTTCATCACTCCAAAGGGGGTTCCCTTAGTATCAAACAAAGCGGTGCCCCACTTTTCTCAACCATGGTTTTGCAGTAAACTAAAACGAAAATCGTTCCCACAAGAAACAAGGAATGGGTAGGGGAAATCGAAGAGAATTGGGGGGGGGGGGGGGGAGGGGGCAACTTGGTCATCTTAGTCGTTCTTCAGCCCTCACTTATTCAAAAATATTTGCTAACATCACTATTTCAGTCGAGGGCAAAGCTGTCTCCAATAGTTCCAAATGCTGACGCAACGACGAAGACCGGTCAGCCAAAGGCGCCAGCGGAGTGGAGGGAGATCTGCACCTTGCGCAGTCCGTTTTCCTGCACCAAGGCGGCCGTCAACAGCGGCACGCCTCACCAGGACGGGAAAGAACAGCCGGCCATCAGGGCTCCAGGGGCTCCGGTTTTTTGCAAAAACCAGCAGGGTACTTTTGGGCGTGCCCCTAGCCCAAATGGCAACAAAAAAATTGAAAGGGTTTGGAAAGAAAACAAAACAAACAGAGATGTTGTTGGTTTCCCCTACGAAAAGGGACATCCACACGTGGCTTTGCTACCGTGTGTGGCATTTATGGGCGCCGTCACCCGGCGTCAATATCGAAATAGATAGGCCACAAAAAATACAAATCTTGCAAAGGTGCCGTGTTTGTCTGCGGTCGGCGTTTTTTGCCTAGGAAACATCTGCGGTCGGCGTTTTGCCTAGGAAACATCGATGATTCGTAGCGTCGTCAGCTTGCGCGAGCATTAACATCTGTGGTGGCTGTCAGTTGAATGGATGCTATTCTGCTGGCAAATCAAGAGGAACAGGGAGGTCGACTCCCGAGCTCCCATCAAGTCAAGCCACCAATTAGGGAGATTGCATCGTCATCAATTGTTTCATCACCTGGTATGTGCAATGTACAAACTGCCAAGGATCAATCCTTTCGGGAACTCTGGCAACAAGATCTGAGGTGAAACAACAACTGGACTGGCTGGGATGGCAGGGCATTGGAAAGTTTGGATTCCTTGTAGGCATCACCTTTATGCTTCTGCGAAACCACCCACATAAGCGGCTCCCCAATGACTATGCTTTGACTTACACACAACAAATCCCTGGTTGCACAAAAGCTAAAAAAACAGAAAAGCCTGTTTGGATTTGTCACATATGTCACAGTTCTTGCTTGCTGTTGCACAACAGTCACTAGCCACAGTAAGGCGGCAGCCACAAGCTCACTGCAACCACAAACCCACTCCAGCTCTACCTCCTCTGAAGCTGTGATCTTGCATCTTGCGCTCATCTGCCACCTCTTGTGCTTCCCATAAAGACGGCTCAACCCAGATATGGCTTCACAGTATCTCCTGAAATATACCGCAAATCTCTCTTCAAAGTGTCATCCTGGAAAACACTGACCTCTTCTTGCTTGTCCCCTCATCTTGGCACGTATCAACACCAGGAACCCCTGACTGCTTGTGCCCAACGTTTGACCTGCCAAAAGTTGAAATCCGTTTGCTGTTTGCTGGATAGTCCAAGGTTGAAACGGCGATGTTGGCAAGCACCACCACCTAAAATGGGTGGCATCGCATATGGCTTGGCTTGCTTCAGGCTTCCTTTCACATAACTTTCAAAAAAAGATGGCCAGGTTTTAGTCGAAACAAAATATGCTGTTCTAGTAGGACGGGAAGCTGAGTGAGTCCCCCAGTTTTGGTGGCACATAACCCACGAGTCCCCTAAATTCTCATAAAATTCACGTGTTTTGCGGGTGAAGCCATGCCCCTCGCCGCCTGAAAGGCCCAGCACGTCCACCTCGAACTGGTCGTGCACCAAGGGCGCCACCGGCACCGCCAGCCGCGTGTGCGCCGCCGGGATCACCAAAGGCGGGTAGATGGTCGGCAGCTCGGGGTACCAGTTGTCTCCTTTGCGACTCCAATGGCGATACTTAGGGACCAAGACATGGCATGGGTGTACATGATTCAGAAATTCACGTCCAACTACTTTGGAGGTTCCCTGGGAAATGTCATAGCCAAATAGGGGCTGTTGTGGGTCTTGTGTGGGTCTGTCTCCAACAGGCAACCCCAAAATTGTCTGAAGCCGTTTGGCAAGAAATCAAAACCAACCGAGTGAGCGTCTGGATGCTCACCCGAGTTGGTGTCTGACAAGTTGAGGTACGGGAACCTCTGATTTGAGTCCCTAACTCTCAAGCATACCTTTGTGTAACATAGGTGATCAATAACGCCAGACTAGAGGTATTCGAATTTACGTTCCAAAAGTATCCCTGAAAGGATAAGATCATGTTGGTCCGTTGTTGTGAGACGAAATGGATGGCGGCATAGCCATAATGACCGGCAACCACCCACACACTCCCTCCAGCTCTCCCTCCGTTTCACAGAGCACGGTGTTTTGGGAGTTACCCTTCCTGTGATACCAAAATAGGATTCCGATCCCTAAGATTTTACTGTCACTTTGAAAACGGGAGCATTTTCTGGGCATCACAGAAAATGGCTGAAAGAATCCTGCCAGCGGGTGGCACGATAAATCAATTGAAATGTACGTAGCTGATGTGATCTGTGTCACGGGGCCGAAAAGCGCCCATTGGGGCTTGGAAGTGAGATGAATCCCACTGGTTGTGTTGACTCAAGATAGTGAGTCCTCGATGTCCATGCACCATACATGAAAAATATGTCTTGTTTCCAGGCTCCTAATGGCACACTCGGCCACTTTGATTCGCAAGAAAGCACGGCTGAAGCCAAAACATAGAGTGAACCGCACAGATTGCCTGCTCAGTGCTTGCAGGCACTTGCAGCACGTGCATTTCCGGGGGGTCCACAGCCTATTTTTGGGGGACAAAAACTGAAGGTCTGTTCTGCAACCTCTTCACCCTCACCCACACACCGCTGGCTTTCCTTCCCTGTGACTCCCCAAGCTGCCTGATGAGCGCCGGGGCCGCATCATGGAGCTGCTGGGCGCCAAAGAGCGCATGGAGCCCGGGTCCAGGGTGGGCCGCTGGCTCATGGCCGGGTACATCCTCCAACAAGAAAAAGAAGAAGCCCAGAATTCCCCCGTGGTTTGGAGGAAACCCCGAAAACCCGCCAAACAGACATCCAGTGCGGGGGTGATGCTTGCAGGTCGGAAGTATGAGAATCCCTCGAGGCTCGGCCCCTGGTGCATACGACTCCGTGGAGATGAAAAGGGACCCCCTTCCCATACACGAATCTGGGAGCGGGGGGTCCAGGTTCGGAGGAACAGGCTTCCCGTTTTTTGGCTACCCCAATGGAACCCTGGAGGAAACCCCAAGCCTCTCATGCAAGGTGACGTGTACAGGTTGGAAAATATGGGTATGTCCTTTTTGGAGTTGGCACCCCTCTTGCAGCTCGGTGTCAAAAATCTAACAGTTTCTAAGAGATCCAAGCAGCTGACCCAAGACCATGGACAGGTTCGAGGAACCTCCCTGCCCCAAGGGCTCTGGGAACACTTTCGGGGGGGTCCCAATGTCTCCTCTTTCACCTGACTTGCTCAAGTAAAGCGGCGTGCTCAGAGGAAGTTTGCAAGGGGACCAAAGGGGATATAGGTCTGTCTCAGAACGGGAGATGCCTGTTTTCGATTGAAGCGAAAGGAACTGTTGCCACCTGGAGGTACTCCAAAATGTGAGACAGGCCAGAAAGAACAGGATGATTGTCGGGAAGAAGACCGAGAAGTGAGACATTGCAGCAACAAACGGATGCAAGAGACTGACCCAACGCCCTCCTTTGGATTCTTCTTGAACGCATGGCAAAGAAATCGGTGAGAGATGTACACAGAATTCGGTGTATCAACTTGAGGAGCAATTGATGTGTTAGGATTACATGGAATCTCATACGTGCACCTCAGTGACCCACACGCGCGGCTAGGAATGCATGTCAGCTCAACTTAGTCTTCTGCACATTCCTTGTGGGAGAAACCCACCATGCTCGATTGACACTGCTCATACGGGCATCTGTCAAAATAGGGGCAAGTGTCTTTGGTTTATCTTTAAACCAAGCTGAAAAAAAGGATACCCTGAAATAAAGCACTCATCCATGTCGCAGCTCCAAGGACGGAGTGCGCTTCCTCTATCGAAACGTGCAGAGTGCATGGTTTATGATTTACCGGACCCCGCGCTGAAATCCAACAAGATTGCTTCTTGAAACCTGCTAGCAGGGACCATCTCAGGTGTTCAACTCAAAGCTGAGTAAAGTATTTTCTCGATGGGCTGATTCACTTCACTCAAAACGAGAATCCGCACATCTGTCGAAGACAGGTCAATGAAATCAGCAAACACAACAAGGAGCACTAGCATGCAATACCAGTAGGCAACAAAACACCTAGATATGACTAGGTGTCCAAAGGCCAAATGCTTGTCCTTAAGCCCACCCAGTGATAAGGAACCCAGCCATGTTGACGCATGCCCACGTGCTTTCAAGCTGACCAACATGCTGTCCTCCTGCCACAGACCACGCAACACACCCAACCATCAAATCACACACACACACACCACACACAATCGCACGCAGCCCGCTCAAAGCGAAGCCGGACATTGGCCAAGTTGCTGCCTGCCCGACAGCAGCCCTCCCGCAGGCGGCTTGCTTTCAAAGAGCCGCGCCCGGCCTCAGGCGCGAGTCGGCCGTCTGACGTGGACACAAGGTCTGTTCGAAAACACCCAAAAGGCATGGGGGTTACTGGGGGTCACCCCCGACCCTATGCGGCTTTGCCAGCTGGGATAACTATACCCGGCCCCGACCAGAGGATTCGAAGGCGATGAAGCGCACATACTTGACTCTTTTGCCCGAAATGGATACCCGTTGGGGACCACAAGGATACAAAGGACGTTCAACTCATTTGTAAGTAGGTTACAACCGTGGTCGTGGGGTCAGCCACATCTTGTCGTCCCATTGACAGGCATGGCTAAAGCCTTCTTGCCCGGCATTGGTCGAGCATCCAAGCCCTCCTTTGAGGTTTGTTGAACTCAGATCTTCACAAGGGGATCGCCATCTACCTTCACTCTGAGTTTAGCTTCATCCTGGAGCGTGAGCGAGCCTTACGAGAACGGGCCGGGCTGTTGCAAGAGCACACTCGCCAGCCCGCATGCAGCAACCTTGAATTGGGTGGTTCTCAAAATAAGTTCTCTCCCTTCAAGCGGCTTGCCGCGTTTCGGCTAAACAAGGGTACCCTGAAACATACACGCCCAATTTGGCTCAAGCATCCATCATGCTTGTCGTCGCCGTAGCCGTAGGCCATCCAGTACAGACCGAAGACGGACACTAAGAAAATTCCAGCGAATAGCACTGCCTGGCACCCGCGCAATTGCTCTACGCAAGTCTCTTTCAAAAGGACCGACCAAACCGTACACGAAGATAAAAAGAACACGGGCAACATGCTCAAACACAAACACAAATCAGCAACTAGCTGCTCAATGACGCTGACGACTCTCCAATCTGATTCCATCCAACCAGCCAACTTTATCAGAATGGATAAATGTAGCTGTCAGCCACGGTTTCCCTTCAAGGCGACGCGCTCTCAAGAGGAACAAGAACATCTGTAGCCGGCTTCACCTATAGTAGTTTCACCGCAACAGAATCGCCTTGAAAGGGTCCACATAAAACCAATAGTCGACTTAAAATCAGGTGGTAGAACCACCCTTTCAAACTGCCACAGAGGGATCTTGGTCGCTCCAATCGATGCCCTCCCTTCCGTTCGCCTGCAAGGCACCGCCTCCGGCGTTCTCCTGAACCACCTGGCATGGGGAGGCGGCGTTTAATCGAACTGACCCGCAAAACTTCAAGAAGTCCTGGGCGGATGGTTGAACAGGGAGAGTTTTAAAAGTGGTTTACCCTCCCACCAACTAACATAGAGTGCAAAAAGGCCCTTTCCAAGACGAAAGTAGTCTTTCTACGAGGGTCTGTGCACTTCCACGTTAGCTGGTGGGAGGGTACTGGTTTACTTCTTGCACCAGGGCCACGGCCCCGCCGTTGTCCCCAGGAGTTTCGGGGTTCACACACGGACCACGGTTCCGGAAAAAAACGCGGGAATGGGGAAGAATCCATCCCGCCTCCTTGTACAAGCTCCACTCCCCGGCGTTGGCCTTCTCCATGATCGCCACTAGGCCCACATTTGCCTGAAAGGCAGAAGCTACAACAAATGGGTAGCTTTACATGGGTAGCTACGCACCTCAATAGAAGGGATACCAATTGGTTGAAGCTTTATGGAAAACCTTTTTTTGGGATGGGTTTCTTTTTGAGATGGATTTGGAGGAAAGCCAAAGGAAAAACTGCCCTATGTGAAGACATACCCACTTTTGCCGAGCCCCAGATCTGACCATTGGAAATTGTAACCACTGCAATTCCAACGGGAAGCGGCCTTCCCAATAAAGAATTCTTCACTTGTAGGAGAGTTTCCTGGTATCATGGAAGTCAAAAAAGAAAAAACGTCATACCCACAGCTCCGAAACTGACCTCAAACCGCAGACGCAAAGGATACGGCGGACGTGCGTTGCTTCTCGCTCTTTGCTGCCACGTTGCCGTCCTCCCCACCACAGATGGTGTTGGGACCTATGCGTGTCAACCCTGGGGCGCGGGGGGCCCGGGGTGTTCAGCATTTGGCATGCCGACTAGGCCGTTGAAACGAGCTTGGCAAAGGGAAACCGAGAGCGATTCGTGAATTCTGGGCCTTGTTCATATGAGTGTTTCCTAAAATGGGGGGCCCCCTTCCATCATACGGAAGGGATTCCCCTTGGCCGTTTGGCAAACTCCCCAAATCAGGTGTCGTCATAAATGCGGACTCCACGCCAACTTGGATTTGGAGGCCCCGAAAGCATCACATGACTCCCAAAAACCGGGACATGCAGGAAGCCCCGTGGCCCCAGGTTGAGTGCTAGTTTCGAGCCATGGGCCAAGCGGCCAAACAGCCTCCCAAAAACCTGTTCAAGAATGCATATGTACACATTGGTTGAATGGGGGGTTTAGAGGGGTACCATATAACAACAATATATATATATATATATATGTACATATATATATATATATATACATGTGCAGCTATATATACATATAGCTATACCGTGGTTGCAGCGCCCGAGCCCTCAAAGCTGATGCTAGTATCAAACGACATTAGATGCAAAAAGGTCTCTTGATCCAGTTTCCTTGCCAAATGACGTGCGAGAAGCCATTGGTCGCCCGCTCGCTCGCTCGCTTGCTTGCTTGGTGGCTTGGGGGTTCCTTCATCTCACCCACGCAAGAAGCCCGAAGCCAACCTCTACATCAAACAACAACAAAAAAAGAAGCGGCGCGGCCTCGCGCAGCGGCCGCCCCCTCGCTGCCGCTGCCTCCACCGGGCCCGGAGCGACCGGAGCAATTGGCACAAGGAGTGCATGGGCCATCCCTGGATTTCCTACGGCCGTCTCACGTCAACTTGGTCAACGTCTAACTTGTCACCGGTGTGTGCACATGTCCTCTTTGTCATTTTGAGGCGGAGTCAAAGTGGGCTGCCGAGTCATGGGCATGGCCCCAACTGGCAAAGGTCATACCTCTTGCGAGCCGTGCTTCCTTGAATGGATGAGGCCCTCTTGCTTGCCAGTTGGGAATGTCTCGAAACTCACGGACCCGAAATGGTTGTTAAAAAAGTATCAAATCTGTGAGGGATTCGAATACCTGCACAAATGGATTGGCCCAAGCAAGAGATGGAGCCCATCACTGATCTACTCGCCAACGTGGTTTCTCAGAAAAGTCCAAAAGTCCGACAAAAGAGGGAACCCACCCCAAACATAAAGGGCTCGAAAAAGGGCTCTCTCTGCCTTCAGTGCAAATTGGGCACAACTGGGCGTGTTCGCAGAGCTTTGCAGGGTTGGGCCAAACGACAAAGCCTCCTTGCTTCCCCGCAAGAGAGGTTTTCGAGGCTCCGGGATTTCCCGAGTTTCATAATGTTGGGTGGACCCCCCCGATCGATTGCCCGGTGACATCGGCCTGGAGGAGGTTCAACTGCACGGACTCCACATCCAGCTCCACGGCCCGGCAGCTTGTGCCTGCGGGATCGCTGGGCCGAAAAGAGAACACCTCTAGGAGCGACAAAACCAGCGGAAAAACGCTGTTCACGGAAGAGGGACCATCGTTTGGGCAAACCATGGCGTGGAACATCACATCCACTCCACAGCTGGGCCCGAAATAAGCTGGTGTTCATTCTTTTGGACACCCCTTGGCTTGGAACAGCGTCCGGCCTACGGCGTGCCCTGCACACAGAGCTACGCAGAGACGCAGCATGGCATCCGAGGGTCGAGTAAACCGCCACCCGGGCACCGGACCGCTTGGCCGATGGGCAAAGCGCCGCTCTCGGCTGGCAAACCCTGGTTGCATGTCAAAAAACGTGTGCAGCCTTCATGTCGCTTGGGCAGAGTGTGGATTCATTGCGCAGAGCATGTTTCGGATTGGAGAGACCTACCATTGGCCTCGGTGACACTGCACATTGAAGGCCGGCTACCGTTCGTGTGCAATCGAACATCCCCTATTCAACGAGAAAGCGTGTGATGCACATAAAGACCAATGGGGAGGACCACGGAGAGACGCTCAAAGAGCGCGTCGAAGGCACAGACTGGCTTGCAGGGTTTCAGTCCAGTCCGTCTTGAGCCAGGCAAAACGGACCGCATCTCATCTCATCCTTCGGACCTCAGAACCCGGCTGTCTAATTGGCACTCAAACACAGTTTGGATACCTGGCTCAGTTAATGTTGCTCTATCCAGAACATCCCACTGGCTTAGTTTCAAACATGCCAAGAAATCGCAAATTTCAAACAACATCACTCAAGAATCCGCTGTGGTGATGTTAGAAAGGCGTCACTTCAGCCGTTCATGCCAGCTTCACAAGCTGCACCCGCTCAAGTTGCGCAGCTCTGCATGTTTGACCCCTCGCACTATTCGCACACACGCAAATCTCCGGCTGTGCAAAGCTAGCTACGTCCCCGAGAATCGACCGCACGTGCATCCATGCACATGCAGGGTGGCTCAGAGCAGGCTGCATGTGCAAGGCTGTGACCGGTGAACGGCCTTTGAACCTTGCCGCAGCCACCTAAATGAACTATGACTTGAATTCCAGGCTGCATGGGTCCAGGGCTTGCAGCGCAGAGTTCGATGGAAGACTTTCGGCAAACCCTAGAGAGGGGCCAAAAAAGGCATCCGCCTTTGAGCGACCCTCATATGAGCCACAGCACATGTTTGTTGTCTGCCCCAATGACATTGGATTCTGGTGAGCACCCTGGTGTGCCCAATGCCGAATAGACTGGGTCAAAAAGTTGGGCCAAAAGGTCTAACCTTTTGTAGGTTGAATGAAAAAGCCATAAGGTCACACCAAAGACCAGCCATGTACAGCAGATGACGGTACATGTTGACCGTTGCACATTGTATATGGCTACATTGACTGTAGATGTTGATATGTGTTTGTATGTGTATAAATATGCAATGCGGATATAGTATGTATGTCTAACATGTCTCCATGTAGTTTACGTTCTTCCACTAGACCAGTGACAAGCCTTGGCCCAGCAGCAACCTCTAAAGTTGCGCTGGCTCACTTTCCGCTTGGAAAGATCCCACAGCCACCGGCTGAAATGAGGATGTTGCGCTGCCAATAGTCAGCTGGGGTCTCTGGCTAGAATTTGGGAATTCTCCTCAGAGCGAGGGGGGGCCTTTCACCAGGCCTCTCCAATTCTAGGGAACGGTGAGCATCCTACATTGGCAACATTGCCTCTACCATTTCAAAGCTGCAAAACCCTTTATACAACATTCAAACCCCCTCCCCCATACCCCCTGCCCCCTGCAACCCCCCCGCAGCTGATGCTTCCCCCTTCGGCCCAAACTGCACCGAATTCGACGTGGCCAAACTCCCGGCGCTAGGCCGGCGCGTTCCTCTGCCGCTCCGCGGCGAGCTCCTGGGCGGCCACCTGCAAAAACCGGGTTGACAAAAAAACGACCGCCGCGCGCGTGGGAGATTCATCCCTTAGCTTTCCCAATGTACATGACACAAACCGATATATATATATATATATATATGTATATATACACATACATACATATATATATATATATATGCAACCCCCCCCATGGACCCTGGTTTTGCTGCCTTTTGGGGATGGCAAATCTAGAATTTCAACATTTATATTCTCGAAATTTCCAATTGTGGGTCCCCAAAGCGTGGTAATTTGGAGCCCGGAGTCCGCCACAATGTCCCAGTATGATGCCCTTTCCAAATAAGATGTTACTTCAACTAGAATTGGAATTTTGAATATAGTTTAGTAAGGATATAGTTTTCAAACATGTGCTTATGCTCAATTACAGCTTGAACAAGCAAATCCTTTCCAAATAGCAGCTACATGAAAATTGTCTGTGTTTTGTTTCTGGTGACACATCCCAGAATCTGCAAGGTCTCGGGCTTCTGGCTTCCCAACTTCATCTTGCATCTACCTTTTGGCTGCACAGGATGAACATGTTGAAAAAACCCGAAGAAATCCAAAAAAAACAAATAAATACAAATCATCTTGCATCTGCCTTTTGGCTGCACAGGATGAACATGTTGAAAAAACCCGAAGAAATCACAAAAATCAAACAAAATCAGGGTCCTGGAGAGAATGCCCGGGTCAGAATCTCGGAAAGTGAATAAACCTCGAAGAAATCAAACCTGGAACAGAATGCCCAGACCCAGTGACTATCTCTCTCAAGGCCTTGATTTATTTTTGATTTTTTTGCTTTTTTGACTTTCTCGAGGTTTTTCACTTTTCCAGATTCTAACCTGGGCATTCTCTCCCAGGACCCTAATTGTTTTGATTTTTTTGATTTCTTCGAGGTTTTTGCAGCTTCATGGGTTTCTTGCCCTTCGCCCCTGAGCATTCGGTCATGGAAGCTTTGGGGCTCCAGGTGTTTGTCAGTATCTGCCTGTCTGTCTACGCCATGCCTCCAGCTGCTGAAAACATGACGATCGATGATCTGAAGGCAGCGTGCGAGGCCCTGGTGCGCCGGATCTTGCCATCTCCCTTTGTTTCTTCACCCGGACCCGAGGGCATCTTCAACCATGTGAACTTCCCCACGCGGTCCTTGAATGAGGTGGACTGCGCTCCCAGCGTGGACTGGGTCGACCTCTTGACCCAGCACACGATGACGGTGCCCTTCACCTTTGGGGAGGCTTTCAAGCCCACATGCGCCCATGCTCAAGCGGCTGGCAAGAAGATCATGCAGTACTGCCTTGAGAACATGGGAGCCCGGCAGTACCGTTGCTTCCAGCTGACGAACCAGGCCATTGGTAGCTCATCCCGGACCAAGTCAGCCTTAGGATCGTGAACTCGACGCAGGGGCCTCGGAGCGGATCAGATCTTCGACAGCTTCGCTGGCAGACCAAGGAGCTTCGCCGCAATAAGTCGCCAATTCACAACTGGCCTGCTGGTGTCGTCGACAAAGCTCTTCGAACCTTGGCTTCTGATGGAGCACTGGCGAGGAAGGAGTTGGATTGGCCTCTTCCCTTGACCAGCACCTTCTTCAAGCGCTGGGTGTTGGACATCCTGGAGAATGTGTGGGACTTCCTCCACCTTAGTTCTTTTGGGTGAGCCCGGCGCTGGCAAGAGCCCCCTGGGCCGCAGCGTCCTTATGGCGCGGCGCCGCCGCGGTGCTGAGAGCTTCGAAGGCGACCAACGGCCATGCATCAGGTGTTCCCCAGAAATCGATTTCTTTCGTGGTGAGCAGGGCACGGTCACCATGGGCGATTTCCTGGATGACCCATCCACATCGGACTTGAGCATCAAAGCTCTGAAGTCCTTGCTCGATGTGGGCTTGTGCGAGTCAATGTCGTGGGCCAGGTGGGGTGCTGTCAAATGGGTGCAAAACCAACCCAGCAGAGCTTGGGCAGCAAACAGCTACGACTGTGACGTCCAAGAGGGCGACGACTTCACCACCTTGTTCAAATTTGAGGACTTCAAGAAGATGATCCGCCCCGCGATCGCCAGGGAAGCCACCAGCGCGGATATCGATGCCCTGTTCAAGCGTGCTGTCTTCATCGTCAACACGAAGCGGTTCGTGTACTTCCGCAAGGCAGGGGTCAACGATGATAAGGTACCTCGCAGGTTTGCAGAGTCAGCAGACTACTTGACAGAGGAGGGCGGCAAGTGGTACGGCAAGTTCAAGGAGCACCGCAAGGAGCTTCCACCCAATTTCGAGGAGGAGGTTCGCAAGGAACAGGCGTGGCTTGATCTGGTGCATAAGAAGCTGAGCGAGAAGCGGGACCCCAAGTTCAAGCAAAGGCAGCAGGTGCGGCGGCTCTTCCGTGGTCCTGCGGATGAAGAGACATGCTTGGAGCAGATGGACAAGGCAGAGTCCTCTCGAGTTGCCATCAAGCGGGAGATCGAGGAGCAAAAGCAGACCGAGGTGTTCAAGAGAGCCCGGACATGGAGCCGTGGCCTCACTGCCACGCGGTCTGTGATCGAGTTGGAGTCCAGCCAGGAGAACGAGGCCGACACAAGGATGCGGACATTCCGGTGGACTACGAGGAGGAGATCCCGGCGGAGCACGAGGAGGAGGAGGAGGAGTTCGAGGAGGATCCGTTCAAGTTTGGCAACCTTGTCTGAGGCAGCGCTCGTTTCAGGGGTGGAAACTGTAGACAGTCTTGCAGTTTCAGAAATATAATCCCTTTGCAAATAGTACCATCCTCTGCGGCAGCATAAAAAGGGCTCACTTGCACTGCGTCCACTTTGCAGGCATGCAAATAGTTCAAGCTTGCGGGTAAAAAAGCGGCCATTGAAATTACAATCTTCTGTATTGCTGTTTAGCTGCGCATCTCGACATGTCATCCTGCAGCAAGCTGTGTGACTATTCCTGCAGCTGTTCATGCCTAATCAACGAATTACCATTTGCCACTGACCTCCTCGAGCACCATGGTTCCCAAGTATCGAGCTTTTCCCCAAGCCAAGAAAGGGATCGCCCTCAAGAGACCGGCCTCGAAGAAGTCTGCGGCTTACCAGAGTGTGCCTTACGTCCGAACTCGGGGCGGCACACAGGTGTCTTGTCGTGACAGGATGAAGTGGAAGCGCACACTCAAGGAGATCATGTGCGCAGATGACGAGAAGATCTTGAAGATCTTGGCTGAGGACGGTCTACTGCCATGGGAGATTTGAAAGTCTGCCCCATGTGCAACATCGGGAAGCTCGGGCGACTGCAAAAGCGAGGCAGTGAACTCCTTCGATACCGCTGCAGTGCGAAGGCGTGCAATCGCTTTGTGACCCCTCAGCACCTTCACCCCATCTTCACCGCAACTTGCGGACCCGAACACCATCCTCTACAGATGCCTGGCGAACGTCCCTCTGAGCACCATCCACATCATGACGAACATCAACCACAAGGCATGGGAGCGCATGGAGAAGGGGCTCGCAAGGGCTTCGTCGAGATCTCCGAGAAGGAAATCAATTTCGGAGGGGTCAACAAGTGGAAGGATGTCGAAGCGGATGAGGCCACTTTCGACAAGACCACATGCGCCGAACAGGACGGCGACACGATTTTGTGGGAGCAGTGGGCTGGCATCGTTGCCCGGGGACAGACGCTGTTGCTGCATCGGCTCAGCCCCCACCCCCGCTACCAAGGCCAGAGCCCCGGACCCGGGGGCAATCCGCAAGGTGGACTGGACCCCGCTTGCCAGGAAGTATTTGCAGGGCAAGAGCATCATCTTGCACACAGATAGCGCTCGATCCTACAAGCTCAAGATTGATGGCGTGGTGCACGACTCGGTGGTGCACAAAAAGAAGCTCGTCATCAAGAACGGCAAGCGCTCATGGAAGCCCCCGACCTATGTCAAGGTGGTGTCCCATAAGCTCCCTGGCGGCAAGCGCTTGTCGGTAACAGCCGGCACGCAAATTATCGATCGCGCATGGCGATTCATTAAGGATCGCCTGAAAGCGAATCAGAATGTTAAGGCAGGCAGTGTGATTTTGCGGGCCCAGATCCGCTCTGCTCAGCATGAGTACTGGCAGAGGGGCAAGGACATGTGGTCCTGCACAGGGGATTTGATGTCCTGGTACATGTCCAGGATCATGTGACAGCCACATGTTGCAGCAAACGGCAATAGCAAGAGAAAAGTACTTCTGGCGTCGTCCATCTGCCAGAATGTCGACCCCAGCATATGCACATCTGTTTCTTGCAATAATGCACCGCATCTTTCTCAAAACACAAAAAATGGTCGATCTTTGGGGGGGGGGATAGCATATATATATATATAGATATATATATATATATATATATATTCGGCTAAACTCCAATTAATCTATAACACAAGAAGTTAGATGGAAGTTGTTTCCCAAATATAATCCAAGTGTTAAATATAACCTAAGACGAACACAACTGAATTTGCTTTTGATAATATCAAGCGAATAGAGACTACATCTCAAATATAATTCATATTAAATATGGGCAACCATTTAAGGGACTTCTACAAGGAAATTCAAAATACGATTTGTGTTATTTACATTCTGGCCCTTTTGTAGCATAAGAAAGGTCCGACATTGAACTTTCAAGGGAAGAGAGGTTCAAAATCTAAAACTATCTCGAAACAGGGATTCTAGCTAAACCGTTGTATTTAAAGTTATATTTGCGTAGGAAAGTTAATTCTATCTCAAAAGGTGGAGGTAGTAGATGAGCAAATGTGGACAGGTAGTTCAAGAGGGTGGGGGACGGTGTGTGAACGTACATACATATGTATATCTATATATACACATACATACACACATATATAGTACCCCCAATGATCCTGCGCCTCCTCATAAAATACTGGAAAATACAGTATGTTTGAGCGTTACACTTGCCTTTGTTTACCTCCTGGAAAGGGGTCAACATGAGCATAGCTGACATGAAGCTCACCAAAAGCACTTGAAAGTGTGTCTAACCAATAACTTGAAAGTGTGTCCACTAGATCGCTAAGCACTTGAAAATATGCTACTATCGGATGGAAGATTCAAGATTGAAGATTACACAGAACACTTTCCTGAGAATTGTCAATCCTGGCCAAACCCAAATAACATTCAAGTTCTTCTAACACTTAAAAGTGGGATTCAATATTGAGGAGCCCACAAACCACCACTTTCCCAAGAATCATCCATCCTGGTCAACCCCTAAAAATGTTCAAGTTGTTCTATCACCTCGAACATATTCTACCTCTGGATTGCAATATGTCACGGAAAACTTTTCCGAGAATCTTATTGAACACCGAGAGTATTGGGACAACCCTGGAATGTTTAAACCTTTTTCAAAAAATTATGGGATTCTAGATTCAAGATTCAAGATTCCCGGAAAATATGTTCTCATATTCTTGAATCTTGAATCTTGAATCCAGAATTGTTTTAAGATTTTTTAAAAAATTCTGGGATTCAAGATTCAAGATTCAACATTCCCACACAATAGTTTCTCACATTCTTTAATCTTGAATCTTGAATCCCAGAATTGTTAAAAGATTTTAAAAATGTCTGAGTTGTTATTGTATTCTTGGATGCATTCAAACTCTTTCAGATTGCAGATGCTGATGTCATTGCTTTTATCACATCTGTATGCATGCATGCGTATCATATACATGTATGACCCCCCCCCATTTTGACACAAATCCAAGAAGCAAAAAGAAGCATACAACACTGGAAAATACAGGTCAAACGCACCAAACCAGGGTCCATGGGGGGGGGGTACCATATATATATATATATATATATCGGTGATTATGTATATATATATATATATATATATATGCATATGGGTGTATTTATGCATGTTGTGATACAATGACTCAATGATAGAGCTGCATCTGTAGAACTGGCCGCCCAGTTGGCTTGTCAAGGTTGTCTAGTTGAGACGTGTGCCCTGGCTCTTCCCACAAAGCGAGAGGGAGAAGGCCTTGAGGGCAGCCGGACTTAGCTTCAGGGATCCTGATTTGGGTATCGTTGCATGACGAACCCGCTGCGTGGACATCAACCCGGGGTCCGTCATTGTGCACAGCCAACCGCAATTCCAATTCCGTTTACTTGAATGGGGAATCAAGAGAAGCCTTCAAACAACTTAAAGAAACATGTCGAGGGTGTTCCGCATATTCATCAATGGCCGTATGCGACATCAGTTGGCTGACTTCTACAACTGGTTTGCAACTCACCAAGGTTTACCAGCCACCCCAAAAATGAGACATTCAGTGACCCGAAGGGGGAAACTTCGGGCAAAGCGAGATCTCCGCCGGTGAGCCCTGGCCATCCGCCCGTCTGCGCCTGCAGCAAATCCGGGGCCAACCACTGGTCCGCCTTCTCCGGCGGCGGGAGCGGCGCGGAAGGCTGCTCGAGCGGGGGCGGGGGCTTGTCGGTCGAACCCTCCACCGTCATGGAATACTTGCCTTGGCAGATTGGCAGTCTTCTAGGCCACAAAAAAAAGTCCCCTTTGGGGAATCTTAGAGCTCCAAACTCTGGGCGCGTCCAGCTTTCGCTTGTGGCATCTGAGTTCGAGGGAAAAACCGGTCTTTGGCAATGCTCAAGAAGGATCTCCCCGAGACAAACCACCTCCGCATCACCACTCCTGTAGCCTTTGGACCGACCTAAACGGGCAAAGTCGACAAACACAGCCCTAACATCAGGAAACGTAGCTGGCCCTCCTGTTTTTGGAACTCCCTGCAAATCAAATGCCCGACTCGCCATTCAGCCCAGCTGCTCGGCCGACTCACCCGGATCCTCCGGCCGAAAAGCTCCTGGGATGGCTGGGTGAGGGTGGAGGGGGGAGGGGGGTTGCTAATCAGGCAAAGCATTTCCATGGAGACAATCAAGTCGAGACTTGTGGGATGACTAACCAACAGAACCAATGGGGATTCTTTCCCAACTCCTTCTCCCTCCTTGTTCATTTTCTGTATCGAGAGGAATCCACGCCTTGTTCCCCTGGTCGAAGCCATGCTTGTTCACAGTTTGATTGCCCCAGAACAGTCATCGCCTTCTTTTCTAGAGTGCAGTATTTGAGTGGGATATATGTACTTTCTCCGCGCCAATGGTTTGGACAGGGGCTAATGAATCAACATATCCTAGTATATTCAAGCAGGAGGTGGCTGAGGAAAAGCTCGCGCGTGCCTTTGGGCTGCTTGGAAAACCGCAAAAGTACGTCTCTGCATCAAGAGCGTGCCAGCTCTGTGTTAGACACACTGACCCTTTGGAAAGGAGGACTTCCTGGCGATGCGGGTATTTCTCTCAAGAATGACTGCGCACTCTTCTTCCAAAAATGGGTCTGCAGTTCGAGGCCACTCCTTATTTTAGGAACTGACCGGCCCAAAATAGAACTAGGGGCCTGTGGAGGTTTCTTTCTTCCAGGGGGAACCCCCTTGATATATACATATATATATAATACATATATATATATATATATGTATTCATATTTGAAGGGCATTTCTTGTGGATGGGAAAAGTGGGCTTTGGAAACAAAAAAGAAAGCCAATGAAGGTATCGTTGGGCATCCGTTGGATGATTCTGCAAAGTTGCAAAGGGAAAGCCAAAGAGTCCCAAAAGCCGTATTTCTCTGAGTGGGTCACCTGTTCTGGGGAACCACCCGCCTGAGTGTCCAGCATCTCGGGGCGTTACATTTGCAGGGAAAGGGAACACTGCCTCGCAGAATGTTCCCAGGTGGATTGGGCACTCAATCCGTTCCATCCCAGCTCGCCCTAACTTGCTTATTCTCGGTTTGGAATATGGGAACCAACCCTACATGTATCCTTGTAGGGGACTTATTCCCATGTGTACTACGTGGAGCCCCAAAAAGGGCTCCCTCAAAGAAACTTCTCCCGAAATCAAACGTTTGGGGGCTCCATGTCAATCCACAATTTTTCAGGTGGCTTTCCCCTCCAAATTCCCGACCTCAAATCGGCGTTGCTCAAAATGGTGGACCCCGTGTTACCTGGTATTCAAACGTGAAACAAAAGGAAACCCTTGCCATTCCAGGAAATGGAATGAATATGACATAGACCGGCCTTCACCTTGCACTTTGAGCCTGAGTGGCGGTATCATCGAAGATGGCGATGACCCTCGTGGCGAGCTCGGCGTTCTGAAACTGGATGAAGCAGAAGGTCCCCGGCGGGCTGAGGCTCACCTGGCTGGAGGTGGCAACAGAAAAATCGCTGCGGCTGGTGTCCCGAAACGCCTGCCAAAAGCAGGTCCATGTTGAGAAAACTGCCATTTGAATAGAGTTGAGCTAGGCAAAATGGCTTGCTGTTTGATGTCTACAGTTTCCGGGAATTCCGCGCGCGGAACAACTTGATGTCTTCTATGCCGAAGGATGTGGCGTTGCTTGGGACCAGCTGGTGGGCCAGTGCCGCTGATGTCAAGGGATCTGCCCAACAAGAGCCTTGGCCCCGAAAAGGGCAAGTAAAACCAGGGAAGGGAGTGTCCTAGGGCCTTGTTTTTGGGTTATGAAACAAAACAAAAGAAAACCACTTGGGACAAGTTCGATCAAATCAGGCACAATTTGGGCGGGCGGAGCATGTTAGACGGCTCAGTTTGGGGGCGGGTGGGTTGACTGTCCAATACGCTTCGCCCGGCCGACGTGCAACCGCCAAACAAACGTTTTGCATTGCTCATGCTCCAATTCGTGGTTGACAGAAGCAAGTCGCACCTTCAGTTGCCCATCCATCGGCACTAGTGAAGGATTTGTCACCGTTTCTCCCACCGCAGGGAGTCGGGCCGAGGTTTCCTTTTGGATTGGTAAATGACAAGATCCCAGCTGAAACCAATGGAAAAACCACCCAGCTTGTGGCTCCGTTTGGAGACCAACCCAGGGCGCGCACCTTGAAAGTGGAAATGAACCCTTTGGCGCCTGTGTTCATTCCCGCGACCCACTTGGACCCTCTGCAAAAGCCAGTTTGTTCCATTGTCAAACCAGGGAACTTGAACCCCCCCCCAAAAAAAAGCACAACGGCAAGGTGTATGTCACCGGGTTGCTCCCATTCGACCCGATCACAAGGCTTGGAATTTCGGTCGGCAGAGGGAAACCGCAACTGGGTCCACTTTAGTACTACATCCTCAAAATTGGCACGACGAATCAGGGACTCAAATCAACATTTCAATTGCGGTTTACAGGGAAACCAGCTTAAAGTGGGTCTTTCCAAAGGAGCCAGCCAGAAAGCATTAAAGTCATAGGCATGGCGGCTTCTCGGTGTGCCAGATAGGTGTAGTTTCCACAACCTTGTTAACTTGCTGGTGCGAGGGAATGACACAAACTGAAACAATCCTGGCTTCCTCTCTTTCCCAAAACTGTTTCCCCAAACTGGTTTGCTTCGGGAATCCGGTTCATTCCCCAGGTCATTCAACCATCGAACCAACATCGGAAGAAGAAAAAAAAAGCGCCTTGACGATGGGCGGCCCCAGCTCGCGGTTGTACTCGGGCATCTCGCGCACCGCCGGCTCCACGAGCTCCCGCATCGCCTGGAAGCAGGGGGAAAAACCTGCCGGAAAAAGGCAGCCTGTTCAAAAAAAATGGTGGCGTCCCAAAATGGACCCCTCCATATGATAGTTTTGCAAAATGAATGCGCCTCTTCTTGGTTGGTGGCAAAAGGGAGCGAAAGGAAACAAACCCAGATTGATCGACTGACAATCCAGCAATAGGCTATCGGCTTTGGGTGGTCATCTCGGGTCAGTCACCCGTTTTGGGAACTTTGCCTCTCCCCCTTCCATGTGTCTTGGATCTGCAACCCCAAAACCCGGTTACATGTGCTAGCGGTTCGAAAGCGCAACCTGGAGCAAATGAGCTTGAAACTGCCTTCAAGGCGGGCAAACACAAAATCAGTGTGCAAACAGCCACAGATGTGCGACAATCCCAAATAGAGAAGTCGTACTGTGCGAACGGCAACAACTCAACGCCTCCTCATCCGCGCAACCCGGCGCCAGGTTGCCAAAGTACACCTCCCGCGTGACGCAGTTCAGCGAGACCTTTCCGGAGGTCAAAGCGCTTGGGGCTGGATGTAAGGCTTCTTGAAATGAAAAAGCCCTTTGGGGGGTGTTGTCGCTGGTATTCGAAGGCGGACAACAGTATGTCAGCTGATTGAAAAGCCAACCCTCATTGGACAAAGGTTCACATCGGCAAGCAAGTGCACGCATCTTGGGTTGCATGTGTAAGGGGTGATCTCGGGTGCATATGCTTTCTTCGGTGATTCAGACCCTGCACCTTGCTGCACTCCGGGTCCACCTCCCTCGGCAGCAGGCCCCGCTCCCTCAGCACCGTCAGATCCAGCGGGGGCAGCTCCACAGTTGGCGGCACCTGCATTGGCTGGATGGGTGGCTGGGGTGGGCTGTTGGTGCAAAAATGACAAATCTTCCCTTTTTGGGTGTGGTGCAAAGGGAAACCCAAAGGGTAACCACCATTTTGGGGGTTCACAAAAACACATGCCCCTGTGGTCCCCAGCCCATGTGGAGCGTTTCTTGTATGTCTTGGCGGTCCATGTCACTAGATCTAGAGCATGTCTGAAGCGTGGGATGCTGGCCCCTCGACAGCTCTTCACTGAACAAATGGACCAACAGCCCACTTGAATCTGCTCTAGCTCGGCTCCTTTTGGCTGAAACAAAGTTTGACATGGCCAAATCCATCTTCCAAGGATTCCGGACAAAAATTATGACATGAATCTCGAGGAGAAACAATGAGCCAGGGAGCCTACTGGCAATGCCATCCCTCGAAATCAGAACAGGAAAATGTGATGTGAAGGAAAGATGAGAATGCCTCATGCATGTGTCAATCGCAAGCTTCTTCAGATGGGACAATTCGGGACACCTAGGGCTATTCAATGACTCAACGCCCGTGTCAGAACCTATGACTCTCAGGTCACCCGAAGGCTCTGATCAGTTGGGCCGGCTTGTCAGACTTGCTGGCAAATCACCACATGTTTAAATGGCTAGGCTCAGTCTCCCTTGTTATTTTCCATTCCGCTGGCAATCCTACCATGCACACTGCATGCCAGGGCGCGTAGTGCTGCGGCCGGCCAATGCGGACTGGCCGGCTATTGATCCTTTGCTTGGCAAGCGCAGGTCGCGATTCCATTCGGGTGTGGTTCCTAGTTGTCAGGGAACACTTTGAGGGCTGTTTCAGAAGAAACCAAAGAGCAACAACTCACTTTGAGGGTTGCCCCCATTGGGGGAATTTGCACCAGGTAAGGCAAGCCCCAGCGGGCCCCAAGCCCCCCACACGTCCTTTACTTCCTTTCCCAAAAAGTACCCCCCACCCCCAACACGACCCGCCGAAGCTTGTATAATAGCTTTCTTTGCAGAACCACCAAACGCTCCGGGAAAATTGCTGGACTTTGGACGAACGCCTTTGTTTCAACCTCGGGAGCAACCCTTCACCCAGGTTTCCCTTTGAAATTGGACCAGGGCCAAACGGATTTTCCACAAATTTCGACGCTGCGCAAAACGGCTTCTCTGCCACCCCGCGCGAGCCGAGGCGCTCGAAGCCACTCATGGCCACTGCAGTGGTGCACAACACCTCATGTGGCACGTTTTGGTTTTTTTCCCCCCCGTTGTTTCTCTGTTAAAGTCACATCATGACCATTTGTGTGTGTGTGTTTGTTTGGGTTAGGAGATTCCCTTGGCTCACAGAGAAAGGCAACCTGCCCCGTCTTTTGGACCTTGACGAACACCTACAGTCACCACCATCCGGTTTGGACCGTTTTGGTGGTGATCCTACATGTCATCTACCAGTGGGGGGTGTCCACAAACCGTGCCTCATCCTGCAGCTCCACAAAGGCGAACGCGCCCTCCGCCTGGCAAGGAGACAGATCCTATGAGCATTGGAGTTGACAAGCAAGTGGCAAGGTTGCAGGGAAGCGTGTGCGCATACGCAGATACAGGTATAGACCGAAGCCATATATATGCACAAAAGCATACACAATATATATATATATATATCTGTGTGTGAGAGGAAGCCTCTTTTAAGGGAGTACCTTCACGTTTCCGCATTTTCTAGTCAAAAGGCACGACTCCATACGTTTCACCTACATCTTCTTGAAAAGGGGAGCAGTTGTGTTTGGGGAACCCGTTTGTTGCACCAACCGCCTATGCGTTCTGGCAAAAATGACAAACTCCTGATGCTATGCACGTGTGTGTGTATGAACACACATATATATATATATATATAGAGCCGGCGAAGCCGGTGGGCGGAAGTTTCTAAAGCGAGATGAGTGCCTATAGGAAGAGCTTGACCTTTTTTTTGGTTGCGCTCTTTCTTTCTGTATTTATGTATTTCTTTCTTTCTTTCTTTCTTTCTCTCTCTCTTTCTCTTTCTCTTTCTTTTCTCTTTCTCTTTCATTTTTTTTTTCTCTTTCTCTTTCTCTTTCTCTTTCTCTTTCTCTTTCTCTTTCTCTTTCTCTCTCTTTGTCTTTCTCTTTCTCTTTCTTTTTCTTTCTCTCTCTCTCTCTCTCTCTCTCGCTCGTTCTTTCTTTCTCATGTCTTTCTTTCTTTCTCCCTTTCTTTCTTTCATTCTTTATTTCTTTCTTTCTTTTCTTTCTTTCTTTCTTTTGTTCTTTTTTTATTTCTCTGTTTTTCTGATTTCTGTCTTTTTGCTATATTTCTTCATTTCTGTCTTTCTTGATTTGTTTCTTTCTCTTTCTTTCTTTCGTTCTTTCTTTCTTTCTTTCTTTCCTTCCTTCCTTCCTTCTTTCTTTCTACATCTCTCTGTCTTTCTCTATCTATCTGCGCCTGACCTTGCGAAAGTGCTGCGCCTGCTCCGAAATCTGTACTTGACCTTGCGAAAATGCCGCGCCTGCCACAAAATCGATACTTGACCTTGCGAAAGTGCTGCGCCTGCCACGAAATCTGTACTTGACCTTTCCAAAGTCCTATGCCTGCCACGAAATCTGTACTTGACCTTGCGAAAGTGCTGCGCCTGCCACGAAATCTGCACTCGACCTTACGAAAGTGCTGCGCCTGCCACGAAATCTGCACTCGACCCTTGCTGATCTATGTATCTACCTATCTATCTATCTATCTATCACCTGACCTTGCGAAAGTGCTGCGCCTGCCACGAAATCTGTACGAAAATGCTGCGCCTGCCAGCGTGCCAAAATGCACGTGCTTCAAGGTACCCTTCAGTATGGGGCTGGCAATCTGCAGCACGTCAACGAACCATTGTATGGTCGCACGCACCACGGCCTCCCCGCACAATGGCTCTTCGACCTTCTATAAGAAGGGTTCTCGGCCATTGCCTTGACATACATCCATACATAGATTCGATAAATACATACATTACATACATTACAGTACATACACACATTACATGAGATTGCAGTACAGCGCAATACATTACGTGACACACATACAATCATGCTTTACATACAATTGCATTGCATAATGTTGCAGTACACAACACTACATCAAATTGCACTACACGATGTTACATACATACATACATACATACATACATTACATACATACATACATACATACATACATACATACATACATACATACATACATACAGACATACAATGTATTACATTACATTACATTACATTACATTACATACATACATACATTACATTACATTACCTTACATTACATTACATTGCATTGCATTGCATTACATTACATTACATACATACTTACATTACATACATACATACATTACATACATGCATACAAACATACATGCATACATACATACATACATACATACATACATACATACATTACATACATACATACATACGTACATACATTACATTACATTACATTACATTACAATACATTACATTACATTACCTTACATTACATTACATTACATTACATTACATTACTTTACATTACATTACATTACATACATACATACATTACATACATACGTAAATACATTACATACATACGTACATACATACATACATACATACATACATACATACATACATACATACATACATACATACATACATACATACATACATACATACATTACATACATACATACATACATTACATACATACATACATACATACATACATACATACATACATACATACATACATACATACATACATACATTACATACATACATACATACATACATACATACATACATACATACATACATACATACATACATACATACATACATACATACATACATACATACATACATTACATTACATTACATTACATTACATACATTACATTACATTACATTACATTACATTACATTACATTACATTACATTACATTACATACATACATACATACATTACATACATACATACATACATACATACATACATACATACATACATACATACATACATACATACATACATACATACATACATACATACATACATACATACATACATACATTACATACATACATACATACATACATACATACATACATACATACATACATACATACATACATACATATACATACATACATACATACATACATACATACATACATACATACATACATACATACATACATACATACATACATACATACATACATACATACATACATACATACATTACATACATACATACATACATACATTACATACATACATTACATACATACATACATACATACATACATACATACATACATACATACATACATACATACATACATACATACATACATACATACATACATACATACATACATACATACATACATACATACATACATACATACATACATACATACATACATACATACATACATACATACATACATACATACATACATACATACATACATACATACATACATACATACATACATACATACATACATACATACATACATACATACATACATACATACATACATACATACATACATACATACATACATACATACATACATACATACATACATACATACATACATACATACATACATACATACATACATACATACATACATACATACATACATACATACATACATACATACATACATACATACATACATACATACATACATACATACATACATACATACATACATACATACATACATACATACATACATACATACATACATACATACATACATACATACATACATACATACATACATTATACATACATACATTACATACATACATACATACATACATACATACATACATACATACATACATACATACATACATACATACATACATACATACATACATACATACATACATACATACATACATACATACATACATACATACATACATACATACATACATACATACATACATACATACATACATACATACATACATTACATACATACACATACATACATACATACATACATACATACATACATACATACATACATACATACATACATACATACATACATACATACATACATACATACATACATACATACATACATACATACATACATACATACATACATACATACATACATACATACATACATACATACATACATACATACATACATACATACATACATACATACATTACATTACATACATACATTACATTACATTACATTACATTACATTACATTACATTACATTACATTACATTACATTACATTACATTACATTACATACATTACATTATACATTACATTACATTACATTACATACATACATACATACATACATACATACATACATACATACATACATACATACATACATACATACATACATACATACATACATACATACATACATACATACATACATACATACATACATACATACATACATACATACATACATACATACATACATACATACATACATACATACATACATACATACATACATACATACATACATACATACATACATACATACATACATACATACATACATACATACATACATACATACATACATACATACATACATACATACATACATACATACATACATACATACATACATACATACATACATACATACATACATACATACATACATACATACATACATACATACATACATACATACATACATACATACATACATACATACATACATACATACATACATACATACATACATTACATACATACATACATACATACATACATACATACATACATACATACATACATACATACATACATACATACATATACATACATACATACATACATACATACATACATACATACATACATACATACATACATACATACATACATACATACATACATACATACATACATACATTACATTACATACATACATACATACATACATACATACATACATACATTACATACATACATACATACATACATACATACATACATACATACATACATACATACATACATACATTACATACATACATACATACATACATACATACATACATACATACATACATACATACATACATACATACATACATACATACATACATACATACATACATACATACATACATACATACATACATACATACATACATACATACATACATACATACATACATACATACATACATACATACATACATACATACATACATACATACATACATACATACATACATACATACATACATACATACATACATACATACATACATACATACATACATACATACATACATACATACATACATACATACATACATACATACATACATACATACATACATACATACATACATACATACATACATACATACATACATACATACATACATACATACATACATACATACATACATACATACATACATACATACATACATACATACATACATACATACATACATACATACATACATACATACATACATACATACATACATACATACATACATACATACATACATACATACATACATACATACATACATACATACATACATACATACATACATACATACATACATACATACATACATACATACATACATACATACATACATACATACATACATACATACATACATACATACATACATACATACATACATACATACATACATACATTACATTACATTACATTACATTACATTACATTACATTACATTACATTACATTACATTACATTACATTACATTACATTACATTACATTACATTACATTACATTACATTACATTACATTACATTACATTACATTACATTACATTACATTACATTACATTACATTACATTACATTACATTACATTACATTACATTACATTACATTACATTACATTACATTACATTACATTACATTACATTACATTACATTACATTACATTACATTACATTACATTACATTACATTACATTACATACATTACATACATACATACATACATACATACATACATACATACATACATTACATACATACATACATACATACATACATATAGATACATACATGCATGCCATTCCGTTCCATTCCATTACATTACACTACATTACAATGCATTACATTGCATTACACTACAATGCATTACATTGCATTACATTAGATTACATTACAATACAATACACTACATTGCATTGCATGACATTAGGTACAATACAATAGACTACCTACCTACCTGCCTACATACACACACATACATTCCATACATTACATACATTACATACATTACATACATTACATACATCACATACATTACATACATTACATACATTACATGCATTACATACATTACATACATTACATACAGTACATTCAGTACATTCAGTACATACATTGCATACATTACATACGTGACATATATCACATTGCATTGCATTCCATACATTTCATTACATTACATTACGTTGCGATACGTGGCGTCATTTTATACTACACACATACCTATATATATATATATACACCATGCGGGTATGAACATTTGTGTGTGGATGAGTTTGCATTATCAAAGGCGCCCAAGTCTCCGTGTCAAGACCCCGACCCTCAAGGTCTCGCTTTGTGCACCCATTCGGACCTTGGGGGGGAAGAAGATGGCCCTCACCGGGTCCACGATGTCGGGGTATCTCTGCTGAAACTCGGGCAGCTCATTGAAGAGGCGGTGGAAGGCAATCCGCAAGCTCGCTTCGTCCGCCTGATTTGGATTCGGCCGATCCAGGGGCGCAGCTGGCAACAAACAGGCGCCATGATGACAAGACCAGATTTGGGGGGGTTCGGAGATCTTGAGCTAGGGTCGCGGGTCGATTGAGGGATCGCCGGGGGACTTTTTTCATGGAGCCCAAGCGAGATGAAGCGCCTGACTAAGAAAATCACCAAAGATGCCGCACATTGCTCGAGCGTTTCGCAACACAGTGCCTAGTTCCGAATCCCTGCCTGCGACCCGTAGGGCAGATTCCCCACGTAGCACTCACGGCGCTTCTTGTCGTACTTTGCCTGATCCTTGGCCAGGACGGCCACCTTCTGCTCAGGGTCCGTGGGGTCTGGCCTGGCAAGAGCCCAAATCGGACTCGAGCCCGCTGCCCCCCCCCCCCCCCGCCGTGTATTGGTCTCCCAGCCCCGCCTCACGTCCCACCTGGACCGCGCTGTCCGCCGAAGCGGCCGTGCCGGGGACCGCGGGGAACGGGACCGCGGCGACGGCGACCGCCGCCGTGGCGAGCGCCGGGGAGTGCGCGGGGACCGGCTGCGGCGGCTCCTGGCCATCGCTTCGCGGCTGCTTTCTTTCGGCTTGAACATGCTTTATTTGCTTTATTCTATGTGAGTGTCACAGATATCCAATCCACTTAATTTCATCCCATCCCATCCACAACCAGAGGGTTGCTCTTTTGTTTGCCAAAAGGGTCGTTGACAAGGGTCCCCATTTCAGCCTCTCCGCAACGAGGTTGCTGACCCTCAGCCGCTCCGAACCCCCGCATCCTGGACCGGAGAGACCTTCCTGGCTCTGGAAGGCCCAGCTCGGCACGAGTGCCCTTCCACTCAGATTGCCTCGGGATCCAACCGACGGGCCAACAGAAAACATGGAACAGTGCAACAAGCCATCGACCCTCCCTGCCAAAGGCTCGACAGCAAATAAAACAATCACGGGTGTGCAAAGTATCCATATTAAAGGCTTGGATTGCAGGCATGGATGGTGTGGGGCAGGGACCCTTGATCCGTACTGTGTTCTTTATCCAGCTTCGGCAATGTGTCGAATCATATACCGCACAGAATTGATGCCCGTTGGCCCAGAGGGGTCGGGTTTCCTTCTGCTTTTCCCCTCCAAAGCCACCTGCCCGCATGGCTTTGCGAGGTGCTTGGGCGGCCTCTGCCATCTCACAGGGCTGCGGCTGACCTGGAAGCATGCTAAGCCCTCCAGTTGAGCCTGGATTCATCGAAGCTCGTGGTCAAACAAGAAATGCTTGAAGCCCTGGTGGATATTAGGCCCTGTGAACACGACTTTTATCCAACTGTCATGGGAATTTCGGTGAGTAATCTCCCTTTGTTAAAGGCGGTTTGGTGAGCATGTTCAATTGCATCCCTCCACTACAGTTTATGATCGTGAATATTGACCCTAGCTCATGTGATAGGTGTTCGACACACGTGATTGTCACAAAATGTCCGCCTGGTTGTCGCAAATCGCTCTCACCTTCACCCAAATGAGCCGTTGATGACATCTTTTGGCCTTGATTTCCCTTCTTGCCAACGTGGTAGGTAGTCATGCACCGGGCGGCTGTTCAATGGTTAGTTGGAATGATGCTAGTTCGCAATACCACCCTCCTAGGTTCAGAATAAAAAGTGTGTCCTGGAACAATGTGGTGATTTCTTGTGCGATCTCTCCCCTTTGTTGCAGAAGGCATGCTTCACCAACTCCAATCCTCTGGTCAAGGCGCCGAGTCAGGCGTATTTTTCCGGAACCCCTTTCGTTCTTACCACCTGAAAGTCCCGTGAACCCGTCCGAACCTCACTCAGTTTTGCCCAAGCCGCGTGGCGGCGGCGCGGCTCGGAGCGGGAGCGGGCGCGGGCCGAGCGGGAGCGGGCCCGCGCGCGGCGGGAGCGTGACGAAGCTCGCCTCCGCTCCTCCTGATACTCCGCATATGTATACATATACATTTACGTATACATATACATATACATGCCTGCGTGTGCGTGTGTGCTTGTGCTTTGCACATCTGGGTATCGTCCATTGGGTTTATGGCTGTTCTTGACTGGGCAGAAGGCGCTCATCTTCAAACGTTGGGCCAGGGTTACATTTATTTGTTGCACGGAGCTCAAGAGGACCTGAGCTCTGTTCACAGTCATCCCGGAGAACCTCGGTGAAGTCAACTGTGTGGTTCCTAGGGTTCCGCAACAAATGCATTTTTCCTCAAGTTCGAAGGCTTATGACGGCGACAAAAAGGAAACCAAACATTTTGGGGTTCCCCTGCCACAATAAAAAGGGCGGTTCCGCTGAAAATTGAGGAATCGCACAGCTTGCTTCATCCTGATCTTTTCCGCGACATTCCTGTTCTTCAACTCAGAACCCCCCCCCCAGGTCCTTGTCACGCGCACTTCTCCTTAGCTCAGTTCAAAGCAGGGGAATGTGTCTCACCTTCTTGCCCTGGTGGCCACGACCTGACCAAAACACCTTTATCTGACTGCCTTCATGCCTTCTTGTCCTCCTTACCTCCATCCCTCCCTACCGCCCTATCCTCTTCCCACAACGAACAAAGTGCTGTCAGAAGGCTTGTGCCGCCTGGCGGGCGGCGGCGGGGGTGCCTCGTCCTTGCATCACCGCGATGCGGCCAGCGTCTTCTCAAGGAGAGGTGCTGGCTGACAAAAAAACACACTCCAAAGCCATCCCAAAACGCATGGCCATTCTGCCTCAACTTCATCCTGTACGTTTCAACCATCCAACGTGTCTTGTCAATCCGACTCTTATGAGAGAAGCTTCCCTGCACAGAGAAGCTACGAGCAACTGGTGCACCCTGTCCTCACTGGAAGACCTGAGAGCGCGTGTCACAGGCAGCATGGCCAAACACAAACCGCTGGATTTGAAAGTGGCTTAATATAGACTCACAAAGGCAAACCGCCAAACCTGCAAATCCGCGGGAAACTTGATTCATCCCATCCAGACTTCGCAGGAGTCACGCACTTGGTTTATGTGCAACCAAAAGGCTGCTCGGTTGCCTCTTCAGCTGCTGAATCCTGATCAGACTGGTCTTGGGCACCCTCAGCGTCCTGTCACGTCTCTGAGTTCTGCCCGAGCAGCATGGGCATGGCTGTCGGAATGCTAAGCGTGAGGCTACCACCCAAACACGCAATCCGACCAACAGGGTCCTCCTCTTCCTCCGCAGCATCGTCCCTTACAGGGAATCACTCACTCCCAAGCCATGAACTCTGTCCAAGTACCAGGTCTGGACGAGTATTTGCATTGGGTGCAAACGTTTTTTTCGCGGGACATCATCCAGCCCCAACATCTGTGCAGTCCCAGCATCTCACTCGCACTCTTCGCGTCTGAGAGCTCGCCCTCCTGAAGCGCCGCTCGGGATCAGGCTAGGCTGCCAATGCGGGCAGCTTTCCCAGTAGATTATCCTCTCTGTGGGCATCAGCAGGCAGACCAGTGGAGGTGCTACTACATCCCTGCCAGAAACAACTGAATCGCTGCACTGGACAAAGAATGAAGCCAGTGCTCAGCCCATTCCCACACCCCACCCCCCCACCTCGCCAAAAGACCTGAGCACGTGGCACAGACAGCATGGTCAACAACAAACCAGATCAGCATGTCATGCCTGATAACCCGTGGCAGCAATGCCACGTTTCGCAACTTGATTCATCCCGTCCAGATTTCCCTGGAGTCGCGCACGCAGTCCACGTGCAACCAAAAGGCTGCTCGGTGCCCCGTCCAGCTTCTGAATCCGGATCAGACTTGTCGTCCTCGCCCTCAGCGTCCTGTCACGATATGCGTGTGTATTTGTTTGCGGGTACTCTTTTCAGGTTGGCTTAAAGGGAAACCAGTAGGAAATTCACCGCCCTATCACGCGTACCCATATGAACTGAGATGAACTCCAGTCTAAATCTAACATCCGAGCAAACATCTCCTCCTCTTCCTCGGCGTCGTCTTTCGCGCTCGCATCTGAGTGTCTGCCCTCCTGGGAGCGGCTCTCAGGATTCCGGGATGTATGTCATGTTCCCGCTGCGCGTGTGGTTTTTTTTCTCGCAGGGATCCCTTTCTGTGATTCGGGCATGAGTGCCCAGGCGAAAGGTGAGTTGGGGTAAACAAGCCGCAAAAGAAAGAAACAATAAGCTCAGGTGTATCCCCAACAGCTAGGCGCTGAAGGTCTAGGATTTGTCTGCTCGTTGCGTCTCAGACTTCAGTTCTTCACCTTGCACCTGACCTGCACCAGAGCACCAGAACCTTCCTTGAACCTTACACCTGGCCTGCGCCGAACCATGCCGGAACCTCCGGAACCTTCCTTGAACCTTACACCTGGCCTGCGCCGGACCATGCCAGAACCTTCCGGACCTGCCTTGAACCTTACACCTGGCCTGCACCGGACCACCCCGGAACCTCCGGAACCTTCAAGCACTCCTAACAGCATGTCCCCTAGCGCCCGGCCATCGATCTCGCAAACACACAAACCGCACCTGCGCCAGCACTCCAAGCTCCATGCCTCCTAGCACCCGGCCATCGATCTCGCAAATATGCGCACCGTCGCCACCGCCTCAAACAGCACCTGCACCAGCACCCCAAACTGCATGCCCCCTAGCACCCGGCCGTCGATCTCGCAAACATGCGCCAACACCGTCGCCTCTCTTCTCGTCTCCTCCTCGTGTCTTCTCTCCCGGTCATCTCTTCTTGCTTTCTCTCCTCGTCGTCTCTCCTCGTCCTTCCTCCTCGTCTTCTCTTCTCCTCTTCTCTTCTCGTCTTCTCCTCGTGTCTTCTCTCCCGATCATCTCTTCTTGCTTTCTCTCCTCGTCGTCTCTCCTCGTCTTTTCTCCTCGTCTTCTCTTCTCGTCTTCTCTTCTATTCTCTTCTCCTCTCCTCTCATCTCTTCTGTTCTCTTCTCTTCTCTTTCTTTTTCTCTCTCTCTCTTTCTCTTTCTCTTTCTCTTTCTCTTTCTATTTCTTTTTCTCTTTCTCTTTCTCTTCTTCTCGCCTCTCCTCTCCTGTCTTCTCTTCTCTTCTCTTTTCTTCTCTTCTCTCCTCTCCTCTCCTCTTCTCTCCTCTCCTCTCCTCTCCTCTCCTCTCCTCTCTTCTCGAGTGCTACTGTTGCACTTAACTTTTGCGACTGTCGAGCTGCAGCTGGAAAAATACAATTGGAGTACTTGTGTTTTTAACTTTTGCGATTTTCAAACTGCAGCTGGAAAGGCGCACTTCCAATTTGACCTTTTGTACTTAACTATTCCGATTTCCGAGCTGCAGCTGGAAAAGCGCACTTTCAATACGACTTTTGTCACTTTTGTACTGAACTTTTGGGGTTTCCGAGCTGCAGTTGGAAAAGTCTACTTCCAACACTACTTTTGTACCTAACTTTTGCGATTGATTGCCGAGCTGCAGTTGAAAAAATGCACTTCCAATATTACTTTTGTACTTAACTTTTGCGATTTTCGAGCTGCAGCTGCAAGTGCACTTTCAATACGACTTTTCTCACTTTCCTACTTAACTTTTGCGGTTTTTGAGCTGCAGTTGGAAAAGTCTACTTCCAAATACTACTTTTGTACTTAACTTTTGCGATTTTCGAGCTGCAGCTGGAAAAGCGCACTTTCAATACGACTTTTGTCACTTTTGTACTGAACTTTTCGGGTTTCGAGCTGCAGTTGGAAAAGTGCACTCCAATATTACGTTTGTAATTAACTTTTGCGACTTTCGGTCACTTTTGTACTGAACTTTTCGGGTTTTCGAGCTGCAGTTGCAAAAGTCTACTTCCAATACTACTTTGTACTTAACTGTTGCGATTGTCGAGCTGCAGCTGGAAGAATGCACTTCCAATATTACTTTTGTACTTTACTGTTGCGATTTTCGGCTGCAGCTGGAAAAGAGCACGTTCAATGCGACGTTTGTCACTTGAGTACTGAACTTTTGCGATTGCCGAGCTGCAGTTGGACAAGTCTACTTCCAATACAACTTTTGTACTTAACTTTGCGATTTTTGAGCTGTGGCTGGAACGTGCACTTCCAATTTGACCTTTCTTTGTACTTAACTATTCCGATTTTCGAGCTGCAGCTGGAAAAGCGCACTTTCAATCCGACTTTTGTCACTTTTGTACTGAACTTTTGGTGTTTTCGAGCTGCAGCTGGAAAAGTGCACTTTCAATACGGCTTTGGTCACTGTTGTACTGAACTTTTTGGGTTTTCGAGCTGCAGTTGCAAAAGTCTACTTCCAATACTACTTTGTACTTAACTGTTGCGATTGTCGAGCTGCAGCTGGAAAAATGCACTTCCAATATTACTTTTGTACTTTGCTGTTGCGATTTTCGAGCTGCAGCTGGAAAAGAGCACTTTCAATGCGACTTTTGTCACTTTTGTACTGAACTTTTGCGATTGCCGAGCTGCAGTTGGACAAGTCTACTTCCAATAATACTTTTGTACTTAACTTTTGCGATTTTCAAGCTGCAGCGGAAAAGTGCACTTTCAATACGACTTTTCTCACTTTCGTACTTAACTTTTGCGGTTTTTGAGCTGCAGTTGGAAAAGTCTACTTCCAATACTACTTTTGTACGTAACTTTTGCGATTTTCGAGCTGCAGCTGGAAAAGCGGCAATACGACTTTTGTCACTTTTGTACTGAACTTTTCGGGTTTTCGAGCTGCAGTTGGAAAAGTGCACTTCCAATATTACATTTGTAATTAACTTTTGCAATTTTCGAGCTGCAGCTGGAAATGTGCACTTTCAATACGGCTTTGGTCACTGTTGTACTGAACTTTTTGGGTTTTCGAGCTGCAGTTGCAAAAGTCTACTTCCAATACTACTTTGTACTTAACTGTTGCGATTGTCGAGCTGCAGCTGGAAAAATGCACTTCCAATATTACTTTTGTACTTTGCTGTTGCGATTTTCGAGCTGCAGCTGGAAAAGAGCACTTTCAATGCGACTTTTGTCACTTTTGTACTGAACTTTTGCGATTGCCGAGCTGCAGTTGGACAAGTCTACTTCCAATACAACTTTTGTACTTAACTTTGCGATTTTTGAGCTGTGGCTGGAACGTGCACTTCCAATTTGACCTTTCTTTGTACTTAACTATTCCGATTTTCGAGCTGCAGCTGGAAAAGCGCACTTTCAATCCGACTTTTGTCACTTTTGTACTGAACTTTTGGTGTTTCCGAGCTGCAGTTGGAAAAGTCTTCTTCCAATACTACTTTTGCACTTAACTTTTGCGATTGTCAAGCTGCAGCTGGAAAAATGCACTTCCAATCTTTCTTTTGTACTGAACTTTTGCGATATTCGGAAAAGTGCACTTTCAATACGACTTTTCTCACTTTCGTGCTTAACTTTTGGGGTTTTTGAGCTGCAGTTGGAAAAGTCTACTTCCAATACTACTTTTGTACGTAACTTTTGCGATTGTCGAGCTGCAGCTGCAAAAGTGCACTTTCAAGACGGCTTTTGTCACTTCACTTTTGTATCGAGCTGCAGTTGGAAAAGTCTACTTCCAACACTAGTTTTGTACTTAAATTTTGCGATTGATTGCCGAGCTGCAGCTGGAAAAATGCACCTCGAATACTGCTTTTGCACTTAACTGCAACCTCGCAGTCCGCAGGGAAGCTTGAGCGGATCCTTTCAACAAAGGCGCGCAAGCCATCCCGCGGCTGGCGCCTATTTCCGAGAATGCGGCATGGCGCTGGCTTGTCCCGAACTGCGCGCAAGCGATAGCAGGCGCGCGCGTAGCGCAGCTGCGGGGCCTGGCGGCGCACGGCCTCCGTCAGCCGGCTCACGTCGCCCACGTGTCTACTGTCTTTAGGTCGGTCTCTACCACACCGAGCGCCGGGGCGTCGAACAGGCGGCGGGCGAAGCTGCCGCGCAGTAATCGGTAAAGAGATGAAGACGCTCCGGTCCCACGGATTCAAACACTGACACGGGAACGACGACCTGCGCGGTCTTGCCCTTTGAATACATTCACACCAGTCCGGAGCTATTATTGCGCTGCCTTTGGGAATGAATGTCAATGCTGCTGCAGATCTACAGGCGCACTCGCCTCGTGACACCTGGGTGGCAACCTGCCTAAACTTGAACAACTTCGGGCTCTCTGTGGCTCACCTATGACTTCAACGCGTTCGGCCATGGCGCACGCTGGAGGACAACAGCACCAAGTCAAGCCAAGCGCCCCCTGCCATGAGATGAAGCAAGTTCGAAGAGGAACAAGACACACCGGAGTCCTGAAAGCGGTCCAGGATACAGGCCCGACTACGTGGTAGTCCTTCCGTTGAAAGTTCCGCGAATGGGCGGAACAGCGCGCTTTGTCTCGCGATCGTGGGCACTGTCTTCCATCCAAATCTGGTGAATGGTTTCGCACAGGCACAAGTTGGCGGACGTGTTATTGCTGATCTCGGGCATGATGGCGAGAATGTCAAGCGCCAAAGCTGGCCGCATCAGGCAAGTTGCGCCGCAAAGCAAAGGACGGCGAGAGGGCACAGGCGATCGTGGACGGCGCAATGGAGACTGAGAATGTCGCCAAAGAAGGTGAGAGTGTTTGCGAAGTTGGCCACCTTACAGGGGAAGTCGAACGATTGGCCCAGCACACGCCCTTCTAGCACTGTTCATGCTTAAGAAACGCGCAGTTACTCAGATTGTTTCCTCAACTCCCAAGAGTCTGAAAGAAGAGTACAGCGCATCCTCAAAGGGACAAGTTTCCAGAGATCTACGAGGCCTCTGACCCCTGGCAGATTAAGGGTCACCCACAGGCAGCGCAGCTGAAACACTTCCCTCGGAGAAGTACTGCTGAGACAATCGGCCTCCTTGCTTGTCCTCGCTATCGACCAACCTCGGCCCTTCTTCTTGACATGCAAGCCACGACATCACTCTGGAGTGGCATTGCCATGGCTTCACGGGCTACTTGGACAATCCCGCCTGAGCTCACATAAAGCAAGCACAAATATATTGCGTCAACAGCAGGCTGACTTGCTCATTGATCCAAGTTTTGTTTTGTTTTGCAAACTGCAAGTATTTTGATACGCTGTGACACATGTGCACTGCCAAGCTAGATTGTACACCAGCCTTCTTTTCCACTAACATTGAACTTGATTGAGGGGTCCTGGACGGTCCTGGATGACTAGTTTCCTTAAAAGGGGCCATCTGTTTATTCTGGATTTCAACATTGCGGCCCAAGCTATCGCCCTGAGCCCGCATCAACTGACCCTGGAAACCCCGTCCCCGATCGATGTCCTCTTCAACGAATTCGGTCCTGCGCTCGCCGGGCTCAAGAGTGCTTGGAGGTTCCTCGAAACCTTCACACAACCTCGCCAAGTTCATAGCAAAGTTGATGAAGTCCTCGCCCTGGCCTGAGATCGGTGTGGAGCCGCCAAGCTCGTTGGGATTGCTCATCATCAGTAACCTGACGGAACAACCGGCCATCACTGTCATCCACTAACCTGCCACGGCCGCGAGGGGGTATCCCTATCAGGAGCAACGCCCATACGACCGCCACACGTACCTCAAAATCCTCGTATGAAGTCCGGCAAATCATTACGAGAGCTCCGCGGGGTCGACGTCATAGTGCTTGTAGTCGTAGGTCGCAAGCACGCAGGAAAGTTCTACGGCTGAAAACCTGTGATTCGGGCACGAGCCTGTGCCCAGGCGAAAGGTGAGTTGGGGTAAACAAGCCACAAAAGAAAGACCCCGAAACAACAACCGATCCCCGGTCCCAAATATCAGGGTTTTCCACACACAAGTCACAACCCAAACCAAAAGGGACAAGGATACCCGCAACCTTGGTCGACGATGAACCGCACGGGCACTCCCCACCAACCTGCCCCGGGCCGAAGTCTCTTTCTCCTCCGACACGTAGGTGATCGACGTGGGGACCCGGCGACGCTCATCCGAGGCCGCGACGGATCCAAATATTTGAGCCAAAACACCACGGGATCGTCACTATCGTGACACACCTGATGATGCTTCCAACACATGGCTAATCACACTTTCTTAGGGTTGGTTAAACAAAGGAAAACCCAAAAAGAAAACAATAATTTTTGCGGGGGTCTAAGTCCCTATTTTGGCGCATACCCAACTGGATCATCAAACTCTTCGCAAACAAGCGGAACCGCGGAACCCTGGCCAACATTATGAAATTCCGTGGGTCCTTCGAGTTCTTGCCAAAACCATGCCTGATGGGTTTTGTGTCCTCTAGCAAATCCTCAGGTCTCCAACTTTGACTATGGCTCAAATGAACTCTAAGCAACCAGATCAAGGAGAATCTACAGGTAGAACTTCCTGGAGGTGTCTTGGAATCAAAGACTCAAAGTCCTCCACGCTGCTGGCAGTCGTTTCCGCCATCCTTGGGCAGTCACCAGTCTCGCAACCAAGAAGAAGTGGGTGTGGGTATGTTTGTTATGGTACCTTTTTGGCTGGTTTGAAAGGAAGAAGACAAAGCAACATTCGTGGAGAGTTTGAGCCCGGGCGATCGCTGGCTGGGCATGCTCAGATGCGCCAGATTCGCAACTGGCTTCTAACTCTAGAAGTGGGCTGCTTCTGCCTACTGCTATGCGCCTTTCTACTACCCCTTCCATGCAATTCACTCCATAGTATTAGCTGTGCAGTTGGCAGGGATACGCAAGGTTATGCTGTGTGTGAACCACAGTCACTTTCAGTGGTTCCCAAAAGCACCTGGGAAAATTGGGTGGCCTGATTAAGTGGCCGGCGGCCACCGGGGTGCAGATTATTGGGGGCTAAAGCAGCCCAACTGAAAATTGCCAGCAGGCACTGGGGCACAAGCTCTTGGGCTACAACGAGCTTTGAAAGCCGCCCTTTGACAGGCACCAAAACGGGCTCCGGATGCAATTGACTAGCAAAGAAATCAAACACTGGGAGGCGCGTGTCAATATTGAACTGCACACTGCACACTGGAACATTTGCCAACTTTCCGGTCGCTCCTGACCTGGAGGCTACATTGACCCATTTGCTCTCGAGCCCAACCGGCTCTAAAGGCCCCAGGCCGCTAGTGTTGGTCGGAAATTTGGGCCTCCGGACCACCCAAGGACACCGTGTCCAACACAGACTTGCTTCAAGAGTTTGAAGCGGGGTTTAAGAAATTGGCCGAAAGAAGTCTCGAAATCAACAGGTACGTCAAACTGATAACTGTCATTACTTAAAACTTACGTCGACAGCCTGTTGTTGCCCTCACTCAGCCAGAAGCCTCCCCAGAAGAAAGAATTTCAAAGTAAACAAGCGCTTCAAACTGATCAATTTCTGTATCTATAAAGTGCGTCCAGGGCCTGTTCTGGTGCTCACTTGTAGCCTCCAGCTTATGTAGCCTCTAGCTTCCCACCTGAAAAAATGATATGGTTGTCTTAAATAACAACCCATTTCGTACTCGCTGGTCCGTCTGACTAAAAGGCTATTTGTTCCAAATCTAGCAGTCGTCTAAGGACGTTAGTAGTATGTCAGGTCCACGGTTCAGCTCCTGTTGGAAAGTCGCAACTTGGGTAAGAAGGTGAGCGGTTTGTTGACAGCGCTTCCTCGCACAACAGACAAACACTTGGAGCAACAACCGTGCACTCCCAAAGCACAGGCTTCGTCTGCTTTTGACATGTCCGACCCCGGATGCATCTCCAGCATCACATCATGACACTGGCATCCGCCAAAGCTGGCTGGGACCCAAAAGAAACCAATGCATGAAAGAAACAAATGCATGGTAGCTCGTTTGCCACCCTTGACGCCGTCTTGGACTCCGGCAAGGCATCTTCCTTGGCCTCGCGGGAAGCCAAGGCCATCTCCTGGAAAATTGCCAAGTCATCTCGAAGTGTGCACGCCAGCCGCAACGTGTGTCAGAATGGCCTTCTTGCTTTGGACCCCCCCCTACTTCGAGGCGGAAAAAGGTCATGTGTCACGAACTGCCCCATAGGTCTCAGACACGCTAACTGTGAATTCAACACGGGTTGGGCTCCAAACAGCGGAGCCCTCAAATGGCCGCAAAAACACTGGCCGCAAAAAGGCTTCCCCTAAGCCACACGTGGACAGCTTCCCTTTGTTTCCCTTTGGAGTTTCCCCTCAAAGGCAACGACACCACCCGGCTCAGCCATGCCTTGGCATCGTCCAGCTTCTTTGCCTCCGCTTCGGCCCTGCCAAGTACTGCACGGCGTGTGATTGCCCATCTCGGCCCCTTTGGGAGTTGAAACCAAGGGGAAGGCACCCATAGACTGGAAACACCGCCACCTTCGAGGTTCCCAAATTTTGAGACAACCCCATGTTACAAGCAGGAAGACAAAGGGAAACCTTGCAATTTTCAGCACAATTTGCCGGGGGCAATGCTTCGGGAAATTGCTAGCCGAGCAGCGAGGTCTTCGCAGAGAGTTTGTCCTGCAGGGAGCTCGACGAAACACTAACTCAGCCAAGGTCAAACTGACTTGCTTCCCCTAAACGACATGGGACAATGAGTGAGTCCCAAGGTCCTCCCTGTACTTTCGTCTCCGGCGTGGCAGTGGCGAGCGTGATTCCTCGCGGAAGGCTCGCTCGTTGCTTGCAGGCTGGCTACCAGGACCGTCAAGATCCCGACGACTCGTCTGACAAGCAGAACAAAAAAACACCCCCGCTTGCACTAACGAATTCAACAGACCCTCTGTTCATGGAAGGACACACTGTGGTTGCTCCAAAGTGCAAGTAAATCAGCCACCAAACCCAACAATTGAGCCCCCACTACCCCGCCGAAACTAGCAATTGATGCTGTGGTCTGTCAGTGATTTGGATGTCTCAAAATTCGGGGGCCCCTGAAAGTGGTTGATTCCCTTTGGCGTCCCTTTGGGACAACACCCCCTTGACAAAGCTCGTTGGACCCTCTTGCTGACCTCCCGGCTCCCCAGAAGCTCCAGCGCCTGCACCCTCGAAGCTGCGGCGCCTGCGGGCGTGTGTCTTCCAACGGATTTCCTGACGAGCAGACTGCTGGGCCCCTCGGAAATGGCCACGTCTTCGCGTGGGGGGGGGGGCTCGTTCTGGCACACTGCTGAGTTGGGCCAAGCGAGAAGGGAGGCGCCACTCAACGAGAAGGATCTGTTCACTGACAGGACCAGCCATGCAGTGTCACACGCTCGGAGATCATGGTGCCTTGGCCAGAAGTAGTCGCTGCGGTTTCTTTGGATACCTGACAGAAGCTTTGGGGTCAGGTGCCGTGGGGGGCCAGAAAAAGTATCTCGCTCTCTCTCTCTCTCTCTCTCTCTCTCTCTCTCTATCTGTGGAGTAGGACTTTGCACCCTTCCAATATTCTCTGGCAACGACTGAGGCACATTGCCATACGGGCCGCAGCTTTTTCGCATGTGGCGCTTCACATCTCTCCGCGCGGCGCTTGCGGCTTGGCTGCCTTCGCCTGGGCAAGAAAACGAGCCACCAGACAACACTGCTTTGTGGCAAAATGTGAGATGTCAAAAACGAACGTGAACCTGGTCCCTTGCAGTGATTCCCTTGCATGCATTCCAGATAATAAGAAATTAATACTTTTAAGTACACAGTGGTGCGTAGTTTGTTTTTTCTACCCGTTTGCCGCTAGGACCACATAATCCGACTTGAATCACACATTATGTGCATTGAACAATCCCAAGTTCCTCATCAACCCAAATGCCAAAGCTTACGTGAAAAATACTTGCACCGCAACATATTGGCAACCGTTTAAGCGCCCAAGAGGCTATGGCTGCTGAGAGCATGACAGTACCAGACAACACCTCTTCGATGTTGCTAGCATGCGAGAGCAATACGCTGCAACGTGCTTGGGATTTGGGATACTCACGGAGCTCTGCGAATATCTGGGCTGCAGTCCACCACAAGCACAGCGCGCACGTGGCATTGCAGTGTAACACCTAGGATCAACCTCGTGATTGTAAATTTGGGTGTCATGGGTTCCTCACCTCGGTGAGCAAACAACGCAAACGGCTGTTCAAGTTCAGTGCCGTTACGCTGTGTGTGTGTGTGTTGCGGGGCTCCAAGGCCGCCGCCAGGCACTCCCTTGGGCCTCAGAACGGGAGAGATTGCACCCTGGTGAAAGCAGATGGCACATCTTGCTTTATGTGGACATGACTAAACCCACATGGGGAGATTGTGGCCCAACTATAGCATGAAGCAAAAAGCACGATCTGTGGAGTTATGCTTGATTGCATCTGAAATCGACAGGGAAGCAAGCCAAATCCGATCCTGGCCTAGAACCCAAACTCCTTTCACCAAAACAGTGAGGCCCGTGTTGCTCGTCAGTGCCTTCAGCCATGGTTGGGCCCCGTGCCGGCAGCAAGGGCGCACAGGCCAACGCGTCCTGACGCTGCGCTTCAAAAGACGAATTAACCCAGTGGATTCAATAGGGGGTGCTTTCCAAGAAAGTGCAGGATGCCCGCTTACATTTGACACTTTGACCAACCAGGGTTTATTCAACCTGTGGGTCTAGTAGCTGCGATCCTCCACCTGATGTATGCCAATCTTGCAGGATATCTGAAAAAATAACTGGCGAATGTAAATTAAGGGTTCCCCAATTCGTGGAGTCACGTGTGAGAGCAGGTTCTGAATGGCGAGGAACGAGCTGCAAATCACCAAGTCTTCTGACCAAAGCATGACCATACGCCAGGCATCGCAAGATGTGCCCAGAGTACTTGCCACAGCCTCGTGGTAGGAGTCAAGCACAGCATTCAGCGACCCTTGCTCACGTCCTCTTCGATAGCTGCTGCAACCAGCTCTCGGTCCCTTCCTTGGTACGCTTCCGGGAGCGAAACGAGCGGTTCACTCACCGGGTTCAGCTGCAAATCAGCCAAGAATCTCAGGTGTTCAGCGGCATACTGCAGCGCCTCACAGAAAACACTCCACGCTCAATGACTCCAAGGCGACACCCGAGATCCAACCGGAACACGTCTTTTGGCCCAGCATAAGGTTGCAGAAGCCGAAAGCTCTAAATCCCAACCGGAAGTAGAGATGAAGTTCTGCGGTGTTTCCAAAGCTGGGTTGCCCCCTGATTCATAGCGCCTCAGCTATTCGGCATGCCTCTGGAAGAAAGGGATCTGAACTACAAAGGGACCCCCAACTGACTGGACCCCATGAATGGGAGTGCTCAAACTGGAGGATGAACAGGGATCCTTGCATGTCCCTGCAAACATCTCCCCACAACGAGACGCAATCAACCTTGGCCGAAAAGGTCTAAGGTGATGTGAAAGCTGCTCAAAAAGAGAAGTTCGAAAGGGTTGTTTAGGTTGCATGTCTATCTGAACACTACCAGCAACTGGTGGCTTCTTGGCCCAATGGCAAAGGTGCTTCGACCCGCGTATTTCTCGACCCATACAGGTGGCTGGTTTGTTGTTCCCTTTATTCCAGCCAGCCCAAAAGGGCTCCCCCACGAGACAGACCCCAGAACGCCTGGCCGTCCTGCTGCAGTGCCCGCCGCACCAAGGCCCGATCGCCCCGCAGCTCCGTGCTCGCGAATCTCGGAGTTGGAACACGAGTGGCGAAATCCAAAAGGTTTGTCACTGTGCTTTTTTCAGCGACAAAATAATGTTGCTTTCGTATTTTCATAGCCCTAAGGGGTCCACAAGGGTATGAATTGTGACGCCGACCCTTCACCAAGAATTTTGGAGGGGTTCCTGTTGAAATTCAATGCCGGTGCTCCAAGCAATGCAAGCCAGGCTAGGCCAAGCTAAGCCACGCCAAGCCAAGCCAGCCAGCCAGCAAGCAAGTAAGCACGCACGCACGCAAGCACGCACGCAAGCACGCACGCAAGCATGCACGCTCGCAAGCAGGCAGGCAAAGTGAAACTACACACACGCCAGCAACACAGCACCAGCCATGGAGGTTCATGGCAAAAGGTCTGGCAGAAAGGCATCAGCATTCAAAGGTCAAAACCATCCTTAAGTCCAGCGGCATGTCTCGGCTGATCTTCAGGGGAACCTAACCTGAAGCCTCAGGTCTGGGCACTCCGTGTGGTTTCCTTAGGTGGGAAACCAGCGCAACACTCAAGGCCAAGCGACTCCAACGCCAGGCCGTTCTGCGCTACCGCAGCTTCGACCTAGCGGTAGCCCCTTGCTGTGATACCAAAGGACTCTCATCCCCAGGCCTACGTGGTCAGAAGGACAGGCCCGCCGTGGAAGAGAATGATTTAGCAACCGGGCCACTCATCCTAAACGGCCACGGTTGCTCTTCCCATCTCCCCCCCCCCCGGAGGCATGTCCTTGTTCCCTCCACAACAAGTTGTTCCGCGGCAACAAAGATTTCATTCTCACACAACATAGAACCACGCAGACAGTTATGAGACACTCAGAGAGCCACCCCATAGAACCACAGAAGAAGGGTATACTTAAACTCAAAAACAACTACAGAGAGAGAGAGAGAGAGAGAGAGAAATAGAGAGAGAGAGAGAGAGAGAAAGAGAGAGACGCAAACACACGCAGACACACAGAGAGCCACCCCCTTCTGGTGTATTGCCCAGGCGCCACCTCCCGGTCCTTCCGCAGCTGCGTGGCGGCGAAGCGCAGCGTGAGGCCCTGCTGCTGCACCGCCTGCAGCACCTGTCGAGTCCAAGCGAGCGCCCGCCAAATCCCGGGGGCGTTGGGTTGGTTCCTGGGCAAACCCTCGGAGTACGCCATTTTTGGGGCTTTCAAGTACCGGTTTTAAGATGTTGTGTGGTTGGAACAGATGTCGAAATAATGAGTAAGCTTGAAAGACAGGGTGAAGCAGATTGCAGGTAGTCATTGCACAAACGTTTATCCGGCTTAGGGGTTGGTTGGTGGATTAACCCTTGAACATCTGTTGGTCGATCAAAGACAGATCCGCTAGCCGTCCGAAGGCAGAATCAGAAAGGGGCATTGCAGAATATCTGCAAACTGTGTTTAGCAAGAACGGACAAGCCCCCCCCTCCCCACCCAAAGAAAAAAAAACAAAACAAGAAGCAAAACGAGGCACCACATCCTTGCTGGCGCGAACACTGGGCGCCGCAAGCTGCAAGATGCCGCCTCGGCGTAAAGGGCAGGACTCGCTCGCCCCTCCTTCGAAGCAGGCTGAAGAGGCCTGCCATTGTTCCCAAAGGGACATGGCGGGCCACCCATGTACCAAACAAGCTAATGATAATGGCGTCGTCAAACCACCCAAGAGGGAAACGCAAGGCCCCTGGTGAATGGCCTGTGAAAAGCTCGCGGCACAAATGTATTTCTCCAGAGGCAAGCTGCTGTGCTGCTTCATCATCGCCAGAAGAACATCAGGGTCCTCATGCCCACTCCAATGCCCCAAAAAACGGCTCGCTTTATGACTTGAGCTCGCCCACAGAGGCCACAGATCTAGGAGTTGAAGCGAACACAAAAACAAAAACAAAAAACAATCGCCAAACCCGCATGCTCTTCATGACCCGCCAAAAATCGGGATGGAACAAGGTAAAAAGCAAAATGCTCTTCCCAAGTCGCGGGACGGACCACAGCCAAGGCACCAGGGCGCTTCTCTTGCCACACCCTGATTCCACCCTACACCACCCCTAAGATGTTGTGTGGTTTTAAAGAAACGAACCGGAAGCCAATCCCACTTTGGAGGGCACGTGTCCTCATTTGAGACAAACCCACAACAAGCAACTAAAAGCAACAACAACATCTACTGACTACCCCAAACCACTAACATAAGGGCCAGCAATTGTCTTGTTATCATGACTGAATCCACTTTGCCACAACCCTTCAACATGTTCTGGCCTTCTGTGTGTGTGTGTGCCTTGCTGTTTTCAGGTTGGTATAACCCGAAACCAAAATCATAACCTTCCCATTTTGGGGGGTCCCCCTAGTTTGCACCGGTGGGTGTGTCTGGGAAACCGCAAAATGAGTGGTTTCCCTTCGGTGTCCCTTTAGAACAACCGAGAAGGGTGCCCTCAAACCCAAACACACTCACATATTCCTCCAGCGTCCCCAAAACCGCCTCCTTCAACTCGAGCGCCCCCTCCAGCAGCGTTCGCTCCAGGCTCTGCCGCGCCACCTTCTTTCGAGCCGGGATGAAAAACAAATAGAAGTGTCTCGAAACGAGACGTGCCCAAAACCCACTGATGTTTGGTTCTAAGATGGTTGTAGAGGTTTCTATGGGCCTTACTATAACCCCAATCAACCCTGAGAGTAGAACCACCTGCTAAAAAAGGCCAACAGGAGTTTTGCGGCGCTGCTCAAATGGGTTTGTGCATATTTGAGGGCCCCGTTTTCTGGTTGCTTCAAAGCAAACCAAACGGAAAACCAAACTCCATTTGGCTGTTTCCCCTATTTGACACATGACGAACTGGTGGACCTCTTTTGGGTTGCTTTAGCCACCAAAGAAGACAAAATGCATTTTTAGGGGGCCCTATTTTGGGACACCCCCACATCAGTGGTGGAGCCAGGGTTGGGTAGTTGCAAACGCGGCAAGCAAAGGCTGGACCATGTACGTCAAACAACTGAACCAGAAGGGGTGTTGAAAGGTTCTAACATCAAATGATCATCAACTCCTCAAGCAAAATATCAACCCAAAAGCTCTTACTAAGGTTGAAAAGGTGTCAGAACTATCCAAACCTTTGGAGTCGAAGAGGGTCCAAATTGAAATCGGGGCGCGTATCTAGTTCGCGTTTTGTTGTTCTTTCAGGATGCGTTTTGAATCCTACTGGATGGCCAAAATGAAAAGTGGTTGAAAGGTCAATGCAGCACGGGATGTGCATGTGTCAACTTTGGCCAGCCAGGTCGGAGATTTCAAACTCATCAGTCACCTCTCCTCAAGTTCCATAGCAACTGGTCTGGGTTGGTCTTTGACTCTCATGCAATAGGTAGGACTGTCTGGCAATGAGTAGGGAAACACTCAAGACAGCACCTTAAACACCAACGCGCCAGAGAGGAAACTCGCCTAAGTGGAACCTCACCTAAGTTGGGGATATTGAGAAGAAAAAAAAGGAAGAAGACAAAAACTGCCACAAACAAAAATCAAAACTTGAAGGGCACCCTAAAAAATGAGTAGCTTCCTTCTGGTTTCCCTCGACCAAGCCCAAGGAGGTTCAACTGAAACCCGGTCGCCTCCAGCGCCTCCGCGTCGCACAGGGCGGAGCGCAGCACGGTGGCGTGGTGCTCCAGCAGCGGCACCAGCACGTCCACGCTGGCCTCGCCGGCGGCTTCGCCCGATTTGGATGGGAACACAACGTGGTGGCGCACAGGGCTTCAAATGAGACAACAGCAGCTAAATATTGGACAGACACCAGGTGGAGAATCCTTCCACGGGTTTCCATGGAGGAAAAAAGGAAAGACGCTCATCTGGTTGCTTGATGCTCAAGAGAAATCCGTCCCAGCCAGGGTTGCTCATTTGTGTGAAAGCCCTGTGCGACACAACGTTCTGTTCCTATCCAAATTGGTTGTTGAATCATCACCGTTGATTCTTAAAAGGCCATATCCGGAGCTTCCCGGAGCTCCAAGTGGAGGGAAAGGGCTAACGAAACTGCCAAAGAGTGATCCCTGAGAAGAGCCAACTGCTGACCAGACTCCAAAGCCGGCCTTCAGCTGCGCAGCGTAACGCAACACGCGGCCAGCGGACCGCAGGGCGCAAAGCACCACCTGAGAAGCGGAATGCAGCCGTGAGCCAAATGCATGTTTGTCTGCCAGTCGCCAAGACCTATCTGCCATGAGTCCCCCATGGCCGGTGACCTCTGCCCGGTCTCCGTTCAATCGAGCTGAGGCCACGCCTCTCTCCGCTCTCCCCCCCTGGCCTGGCGATCGCTCCGCAGCTGGCTGGCTGCGTGCTCCTACGGAACTGCGGCTTCCGAAGTGGAAGATATGCTTTAGGCCAAGCGCTCCAACTCGGTCCGGCCAAAAGCGGAGTTCTTCTTTGCGGGCATGACTTTGGGATGGCAAAATCGCACCCCTTGGACCACAACCCAGAGCAATCCCAGATATACCTGGTATACACCTGGTATGGGTGCGATTCAGTCTTGATACGAAGGATTGCGCCAAACACAGCAGTCAAATCTCACGCCCGCAAGACCATGCCCAAAGGCGGCTCCCGCATGGTGTTCAAAACTAGGAGCCAAACCTTGAGAAAAACAAAAAAGGAAAAAAACATCATTTTGTCAACATCCCATGTGCGCTGTGGTCAAAACTCCTGACGTGTGCAATGCTCATGGATCCATTGCGAAGAATCCTTAACATGGAACTGTTTAAGTTCTCAAGCAGCTCTTTGGAAAGGCGCATCCAATCAACGCCCGCTCCAACATGGAGCCATTCTGCGCCACAGCGAGCAGCACAATATCCTTAGGGCGTAGCAATGGGCTCAAAAGCCGCTTCCCACGCACGGCCAGGGTCACACATTTGTCTACATATATGCAAGAAAAACATGTAGATGGTGTATTTGTTTGCGTGTCTATGAATTTGAGATAGGCGTACCTGCGTACCGGTAAGTAGGTTTGTGGCTGGGTAGGTAGGCAGGTAAGTAGGAAGGTGGGAAGGTTGGAAGGAAGGTAGGTAGGTAGGTATGGTTAGATTGTTAGGGTTAGGCTGCGGGCTAGGTAGGTGCACGGTAAGGTAGGTACGGTTGCGGTTAGGTAGGTAGGATCAGGTAGGATTTTTTCTGTGCCACGTCAGGGAGATAGGTAGGTAGGTGGGAGGGTTAGGTGGGTTAAGTTGGTAGATAAGTGAGTAGGGTTAGGGTTAGTTAGGTAAGCTTTGGCTCACTCATTGAGCTTCCGGAGCAGGATCCATTCAGAGCTGAAGTGTGACAGCCACCCACACTTAGAATCGTGATCGTCCAATCCTCATTGCGCCCGAAACCAACTGCCAAACAGCTGGAAACTGAGCCAAGTACCCAATATCCAAACTCGTCGATTCCAGACCCCGCATCTGCACCATACTTCACCAACCTCTTCTCTAGACGGGCGTCGAACCACCATTGGGTGCTTCATCTAAGGCACCACACAACCTGCATCAAGGAGAACCACTAAGGCTGTAGGACACAAAACTCCATCACATCTGTAGTCCAACCACCTGCCCAGCGAAAAGCGTAGCCATTCATTGACCCAAGCTAAGCCTCATCCAACAGTCTGCAATCAGAGATCCACCAACGATACCAGCACTCCCGGCCACCACATCAAACCGCAGCATGTAGCTGGCCCTTCATGATTGCGGCATGGATTGGATGAACTTCTCCACGAGTCCCTCCTTCACAACCTCCAAGCGCCTGGCCTCACCCACGTCCTCCAGTTCCAGCTGCTACGCGTCCTCTCCTGGCTGGTCCTGGCCTCATTCTACCCCATTCCCAAGGCCGCTAGCTCAAACAATGGAGCCAGACCCTTCCTCCCAAACGTCCACGCGCCACGGGAAAAAAAGGCACCAGTCTTTGGCAGTGGGTCTCACAGCGAAACCCCTTCCAAAAACAAGAAACACATCTTTGGGACCCCTCATTCAAATATAACAAACAAACGAACAAACAAACAAACTTAACAAACAAACAAACAAACAAACAAACAAAGACTTGCTTCTTGGGACTTCCAAACCAAAAAGCAGAAGGCCCCACCGGCGGTTTGAATCGGTCGCCGAGACGCCCGGTCCGCACGCAGCGGCTCGGAGGCGAAGCGCAGCGCCGCGCCGGAGGTCCTGTGCTGCGGTGCGTTGGAACCGTGCACGCTTTGGTTTCAACATGATTCAGCCAGAAATGTGGCAAAGTGCTTGTTGCCCTTGAATCTTGGGGCGTGGCTTCTGCCTTCTTTGCTGAAACAACCAGGAACTCCTCCAAAGGGAAACCTGGAGGACTTCATGTTTGTACAACAGCTCTGTTGCCACGTTTGAAGACCGAAAAACGCGGCTCTCATTCTGGGAAAACTTTTCTTGGGCTCCATGCCTTGCAAAAACGTATCAATTCAAAGAGTTTGGGCGACATTGTCAGGCTCATGGCCTGCGGTTTGCAAACCTGGCACTGTTTGTGCAAAGCCATCTGGCTATGAATTTGAAGTGGGAACCGCCTCAAGAGTGGTGGACATGAATCCCCACCTAAACGACTCCGCCCTTTTGGGGCCTAATTGCCCATCTGTGTAGCCCTTTTTCGGATCCTGAGAAGTCCGAAGCCAATGCCACAAGCCCCACACCAGGCAAACGGTCCTGACTGCTGATTCGACCACTTCTCGATCTCCACGGAGGGCTTCTGAGGCAAACTCCTCAACTTCCGCGCTGAGCTCTGAGATCAAGGTTGGAGACCATGGGATAGAAGCCCTACTGATAGACTCACAGCAACACAGCCAGTCCACCAACCGAACAGCCTGGGAAATTCCCGCAAGAACAAGGCGGTCGCAAGTAAGAGATGCTGACAGAAAACTCCCGCTTGCCACTCACATGACTTGCCGCCAAAGTCTCTAGCATACTGCCCTGCTTCTTGACCGCTGCCAGCACCACCTGCTTCCATGATATAACACACAGCAGGTCTATGTGACATAACACACAGCAGGTTTGGGTTGCTGCTGACAGTGCAAGCTTCGGGTGTGTCTCAAAATATTAGAATCCTCAAAATGAGTGGTTTGTGTTTATGATTTTCGAGCAAACCCGCAGAAGGGGGGTCCCTCCATTCCTTTCCAGGCTCCGCCAACGCCCGCATGCCTCACGGTCCGCGTGCAGCTCTTTGGCAGCCAAAGGCAGGGCGAAGCCGTCCTGGTTTGCAGAGTCACAGGCAAGGGGGAAGCCGACAAATGAGCCACAGTCAAAATATGAACCACTAAATGGCCTGGGACAAAATAGCAAGTCCTCTGGCTTGCGTGGAAAATTCGGTGACCCCCCCAACGAAGGAAACTTCCCAAAGGCGCTCCGGTCATTTTCTGAGGACGCGGTACTACCAGGACAACAAGCAGTTCCCCCACTGTCAAGGATAAGGCCTGTTCGAACCGCCGCTGTTTCGCTTCAAAGTGGCCACGGTTTCAACGTTTCAACCAATCTTGAGCCCTGTTTCCTTTCCGTTTGAGTTCGCCCAGCTCACCTGCCCAACAGCGGCAATGACCACCTCGCGGTCGTCCCGCAGGCGAGTGAACTCCAAGGCCAAGCCGTTTTGCCTCGCGAGCTGTCCCCACTATCCATTTCCCGTTTTTGGGAAAAGATTGGCAGGCCAGTCTTAGGAAAGAACCCCAAACACATTTGGTTACCTAACACATGTGGCGTAAAGGGACAACCCTTCTCCGGTTTCTGGCGCCATCTTCGGATTCCGCTCGCTCGCATCTCAGTGCCGGGCTTTACCGCTGCCAAGGCAATGCTGCGGTCTTCGCACATCTCCTCTTCGACACATACTCAAATGCTCTGAACTCTTTGCCCGCTCCCTCAAGCCTGACTCAAAAAGGAGGAATTTCGTGTCCTTTTCAGCGGCACCCAAATGCCACTTAAACATCGTTACTGGCAGCCTACTCACCTGGGCCTCGTGGACGTTCTCAAATCCTAAAGGCTTGGGCTGACTTGCCATCAGTTGATCAGAGTACTCAAAGGAGGTCACTTAACAAACCATTTCATGGCCGTTGCGGTGTACCCCTCTCGGGAAACGAGGCACCACAACTCCGTGCGCCGCCATTGCTTTCTTGCGAGGGTGGCATTAAACTCTCGCCAGGGAGACAACAAAGGGTCAAAGGGAATCGTGCAGGTTGTGCTCATGTGCTTTTGTCCCGGAATATCCCGACACTTACACCTGCTAACGTGCGGAGCCAGCAGCTGAGGCCAGTGGTTGAGCTGCCGTCAGAACTGTTGGAGTCCGTGTGAAAAATCAGCCAGGTCCAACAACAGAGGGGTTGGTGGCTGAGATCAAGGCCATTGTGGCCAGGCTGAAAGTTGAGGGGGAGCTTGAAGAGCAGAAAAAGAAGCCGGAGAAGCCAGAGGAACCAGAGAAGCCAGAGAGCAGCTGGCGCCCTTCCAAACAGTGGGCAGCTCTCGTTGCCGTCCTTGCCAAGATTCATCAAGGAGTCCCAACCCTTTTGCCGCAAGTGTCCATCCACACACGCAAAAGCAGCTTCCCCTGGCCCCTCGGCCCTCGCTCCTGGGAAGCAAACTGGAGTGCGATGCCGGTCTGCCTTACGGTCGCTAGCACAATCTGCGGGTCCGCCCGGAGGCTGCTGGAGGCGTGCTCCAGCATAAAGCCAAATTGGCCTCGGTGACTTGGTGTTGTCTCCAAGTGCCATGTGGAATGCCGGGAAATGTTGGGCTTCCCTCAACAGGCACCAGTCCAGAGGTTCCTCCATTCCGGGCTGGAGTCTGAGGTGTAGACTGACAGCAGCCAGCACAACCTCACGCGGGCAAACAGCTGACAAAAACACCATCGCAATGGCAGGTATGGCCTGGCACACTCCTGCAGATTCGCATGGCACCTCGACAAGAATTGCTTGGACGCATTGGGACCTCCATGTTTATCTGAAGGGGAGTATGCTCAAGGAGTTCGTACAATTTTCCCCCAAAATACTGCCCGTGCCCGCACTTTCAACTGAAACTCCTGGCAGGGAACGGATCCATGGAGTCTACCATTTCCAGGGATTAAAAGCTCTCACAGGGCCTTTGGCGCGTGTTTCTTGGCAAGTCCCGTGGCCGGCCTCGCGGTCCGCTCTGATGCTCTCATCCAAAAACCTCGGAAGACGTTCTGCTGAGGTGCAGCCAGAGAAGCCATCAACAGTTCCTATTGGTGTTCAGATGGCGTTCTTCTACTAAAAAGCAGGGCACTTGTTTATCTGTTTGTTCACCTTCTTGGTCACAGCCGGAGCGACATCCACTGGATCAAAGCCAAGTCTGAAACCAAAAGGGAACCAAAGCACTCCAAACTGAAAGAACGAACCCCTCCTGCCCGGTAAACCGGGACGAGGCGCTCTAGCGCCCGTCCATCCGCTTTCACCGCACGCAGCGCGAAGGCCCGGTTCGCAGTGAGAGGCGAGGCAAAGGCGAGGACCTGGCACAGAGGACTTGGTCGCAAGAAGTTTGACTTTTTGTGGGTCCAATGGACATCCGCTCTGTCCCACAAACGTTGAAGCCAAAGGTCCAACCAAACAGAAAGAGAAGAGGGAACAAAATGTGCGTCATGCCGGGTCCCCTGAAGTTCTGCAGTCTCCAGGAAACCTGACTTGTTGGCGTTCGAGGGCTTTGCTAGGGATGGGGCAGGGCAGGGTCAGGAGGGGAACGTGCAGCGAACAAGATGCAGAACCTCCAGCATTTAGGAAGAAAACAAAAAACTTCAAGACCCATTCACCCCTCTCTCTTCTCCTCTCGCCTGGGGGCTCCACTTCAGCGCGCAAAGCACCAGATCCTCGTCCCCCCGCAGCTCTTCGTCGGCGAACTGCAGGGCGTCCCCTCGCTGCTCCACAGCGCCTCGAGGCGTCAGCGGCTCCACCCAGCTCCGGACCAACCCCATCCCTCGCCCCACAAAAAGCCAAAACGCGCGGTGCAAATTCGGCGGAAACCGCCCTCCCCGCATTCTGCCAGGGTGCTGAGGACCACCTGACGGGCAATGGAGGGGCGATCTGAATGAAATCGGTTGGGACACTTGGGACCACAGTGCTCCAGAATGTTTGACTCCAAAGCGCAACAGTTTCGGAAAGAAAGCGGCACGGATCTGATAGGTCCTTCAACTCAACTCGAGACTTGAAAAGATAGGCATTCTCAGCACATACAAGATGTATCCGAAAAAGTACTCATGCACATGCAAACCGGCATGGTCAAACACTCCATATCTGCCCCCTTTAAACATCACTCCCAAAAGGTGATGCTCACCCAACAGGGAAGTATCGGGGTTACCCCCGAATAGACCTCGGGGATTTCGGTCTCAGAGAAACCAGGTAGCTCTCCAAAGAATGGCGATTGGAAGGTAACGCGTGCATTTATTTTCTCACAATAGCAATCGGACCCCTAAAATGGTGGGCTTCCTTTCGGCTGCCCTTGCAATACCAACCAAAAGGGTGTCAAGAATCCATGTCTAAATATAATATATGTGTACATAGATAGATATATAAATATATATATATATATATGTATGACTCCCATGTTGATCCATTTACTTCATGGGTTGATCCGACCCTCGCCTCGCGGTCCGCTTGGATGGCCTCCGGCGCCCACTGGAGCTCCAAAGGGCGCGAGGCCACGCGCCCCAGCCACGCCGCCTGCTCCGGCGGGCGCCTGCCCAAGCCGCAGGAGCCGCAGGAACCGAAGTGACTCTTTCATGGACCTGGGACCTCGTTTTACCTCGCGAGAGTCGCGAGAGGGTGAAAAACCGCTCCGGTGGTCCAGTTTAATCTGTCCAGACTGCGCAACATGCAACCCTGTGCTCCACATGTTCTTTGAACCTGAGGCAGTTCTTGGATGCTCAAAGCTTGAATTTGCTGAAGGTGCGGAGACCTGCAGGTTGGAATGTGATAAAAGATAGGTCTATGTGGTTGCGGAATGTATATATCCAGTGTGCACGTGTTGTCTTGATGTTCCGAAGGGCTGCTCAAGTTGTTTCCTGCAAGAGGAATTGCTACGAACGCGCTTCCATCGATAAAGGCAGTACAAATGTGTCGCCTGATGAGCGTAAGCTCCAGCTCGCCGTGGGCCGCGAGGTCTCCCAAGGTCTCGGAGCTGGCAAGCTCTCGGCCTGCTTTTCCAAGCGCTGGAGACCCCAATCACACCAAGCCTCCGACCGCAACCATAATGAGTGACGCAGGGGCTCGGAAAATGTCGCTGATTAAAAAAAAGCACCTCTTGGAGCAAATGAAACATCAGCCCTCCTTTTCATGCTGGAAACGGCTCCCAGGACAAGAAAGAGTCGTTGAGTCTGACCACGTGAGTCATAATCAAAACCCGCCAGAACCATGTAAACAATTAAGTTAAGAAGGCGGCCGCTGCTATTTATGGTTGGGATTGTTTCCTACTAACCTTCATCTACCAGAGTTTTGATTGTGGCTCACGTGCTTTTGGGCCGTAGTTGCACCATGCAAACTCTCTTCAAGCTGCTTTTGTCACCACCAACAGAGTTCGCTACGAATACAACACAAAGACCTCAATCCTGATCTCTCCCTCCTTTGGAAATCAAAGATTTGTCAAACAGCAAAAGGGCCCTTTACCACCCTCTCAACCCTCAACCTCCCCCCCTTTTCCCGGCAACCTACTTTCCCGCAACCCCCTCCAACTTCTCGTTGGTGTCCCTTGAAAACCAACAGGTGGTTCCCAAAAAACGTGCCACACCCGCCCAAGCCCCGCGCCTGCCAGCCACAGCCGCTGCTGCGGCTCGGGCACCGCAGGCCGCAGCTCCTCCCCGAGTCGCGCCACTGTCCACCCCGGCCACGCAGCCTTCGCCTGGCGAGTCTCTGGGCTTTCTTGAGGCAAACCACACTCAGCGGATGGAAACCTTGAGGCAAACCACATTCTCACAGCTCCTGGCTTTCCAGGTCTTCGACAAAAAGGAAACTGATTTTGGAAATATGTCCCTCGTGTCGTTTCAACCACGAGGCTTGCCCAACAAAAAGCAGAACTCCGAGAAATCTTCGCCTCCAGGCACAGCTCGCCGCTGAGGCACCGCACGCGGAGCATGGCATGGCTGCCGCGACGCCGCGAGGCCCAATGGCAAGAGTGGCAAAGGCCCACCCTCCGTGGCCGGGAGGACCAGTGGGGTCTGTCCTTTTCTAACCCCTTTTGGTTGGTTTTAACTGGATGCCAAAAGCCGACCAACCATTTTGGGAATTTAAGTTGAGACTGGTGTGCCGCCCGGAAATGGGACTTGTGGGACAGGTTGAGACTTGTTTTGGGCCGGCAAAATTCAAGCTTTACAGGGACTGAATTGGGTAGCAACAAGTATGGTCCAACCAAGGAAGGCGAGGCGGGCAAATATGGGCTGTTGGGATGCTGTGCTGTAAGTGGGCAAACTGCTTGGACCAAAAGTGGTTTGGGGAGCTGACCCAAACGAATGGGCCAACGTCCTGCCTTGGGGCTTCCTCTTCCCTGGTAGCCGTTCTTAAGCACTTACGTTTTTCCAACCGAGCCGGTTGAACTCAGCGCGCCTACCCCAAAGACCGCGATCCACAATTCTTGAGACCAGCCCTTGGGATGACGGCGCCGCTTGGGCGCTTCGTCTCAATCGAACGCCAGAAAAACGCGGCCGCTCTGAGCCGAGCCCTTTCCATGCCGCCTGTCGGCCGGCGCGGGCCAAACTGGTTTCAAAACGCAGTTGCCCGGCTGCAAGATTATTCATTCAGCTGTCAGCTACTTAAAACGCCGACCTGCTTGAGAAAGTCCCCCAGGAGGCCGACGCACTTGCTGAAGTTGGCCGGGGATACCCGCCAATTGAAGAAGAAGTGCCCCTCTCCAGGGAAGGTGATCACTTTGCAATCACTGCCACTGCACTCCATCCTTGGTTCGCAGCTCACACAAGGTCTACTGCAACGATGTCCCCCCTTCTCTTCCTAATTGCCCCAAAAAACCTCCTGAAGGAAAGATCTGAGAATCTCAAGGTCATGGGACCCACAGGACTTCCCTCAGATGAAGCACCAGAGAGTCGGCATCAGAGGTCCCCTTTGACCCCCCCCACCCCCTGCGTCCGAGCTGAGGGGATTGGGGTCGCTGGAACTGCGGGTCTATGGATTCCTTCCGAAAGCCCAAGGCGGCTCCCTTCCTGGTCCTCCAAGGGGCCCCCGCTGGAAGCTCCGCACCTCCTCCAAGGGAACCAACTGATCCTCGGTGCCGTGCAGGATCAGCGTGGGCTGCGGCAGCTGGCCTTCGGCTCGAAACAAGGACCGCTCGAATCCATTACAGCGCTAGCCTGGCCGTTCCCTCAAAATGGAGAAGCTCCGCAGTTGAGGTCGCTTTTTGGCCCGGAGTCTGGAGGGCAAGTCAAATCTGAGGGATCTTGCCGAAAGGAGAGCATGAACTTCGAGAAGAACTGCTGTCAGTGTGGGTGGGGATGGGGGTGGGGCTGGGTCTGTGTCTCTGGGTCTCCGTGTCTCTGTGTCTTTTGTGTCTCTGTGTCTTAGTTGTGGCTAAATTCTGGCATCAGCACCTGCAATCCTTCCCCAACTCCCAACTGTGTCGTTTTGGAGCACTCGCAACCCGATTCTTCTTGCCTTTGAGCTATCTTGCCTTTGAGCTGCGATCCTGGTGGCTCTGCCCCCCCCATTCTGCCAATCAGAATTAGCCGCTATCAAAAGCCGGCCTGGTGACAGGCACCGCAAACATATCCCGCTTGGGTATGTGTCAGAATGGTTGGCCAATTTGGACCTGGCTGCTTGGTTTCGATCCCCCGAAGCTTGACACACTGCCATTTCCTCAGAGAGTGCGTCAAAAAATAACGCTCAAGGAGCAAACCTACAGAAAAGCTCAAGGAGGCCGAACCGGGTCCAGACAGACTGCCCCGCTTGGCCGTCCACTGGAGCCCCCGGCGCACGCGGAACACGGGGGAGTGCTCCTCCAGCAGCTCACGGCCGTAGCGGAAGCGCATGAGGCCACTGCACAGCCAAGTGTCTCAGTCCAAGGAGCCGAATGGGAACCACGACCGAAAAACATAGCAAACAAAGGTGAAAACCACCCCAGGCAAGGAAGAACTCAAGGGTATTTGGTTGAAAGGGAAACCAAAAGGATTTCTGCCATTTGGGCTAAGTCAAGAGGAAACCAGATTTGTTTGAATAGGTGGGTTCAAAAAAGGGTGGTTTCAGCATCAAAACACAAGGCGACCAGCCACTTGCAATCTCCAATTCTGAGCCAAAGGGGTGACTCTTGGCCGAAAGCGCCGCTTAATGTCAGTTTGTCCGCTTTGCGGGGCACTTAAATGCAACCATCCGGCTGGTGAGCGGGGGTGGGCCAAATCCTTTTTGTTTGCATTACCTTCCTGTCGTCCGGCCGCGGCTGCAACAAATCGTCTTGATCCATCTAGCGGAGTACTCCGATATCAGGGGAATACCAACTGTGCGACCCTTGCCCTTCATGCCGGGCGGCACCAGCGCCGGTGCTGCCACCGCTCGCGGAACTGCAGGTCTAGGACCGGGTTGAAGAGCAAAAGCCTCGGAGCGAGCGGCTTATCAAGCCAACCGAGCAGAAGCTTTCTGCAATCATGGGACACCAGCGGTTATAGAGGAATCACAATTTTGAGGGCCTCGTTTTTGGCAATTTGCGGGAAAAACGGGATTGCTTTGTAGGCCAACCAATGCAAAGCCAAGAGCCGGAAGTTGCCGTTCATACGAGCGCTGGTGCTTGAACTGTCCCTGGGTTTGAAGCTTCCCCCCCATTCGGAAACCTTCAGGATGTTTCTCATGGATGGGATTTACATTTCTCAAAGGGGGCCGAGTTGGAAGATGGAAAACATCCTGAGCAAAAGGTGCGAGAGGAACGGAAATCGCTTGCCCCAAAACCAATCCCGCTTGACTTCCTTTTGTTGCTTCAGGCGCCACTACACAAACCGCATATGTACCAGTTCCTTGTGAAACCAATTGAGAAGGTCGAAAAACCAAAAGACACATGAGCCACAATCCAAACACATCACATCTTGCATTTTATCTTGTATGATCTTGTTACTCTAAAAGTTGTTGTTGTTTCGCTTATGTCTGCCGACTGTCCCCAACCTTCACTTTGTCCAGGTGTTGTTGGCGACTCAGTTAGTGCGCTGAACCATTTTCTTTGCGCCATACTCCCCGCCATCTTCTCAAATTCCTATCATAACCTGAAATAAGCGACTGACCAAGAGGGGGACCTTCATCACGGGACTAGATCGCTCATTTTAGCCACGAATCGGGCATAATTTGCCTAGATGGATGGTCACACAGAGGATGTCACAAAGATTGGCAAGTCAGAATGTGTTTTTCGCGAAACCACAAACTGGGAGTGCAAAGCAACCACAAACCAGGCATCGCCAGGCACCTAGGTCTTCCAACGGGTGTGTGTGTGTGTCAAAATAGGGGCCCCAAAATGGCGGGTCTTTCCGTCTCCTTTTTCCAGGCTCCGAATTTCGTGCCCTGAAAAACAAGAGTCCGACTGATCCCAGTTCGAGACGGGCATTGCCCCTAAACGATTGCAACATACCAAGGCGGATGGTGTTCCCAGTTCCCCTTAAAAACTCCCTTTAGCTACCTTCAGTTCCCTTTGGTTTCCCATTAGTTCCCTTTTGTGCCCCTTTCTAGGTCCTCCAGTAGAGAGGTTAGAAAAGGGTACCCAATTTCGTTGTAGTCCATTTTTCAGTAGGGGAACCCTCCCAACCAAAAAAGGATGAGAAAGGGGACTACTGGGGGACCTAGGAACTAAACCCAACTAAACACAACTAACGGCTGGGAACCACCAAGTTACTTGGCTGGGAACCACCGCTAGCTTTAGTTCCCAAGCTCAAAGGGGGCAACTCCAAAACACGAAAAACCCCGACGAGACACCCCGCCAGGCCCAGGCCCGGCTCCTCGTCGCCCAGAGCCGCCATGGCGGCGGTGTGCCCGCCGCTGGAGGCTCCTCCCATGATGGGCGTGCCTTAAACCTCCCTCTAAATGTATAGATATATATATATATATGTATATATATATATATATGTAGATGTTCTTATGTGTGTATATATATATATATGTAACATATACACATCTTCATGTACTTGTATTTCTGATTATCCGATTCGCTTCTCGATCTTTGCCACAGGCGTGATTAGTGGGAGGTTGCGTAGTGCGGCCGGGTCAGGAGCCACAAACACTGTTGTTTTCTTTTTGGTGGTGCTCCCAAAGCTCGTCTCTTTTGCTTGGCAAGTTGGAGTTCGTAGACTTGGGTATGTCTTACAACAAAATTAGGACCAAAGATGAGGGCTTTGTCCTTTAACCGCCCTTTGGAGCAACTCCAGGGTACCCTCGACAACAAAAAGGAGGCACGCCTGTGTTTGTATTTGGCCAAAGGAAGCAAGAGAAGTGAAGGCCGGAAAAACCAAAAAAAGAAGCAGAAAAACAAGTCATGGTGTTGCTTGCTTGATCAGGGGATTCATCGCAAGAATAGCCAGCGCAGGCAGTGTGTTTCTGTGGTACATGGCGGTGCTTCGTTATTTCTCGCAAAAGGCAGGCGTTGCTGCCCCAAAAAAGATTCAGGGACGGAGCATGATGGACCTCCTGTCAGGTATATGATATCTGGGAAGCAGGAAACAAAAATTGAATCAGGGGCCACCCAAATGAACTTGGGGAGCCGGGCTCTCGCCTCGACCGCAAACACCCATCCTTTCTTGAAAGAGCATTTGAGTGTTCCTCCGGAGAAACAAAGAACTCAATTTGGTGGTGGTTTTAGTGAAAGGAATCTTGCCGAAGAAAAACAAAATATGGAAAAAGGAGCCTAGAACTCCGGAGGAGGCGTACCCACTTTCATGGCCGCCCAAACATTGTGTTTGGATGATGTTGGGTCCCCCCTTTTGGCAGACCATTTGACAGGAGTCAATGGATTTCTCCGTCAAACTTGCAATGTAATCTCTTCCCCCGATGAATTATGATTTCTCCAGACCCCGATCTTCTAACACTAAACTAGAATTGGGCAGTAGTAGGCCATTCTAAACGACAAAATCCTCTGCCAACCCAGCCCTCGTGTTTGCGGGGCCAAGCGGGGACCCCTTTTGGACGAGCAGCGGAAACCCCCAGCCTCCCCGCAGCAACTGGACGTCCCACAAGGAAGCCACTTTTCGAGGTTCAAAGCAGGTAAATAGGTTATATGTGTGTTGCAGTGATGCATGTGACTCAATTTTGTTTGCCCGAGAATTGGGGCCCGCCGGCCTGCTTTTCATGGCCAGCGTCCCATGTTTTCCAAAATCTCTGGGACCCCCAGACCAGGCCTGCCAGCACGATCTTCTCCCGGTCCAGGCCCAGCTCCTCAGACCGGTCCTGCAGAAACCGCACGCATTTCCGCGCGTCCTCCACGGTGTCGAAGGGCACCTGGAGGTGGTTGGGAGGGAGGACGGGCTCTACGGAAGGTGATTGGTCTGGGAGTCGAGATTGGTTTACTTGAGTGCTTGTTTGTTTGTTGGTCCATGTGTTTCTTGCGAACAGCCCCGGCCCCCCTTGTAGCGTTGAACCTTCCGCTTACACGTCAGCCCAGTTTCGATCTTGACGAGGCTCAAGGCCATGAGAGAGGGATCCTAAGGAAAACTGCCCAGCCGGCCTCGTGGCTCCAGATGTCTTTTCTGGGGGGCAAGGGACCTAAACTTCCGGAAGCAATCCGGAAAGGTCGCAGCTTCCAGCCGACTCCATGCTCACAATGCCAAACTCCCCCCTTCCCAAGCATCCCTTGAGAAAAACAACCAAACACGGACCAGCAAAACCATTCATTTCACCTCTCCCGTTTGAAGCCAGGCGGAAACACGACTCACGAGTTCTCGTCTATCAAGAAATGACCCTCCTTCATGGTGGTTCGAACAAGAAACCATCGGGACCCAAAAGCAATTTTGAGGACCCATGTTGACCTGGAAAAACCCTTCTGCCAGACGGAAGTCACCTGGGCGCGGGGGTGCGTCAGGACGCAACTCATCTCGCAGCAGGCCGTGGGGATGCCGTACTGACGCGACACCGCCTGCGGTCTTTCCGCCGGCGGCGCAAATCGGAAGCACAAAAAGACAATGTGAGAAAATCGGCATGGCTTGCTTTGCACCCCTCACAGTACATGCCACAAAATGGATATCAAACCCACTTGGAACCTGCCTGGTGTCTGGTTTGGACAAGTTCCCTCGAAAACCGGCCCTATGCTGGGGTCCACGCGAGTTGGTGGGAGCCGAGGATGCGCCCTGTTACATTCATAGTCAAATGTGGATTGAGGGTGTCAAGCACTGCAACCCTATTCGCGTGGCAGCACCAGGGTCCCAAAATGCGGCATCAAATGTGCTTGATCATCCGTCTGAAATCGCACTTTGACTTGCCTGTGATGTTGCGCCAAGCGGTCATGCCATGCCTTCATATGATATGAATCAGGTGCTCACAAGGTTGACGGTCTTTTAACCTTGCACATCTGACAGCACGGCCATCATCGAACCCACCGGACCCGTCCTTGGCGTAGGGGTAGAACTGCGAGGGTGCACCGCCAAGGAAGCCTCCTGCAAAAGCTAGCGCTTTAAGCACCCATGGCCCTTGTCTTGCTTGCATGCAGCCAGTCGGCTTGAGTTGGTGAGTGCCAAGCAGTAGACCCAACTGCCAACCAAAACAAGCACCCAGGACTGCCAGCCAAGAAAGGTGTCAAGAATTCCCAATCCATGGGAGATGTCCACGCGCAAGCCAAGCCTCCGTGAAGGAACACCACACACCCCTGCTTGATGTTGGTCCGGGTCTCCGGTAGCAGAAGGTGCAAGTTCAGGCCCTTCTGGTAAGTATGGACCTCCCCCCCCATGGCCACGAAGTGCTTTTCGATCTGCCTCCTGGGCCGGGCCATGAGGCCATCTTGAACGTGGGGAAAAACAAAAAGCCAAGAACCTCCACAATTGTTGAGCTGGAAATCGGAAACCCGGGGTTCGCGAAAGCTTTTAGATCCGTTCAAAACCGGATTTTTTGCAAACCATGCTTCAGGCCCCACCCAGCCACCGAACCCCCCACATCCCGTCTAATGTGTCAAAACAAGGCGCCCCTCACATCATGCCGGTTTCCTTCAACCAAACAAGGACCCAACCTTAAGTTCCATGCGTAAAACCCCTCCGGCCGGCGCCTCAGGAAAGCTCCGGCAAAGACCCCAGGCAGCTGGTCCAGCCAAGGGTTCCCCAAGTCGCCAGAGCTCTGCATGGCTTTCGGGCCCGAGGCACAAGGCCGGAGTTGCTGCGTATTGCGTAGAAATGTTGCTCAACGCCTTGCTGAGCTCGCACACGCTTACGCTTTAGATACATACACGTACGCGTGCTACGCGTGCATATATACATATATATATATATATACACACGGCGCGCGCCCGCACACCTGCTGGGGCCAACCTTTGCTGTCGCCTGCCAGATCACACACGCGTTCTAGTGGATCGGCGCGGCGGGGCCTGCCAAGCCCGAAACACGCTCGCATCCACGCCTGCCAAATGATACGCACGCCCGCTCAAGCGCGCTCGCTCAACACTGCGTCCTCACCTACCAAGTGACAAGCACGCCCGCTCAAGCGCGCTCGCTCAGCACTACATCCATGCCTGCCAAATGATAAGCACGCCCGCTCAAGCGCGCTCGGTCAGCACTGCATCCATGCCTGCCAAATGATAAGCACGCCCGCTCAAGCGCGCTCGCTCAGCACTGCATCCATGCCTGCCAAATGATAAGCACGCCCGCTCAAGCGCGCTCGCTCAGCACTGCATCCATGCCTGCCAAATGATAAGCACGCCCGCTCAAGCGCGCTCGCTCAGCACTGCATCCATGCCTGCCAAACGAAAAGCACGCCCGCCCAAGCGCGCTCGCTCAGCACTGCATCCATGCCTGCCGAATGATAACCACGCCCGCTCAAGCGCGCTCGCTGCGCTCGCTCAGTACTGCATCCACGCCTGCCAAATGATAAGCACGCCCGCTCAGGCGCGCTCGCTCAGCACTGCGTCCATGCTCCCGCTCAGGCGCGTCCTCTCAGCACTGCATCCACGCCTGCCAAATGATAAGCCTTCCGCTCAAGCGCGCGCTCACGCCATGTCCGGGACAGGCGCAGGGTTTGCTGACAACGAGCGTTAAGACTTCAACATGTATGCATATGTGTCTACATGCTCCTATGTAACAAGGGCAGAGATACGTGGTTCACGGGGGGGGTGACCATACACATGTACAAACATATATATATATATACATAAATACATACAACACATGTGCACTTCTATAGGTGGATGTAGAAAAAGCAGAATCCGCAGCGATTCACATTCTCTTCAAGCTTGGAACATCCGGTGAGCTCACATAACATAGCATGCTCTTGAAGCGTATCATGTTTCAGAAGACGCTGCTACACTTGTTGCAGCAACATCAGCATGGAGCCAAATATGTCGCCTGGAAGCGGCAATGTAGTTGCAGACTCTGGGGCTCCAATGTTTCAACACCACTTGTCCTTTCCAAACTCGTGTGCCGGGATCTTCATCCTCGCCGGCGTCGGTGTCCTCTTGGCCGAAAAAAGGAGTTCTCGAGGGTGCTCTTCCTTTGGTCCTTTGCAGTCCTCAAAACGTCCTTCTGCGAGCAAAGGGGTGTAAGCGGCTTTTCGCAGAAAAACAAAACACGCTTGCTTGAAAAGGAATCTCCTTTTTGGAGTTGGGTTCCATGTTAAGCTAGAAGGGCATCAAGGCCTCATTAACTCATTAACCCCATATTATTGGCTTCTCCGATGCTTTGCCAAAGCTTTACTCTAGGATCCACGTTGTAGGGCATGCTTATTGGCAGCCCTCATAAGGTCGTCCAAACCCTTATGAAATAGTTGACAAACAAGCAGTCAGGCCTTTTGACCACGGCACAACATGATGTCTTGTTTCTTCCCAAGCAGGTCTTTCGGGAAAACAAAGACATCGGCGCACGGACTGTGAGGAAGACCCGTACCTCGGCAAGACAGACAGGGCACACGAATGCTCACAGCAAGTGACTTGCAGAAAGCCAAGTTAATTGAGCCCCTCTTGTGAGGCATCACCTCTGAATCTCCGCTCAGTCTTGACACCAGATTAAACGCATATCACTGAATAGCTAGGGAGTGGTTCCCAAAAAAGTGAAGGACTCGTGTTATTTGGGGCGCCCGCCTATTGATCAACCAGGGGGTTATTACTGTGAAGTCAACGTTAAACGCCCTCCTTCAGATTGCTGCTGTTGGAGGTGGATGTGTGGAGTTTCACAAGATTCCGCGATGACTGGCAGCGTCCTGAGGCCTAAGCTTGTCTGAATGATCCCTGGGTCACTCCCCATCATCAGTAGCAAAGCACCAAACAAGCGCCCACGGGTTCTCCCAATGGGAGAGCACTTTAAGCAAACCAGCCACTTGGTCCACGAGCCGACCACAGGCACATCCCCCCCCCTCCACATTCTCAGGCCGCCGCCGTGCCCAGAACCGCACCAGCTCCTGGATTCAAACTGCAGGCCAGACGTCCGAAAGCTCCAAAGGCGTCAGTTCCCCAAAAAGGGAAATGCGCGAGCTTCAATGGAAATTACAGGGAGATCCCGAAGATGTCCAAATCCTACATGCCTAAGTTGATGGTAAGTGGTGTTGATTTCTCTTGGAGCACCATCCCAAGGGCGCCCTTGTCCAACTTTAGGACTTCTCCAGGAATTATCATTTCTGGCGAAGTACGCTCTGCAGGGAAGTCAAAAGGAAATCTACCATTTCAAGAGACCCCTATTTTGAGAAACACCCAGATCGGAAACACTGAAGAGGCAGGGATGTTGCTTACCCTCTCTTGGTCGCCGTGCACTATGCCCAGCCTGCTGCAGACAGAAGCCCATTGTGTGACAAGGGAGGTGGCTTGGTAAAAACAGGCCCAAGTTTCAAAATGCGGAAGGCAGCAGCGTCCAGGCATTCATCTGCGATGTTCTGTACGTTTCTGGGCATTTCTTCACATTTCAGACGTCTTCTTGGGCACATCTGGCTACGGCATGCATTTGGCTTTCATGCCAGGCCAAGCCTCCATTGTCAACTGCAGCCCCCGCCCCAATTCGTTGCCGCCTGCTCCCCATTTTCCCGCAATCCAATGCAGTGAATTCGCAATCTCCGCCTAAGACCAGCGCGTGAGATCTACCAGTCCTGCCAGCCAGCATGCCGGAATGGGGTTCCTGACATCTCACCCCAAAGAAAACTCAGCTGAAACCAACACACCGAACGACAATGGTTAAGCCCGCAAAAGGTACCCTGGAACTGCCTCAGGACTCACCACTCGCTCCGCCAGGGCAGTACCTTGCAAGGAGTGGCACTTGGGGGTGGTGTCTTGGGCTAACGTGTGAAGTGACTGCGAAAGCGAAGTCTAAAAGCCTGTCGGAGTGGTATTTCATTGGTTGCCAAAGGCTGCAGAGGCAGTATAAGAGAGAGGGAGAGAGAGAGGGAGACAGTGAAAGCGAAGAAGCGATGGAGCGAGAGAGCGAGAACGCGAAAGAGCAAAGAGCGAAAGAGCGCAAGAGCGAAAAGGATAGCAAGAGAAAGAGAGACAAGGCGAAAGAGCAAAAGAGCAAGAGAAAAAATATTGAGAAAGATGAGCAGACACAAAGAGAGAAATAAAAGGAGCAAAACAGAGAAAGAGAAAGAGCAAAACAGAGAGAGATAGAGAGAGAGAGAGAGACAGTCAAGCAAAGGAAATCATGAAAACGAACATCGCATGCCCCACCTGCCTCTGGCAGGAGAACACTGGACAGCTCCTGACAAGCGACGCTGAGGACTTCGTTGAACCCCCGCTTTTGGAGAACGCAACCAAACTCTTCCATGAGACAAACGACTCATCAGCGCGGGTAAAGTCCACTGCTGTTCCTCGACCACCACGTTGCCTGTACTCCCGTCCTCCTCCGGCAAATGAAGAAAGGCCCGCTGCACGTCCACCTGACACACGAGTCCATATCTCTGACAGATGTTGCGCAATATGTCCACGACATCTGTTCAAGCAAATCCCATCTTGCAGGGCCGCTGCGTAAGGGCATGTGCATTTCGAGGCGTACGCCTTTGAACCAACCCCAAAACCAAAAGGGAAGCCCCTTTTTGGATACATATCCTTCTGTGTAACCAAAATACACCTTGCAGGGTCGTGAACCGTGAAATCTTCAATTTCCACGCCTCTGACACGCCGCACCTCAGCTGGGCTTCTGGCCTCCAGCCCCCGAAAAACCTTGCTAGAGCGTATGCGTCCAAATAGGGACCCCTGAAAGAAGCGGTCTGAGATGTTCAAAATGGAGGCCAATTCTTTTCGGAATCCCTTTTGGAGACGACTACAAAGGGGACCCTCAAGAATGAATGATTGCAACTTTGAACAGACCAGTGGAAAGTCTTTGGAGCTGAGTTTTCTTTTCAACACCATCAAGAGGGCCGTTGTTTCTTGGCGTGGTTCTGAAGCGGACCCCTCTCTTTGAACCACACACCCTCGATCGCTTTGAGCCTCGAGCGCTCCGGATGCTTGGTGCTCTTCCCAGAACTGGCTGAAGCCTAGCCAGGTGCTGTGGACCCCGCCCCAGAGTGAGAAGTTCAAAGAACTGCGGGTGATTGCAATGGGTTCATCAGGCAGTTGGCCCAGTAACTACATTTCTCCTTCGCCCCCCCAAGAATGCCTCTCGCCACCCCATGCGAAGCACGTACGCTGGCTGGGCTCCTGTTAGGATCTCTCCTCAAAGAAAGGAAGTGTAAAGCAAAAGTTCAACAAAACAACTCCGAAAGGCAACGAAAAGAACACTAGAATTGAACAAAATGCACCTCTTTCGGAAGGCCACCCCCACCCGCCCCCCCTCCCCACTTTCACCGCCTCCGCCGTTGCGCCCTCCTTTTGCCGCGCCAGCGATGCCCAGGGCCTCCGAGCCAACCCATGTGAGTTCTGATCTCGCGAAATCGAGGGACCCCTCAACCTCCAAGTGTTTGTCGCCTTCAAGGGTTCCTGAGAGGGAGACAAGAAAACCCACCTTTCGGATCTGGGATGCACATGCGTCCCTAAATCAGAGGCTTAAATCCTGTTGAGGGTCGTGGGTCCTTGGCTCCAAGAATGCGCCTTTACACCGCAGAGATGAGAACCAAACCGTCCCAAAAACAGTACTGCTCTGGTTTGGCATTTGTCTAGAGGTCCCTTCGACAAAACACGCAGCTCAAGAACTTTTCATGTGGACATAAACATATCCACATGGTCTGCAATCTGCTCGGCACAAGGACAATACCTTGGGACAAAAATGGCGAGAATACAGCCGGTCTCGCAGAGAATGGAAGAGGCTGTTCTTGCTCGAAAAGTGTAGCTGATTGGGTATTGAACAGGCTATTCTTGGATGGTACGGTTGATTACCCGCATATTGTATTGCAAGCAACACAACCACACACCCGCAAAACGCAATGAATGACAAGGACCTTGTTGGGTGGCTATAAAGGAAGATACAGACGAAACCGAAGCCCCCTTTCGGTGTTCCCCGATTTTGCGACAACCCCCAAAGAGGCTTTCCGCTTTCTTTGCAGCAGCTTCTACCGGCCGGGCGGAATCGATCTGGCGATCTTGCTCCCGGGCCGAATGCAGAACAATGGACCTCGGGTTGCCACGCGCGCAAGGCAGAAAAAGATGCACAACTGTTCTTGCCATCTGGACATAGCGGGCATCTCAACAAAAGCCCATAGGTTTGTCCACCACCCATTTCCTAAGTGCCACACCACAATGCCTCGGCAATGATGAGGCAAACAGCCGCGTGGTTCTGCTCTTGATGCATTCAAAACTACCCTCTAAATGGTGGATTGAAGGGAAACTGTCCCAAAAAATAAAATTTGCTTCATGGATCTAGCTTGCAGCACAGTTTCCATGAACTGTTCCGCGTACGGGTCACAGCGCTGGCAAATTCTGAGCAGCTACTATCCTGCCCATCCTTTCATGCTGGCCGTACCCCCAACCACCATCCACAGCGGGGAGATTGCTGGATAACACTATAAACCACAAATTTGCTCTGCGAATGGCACCCATGACCCCACATTGGGTGAAAAGGGTGCATCATATCCAGCAATCCCTCCTGCCCACGAATTTCTGTGGGCCTTTGGCCGACCTGTACATGGGCCGTGACGGCGTCGCAGTGGCCACCAGAAACCAAGTTGCAACGGGCCATCCAAAAGAAAAATCTGTGCCCGGCCGGACCTTGGCACTGGCAAGGGGACATCGCGGCCAGTGGATCCATTGCCAGCCGACACGAGAGCAATGAGTTTCTCCTTGAGAGACCTCCAAAGAACTCTGGCTATGTCCCTTGGAACCCTGGCCGACGGAAGGCTGATTGCAAATCTCTTCCCAGCCGGCACTGCTCTGGCAGAGACACGCCGGGAGAAACTGGGTAAGAGTGCCTTGCAAGGCAAGCCTCTGACCCGAGCCATTTACAAATCCAATAGCAAGCTGCCTGCGCTTTCAAGACGTCTGCATGTTGCAGAGGTCGCGCGAGCTTACAAGTCATGATCGAACGCTTGTTGAAAAAGAACGGTCAGGAACCACCGAAGCAGCAAACAGTATATGTAGAGCACAATTCAAAACTTGGTTCATCCCAAAATTCCCCCACTATCAGGAGCCTTTACAGCACACGTTGCCAAAAACTCCTGGCTGCGCCAAATGCGGCATAGGCGTGTGCCGGCTCTTTGCTTCCACAAGTCTTCGCGTGCCTTGGCTGTATGCCAATGGCTTGACGAACTGCCAAGCTGCCTGTCGCGCTGATGTCAGACGCGGACCTGAGCAACATGCACTTCCACGCTCTCAAGCGCAAGCTGTGCATACCAAAAACACAATGTTTCCATGCGTTGCTTGAGCTGTTGTTTTGAGCAGCAAGCAAGGGTGCAAGCACCAAAACAGTAGGGAGACTGAGTTCTTCAGTGTCAACCAAATGAAAAATGTGCGCCTCGGGAAAATAACACGAATGCGCAAGCAAAGTTGTTGCTCTACTGCGATTGCTGTTGATGCTACTGCCGTTGAACCAAAAAGACCCCCGATCCCCCGGCCTGAACAAACGACCCAAGCCTTCCACGCCCAAACCCCGCCCGTGCTCGAGGGTTTCCACCACACCCAAACCACTTGCCCTACAGAACCACAAGCTTGAAACCACTACAGTTTACCACTAATCAGCACACTCTCATGCTACCATGTGCTACCAGTTACCACTACAAAACTCCACTTTCCCAACCCTTGGCGGTTTCCCTGTTGGTTTCCGTTCAAACAACCCAAAAATGGGGTCCCTCCCTTTCTGGCTGACTTTTGGGTGGGTCCATTTTGCAAGCTATTTGCTTAGGTCTGCGAAACACCAAGTGTCCCTGAGTCCAAGTATCCGAATCCTGGTATTGGCTTCCGGGTCGAGGTGCCCATTGGTGAACCGGCCCCCCCCGCCCTGCGAAGCGGCCACGGCGGCCACGGCCGTGGACAGCGCGGCGGCGCCGGCGAAGCCCAGGCACAAGAAGGGCAGCGCCAGGTCGAAGCCCCCCGCCTGAGATGCCGCGGACGTGCTTGTTTCGCACCCAGTTCTCTTTATGTAAAAGAGAACAGCCACATGGGTTTTGTGTTGCTCCATTTGGCCCTTTAAGACATGTTCCCCGAGAAAAACATAAAAGCACATAACTCGGTGTAAAGCAAGAAAGAAACCCGTTGCTCTTTCTCTAGGCACTCAAAGTATGCTCCCCTTGAAGGTAGCGGGAGGACAAAAACACTCCAGGGGGTGGCTGGTGTGCCTTTCTTCTTAAAGGTGGCCGGGGGGGGGGGTCTGGCTTGTTTGGGGGCGGGGGCCATGGACGAAGCCCATACACAGCGTTTCCCGCGTTTCCCCTGAAGACCATCCACCAACTCCAGAAAACCGGCCACACCCATTTCACTTCTAAACCCAGCCAGCCGGCCTTGTTTCACCGCTGACTCCATGGTGTTTACACTTTGAACGTCTGGGTTCCCCGTAGGCCGCGAGGCGCAACGAAGAAACGCCTCGGGTTCCCCGAGGGCTCGTGCGGCCCGGCTCGTGCGGCCGAAGCTCCTTCCGCAGCGCACCCAGGGCGATGGTGAAGGTCGCCTCGTTCGGGTGTCCATTTGGCTTCCCGTTGTGGAAAACATCAAAAAATATAAAAGCTGAAGGAAAACACGCACACACACACACAGAGAAAGAGAGAGAGAGAGAGAGAGAAAGCGCTGATGTCGGAACGAACCCCTGCAGCTTACATCCATTTGCACATGAACTTTCCCGAAGACCACTGTTGGGGGTGTGTTCACAATTAAGTCTTATGCCCAGCTATTGCCAACTGACAGCAAATAGGCCCCAAACCTCGCAAGCCCAAAGCCAAGTGACAAATAGAAATTCGGCGAATGGTAATCAGCTTGGTGCGCCCCATATTATAAGAACAGGATGAAAGACTGCCCGTTGCTCACGTCGCTCCAGACCTCCAACTAGAAGCCGGTGAAAGAAGTCGGATAGGTCTCTTATGGCTTTGCTGACAACCGAAGCGTGAATCTCCAGATTGTCTCGACGTTCCTTTCCATGTCCCATCGACTGCCGAGTCCGCGCGAGCCCCAGGCCCCGGCCCGCCTGACCCACGCCGAAAAGGCTATCTAGCAGCCCGAAAGACTTGCCGCAGGAACCTGGGGCACAGGTTCTCAGCGCATGTGCAGAGTCTCCTCATCTGTCTGAGTCCAACAACCCACCATTGCAGTCCAAGACAGCTACAAGTTGGCACTTGACGCTGATTAACTCCTTCGAAGACAGTTTGTCACTCCGTCCGCCACCAACTGCGGGAGAACCACAAATCAGGTCAAAGGAGCCTCCGAGCCTCTCCTTCCATCCGAGGCACGGCTGTTGGCAGGAACCAGGACCAAAGGCAGCACGGGCATCACAGTGGAGGCAACGGCGATGGCCAAAAGTCCTACAGAAGAAGCAATTTTTGGCTGGCAAACAGCGCTGTACCCTCCCTCCACAAAAGCAGTGGGCACGAGTAAATAGAAGATTGTTTTCTCAAGAAAGGTACTGCGTTTAAAGTCTAGACCCAGAGGGTCACCATGACTCAAGGCGAGGCATCAAAAGGGGTGTTTGCAGCCGTGGCCGAGCCAGCGTGCGGGGTCTTTGAGGTACATTCTTACCACTCGGGCTCCGCTCCGATGGCACGAAGGGACTTTGGGCAGTTGGTTCCCTTCCGGCTGCCGGGAACTCTTGGCTCAGTGAATTGACGACAGAGCCTCACAGCTTTCCGAAGGAATCCAACTCCTTCCCCAAGATCCGACCGCGGAACCCTTAGATCAGACTCCGCAAGGAAGGCCAAACTTGCCTCGACTCCACCACTTGCACGGGACTTCTTACAAGGAGTGTGCCGTGAAAACTCTTGTTAGCCAGAGTTCCATTAAAAATATGTGTTGTCTACACTGCCAATTTGAAAGACCCTTGCAAACGGCAGTGTTCTTTGAGATTCCTTGCAAAACCGTCCCAACAAGAGTCCAACTACTTCTAACACAAACCTATTGGACACGTAGACAGCATCAGATGTAGTGCTGGACCAAAGGAGTTCCTGCTCAGATAGGTCAGACTGGTCAATCAAGATCAAGAAGATCAAGAAAACATCTTAGATCAAGTGAACTATGCTTCAACCTTGGCACCATCCTACAGGCCGGCTCCTGCTTCCAGTGCCCATGGCAGCACTGGAAGCGTCAGCGCCAGAGCCCCCAGACAGGGCAAAAGGGATACTGCCTCAGGGGCATCGACCATCGCAAAACACCGCTCCGTGCAACCCTTCTGGTTTCCGTATCCTACGGTGCAGCTGCCTTGCTGCACTTGGCCTCACAATAGCTGGGTTGGAAGGTGTTCGAGACATGAAGAAATCAGGCATGTACTTCTGCCCTTGCCATTAAGTCATGCCAAGGTCATGTCAGTGTTGGATTGCTGGACACACTGGAAACGGTCCGCACTGCAGTTTGCTCTGTACTTCTGCCGTTTTGGCAGCAACCCGAGAAGTCCAGACCGGAACCGAGATCGCGTAGAACCACTGACATAGCAAACAAGGCATTGAGACGTCTCGGACCTGAAATGTCGCACTGAGCTCCCAGCCACTAAAGTCGAGCGGAGGCCCAAGAAGTGGCCTCCAATTGCGATCACCGGCATCAAGCTCCTCAGCAAGGCGAGACTGAAAGAACACCTCTGGACAGGCAGCCAGCAAGTGACAGGGGATCTATACAGGAGAACCTGTCAAAACAGGGGAGTCCAAACATGGTGGATTCCTGCTTGTTACGCTCCAAACCATCCTGCAAAGGGTAGCCTCAAAACGTCGCATCCATTTGGGTGTTTGTCGGAGGTACCTCTTTGGGGTTGATTTCAAGAGATGGAAAAAGACCAAGGGCCACAGAAACCCATGATAGCACCTCACTCCGAGGCACATGGCCAGGAGTTGGTTCATCGCGACCACTGAGCCCGCCTACAAAACGATGTCAAGAGCAACAAATGGGTCGGAACCTCCCAAACCGCGTGGTTTCCATTCGGTTCCCCTTGGTTCCTTTAAGAAGCATGGGGCAAAAGTTGTTTAAACAACCAGACCCTGGTTCCCCTTGAAGGGAAGAGCTTCTGAAACGAGACACACCTGTCTAATCATGTTTAAAGAAGGGCTTGGCCTAACCCTACCAAAAAGGTGCCCGCTAAGAAGACACGCCCATGTGGCTTCGTCTCGAACTCCCTTGTTTGGG